ATGGGATTGTCTAGGATATACCGTCTAGACACTTGAACTGGTTTCCTGAATATACGGTTAACTGTTGAGAAGCTGGTCTCAAATGTGACTACGTGGACCAAAGCTCGTGTTGGTCAATATACAAATACCTGGTGAGAACGCTGGTCTCACAAATAACAACAATGACAAATAAAAAAAAAAACAATGACAAATAACAACAATGACCAAAGCTCGTGTTGGTCAGTATACAAATACCTGGTGAGAACGCTGGTCTCACAAATAACAACGGTGACCAAAGCTCGTGTTGGTCAGTAAACACTACGTGGTGAGAACACTGGTCTCACAAAACTGGGTTTCTATCGCGAGAAACTTACGTAATCTCAAGGGAAACACTTTCCCTGCACTTGCCTGGACAGTTCTTACAAAGGAAATGGGCTTTGTAAGCAGCAATTTGTTCAGACTGAAGCTTCTTAGGTGAGAGTTCAATTTGCTCAAGTGGGAGTTCTTGAATGCAACAAGTGGGAGATCTATTTTTTGGGGGAGAATGGGCTCTCCTTATATACATTTTGTGTGGGAATATTATGTAAGTAAAAAGGTGATGTAATGACTTCAGAATGTGAGAAGAATATTCCAAAAACTGGAGCAGAATGTTCTAGCAGGTGCAAAAGAACATTCCAGAATATTCATGGTGGGATAATGACATCATTCTGAGTCACTATGAGTCACTATGAGTCATTATGAGTCATTGGAATGTTCTAGCAAATTCCATGGAACATGACATCATTATGACATCACTATGATATCATATCTTTCAACCAAAATACCTGCAGGAGTGTAGGTGAAGTCCTATGACATCATTATGACATCATACCCTGTAGGTACAATTTTATGAAGCATCTGATTAGTCAGAGCATCCTAATAGAAAAGTAAAGTAAAGAAACACTAGAGAAAACAACTCAGAAATAATGGAACAAATAATAGTACACAATATGCGGGCTTTTAGATAGGTTTTTGTTAGGCTTTGAACTTTTCTCTATGGGTTTCTCTAGCCAAAGTGAATAAGCCAATGAAAGGCAATACATTAACCTTCATTTTGCTTCTCATATCAACTAGGTCATTATGTGATTCCCATCTCACATATGACTTTTCTTCAAAACATGGTGGATTCATGAATCACTGAGGGAAAACTGAAACTATTGGACCAAGGTTTAATACCAAGGTATGGGTTGACTAGTCTGAGGACTAAGCTAACAGACTTTGTCTTTTAGGGGGATACCTAGTAGTCATGTCCATGCATGATTCCCAAATCATGCAGGACAGCGGGGTGGTTCCTAAGTGGCCCGCTGGCGTCTAGAAGGTAATTCCGCTCCTCGTTTTACGAGAGAGCAGGGCTCATAACCTATTAATCCTAGACACTGCGTTAGCCCTCAGTCGTGATGGAACAGACTGTATTATAATATACCTAGACACTGCGTTAGCCTAGCATAAGTGTCCGTTAGTGTCTAGGTATGGTTCGGATATGCGAAGAGCTCACCCTCAGTCGTGATGGAACAGACTGAGGGGAGAAGACGAAGCAAGAAGGTCTATATACGATGGTTCGTATTCCAGTCATTCAACTCCGCTGCCGTAGGCTTATCGCGTCGGCACTAACACAGGACCTCGGCATGCACCGCGCAGCCGGTAGTTGGGCTCGTGCAGACATTGGGCATCTGTTCGGCTCACAAGAGCTACAGGAACGGCGGCGGATATGGTGGGGATGTGTCGTGCTTGATGGGTATGTGAGCACGTATATTGGAAGGCCGCTTGCTATCTTCGAGCAGGATTACGATACACTTTTGCCGAACGAGGGGATGAGTACGGAAATATTGATGAGAACGGTGTGATGACGGTGTTTGTTCTTAGGTGGAGGAGATGGAGTTGTGGACCACTCATGGGTCACTGCCGCCTGATACCCGCGGACATGGGTACCCGCCTAGTGCAGAAGTGAGGTGTTCAATAACCGGACGCGTGCTATCTAGCTTTAATGCATCTGCAATTCTCTGTGAGTACCTTCATTGATCGTCCAGCGCCATAGCTGAGTCTATGTCTCAGCGACCATTCTTTCCAAGCTCGTACAGTCGATGTATGCCATCCATCTGGTGACTTCTCGGCACGCCGGGCCGTCTCGGCACGCCGAGGCGGCGCAACTTGAGGAGCTGTTGAATAAGTGGTACCTCGATTTGCCCGAGCATTTGCAATTGAAGCAGGGCGCAACTGTTCCGCCCCATATTCTGACGTTGCACATGTAATATTGGTGTACAACATTGTTATTACTTCAGATTCATCACCAGCATACCCTGTTTCTGCGACCAGCGAACCACGTTTCGAAGTCTCCACCAATGCATCTTCTGCCACGTCCTTCGGGGGTGTACCCCCTGCCCTGTGAAGCTCTCAACATCGCTCTGCTAGCTTTGCCCTTGGTACAGGGCGTTGCGGCTGCAATTCCAATTGCCGGCCCTCCGATGCAAACCGCTATTAGTGGATTATTGACGATCCTTCAAGCCATAGATGTAAGACCTTCTTTTATTACCAGGATGTTTCTTGATTCAAAGACTGTCACAGAGACGTATTCAGAATAAGGCGGACCTAGATTGCTTGAAGGAAAGACTCCATAGACTTAGCTGCTATCTCTGGAACGCACCAACCACTCAGGATCCCTTTGAACAACACCGGAGGGATTCCATAGTCAGGTACGCTCCCTGTCAATGCGTGCTTGAATTACATTGAGCGCACTTAGGATTCTGCAAAAGACTTCTGCCCAGCTGACAAGTCTGTATAAGTGTGGCCTTGCATACACATCCGTCACACAGGCTATCGCCGGATGCTCCACCGAAATTGACCGCTATCTGTTGGAGTGTACGCCTGCAATTGTGGCAACGATCGTGCACTGGATATCCCGATGTTCCCGCCCGGTCAAAAGAAACAAAATCGTTGACACAAATGCATTTACAAAAAGTACACTGACTGGGCGCAAGACGCTGTTCAGCACAGTGGCCTTGCTGATCTTAACAATATACTCACCAATACATTTATATGCACCAGCAGACCCTATGACAGACCCCTTCTCATTCCTCGATATAATCAGACCCGCATGGCCCCTGGTCACATACGCTTTCTTCAACCTTCTGACTTTGGCTGGCGGCGGCGGGGATTTGCGAGCCCTGCGGAGGTGCGTGGATTATTTTGATCGCCCTCACGTTTAGAGTGCCGCCACTGTTGACGTCGTTAGAAATTGACGTCAATGAGAGCAAGTCTGCTCACCGGCGATACTCATCTCTGCACAGCACGTGCCGATTCCTATGACCTGACCCTAATCTCACCACAACCTCCACTGAATCATTACGGTTTTCAATGAATCGGCTATATCTCTACACGAACGGTGAGTGGGTGATCGACAATCATGCCTTTACTCACCGCATCCATAGGACCCATAGCTACTTAGTACTGATTGCAGGAGATGCGGGAAAGTGCCAAGGATAGTACTATTCCTAAAAGGGTTGTGACATGTAACATTGTCACATTAAGGTAAGCTCACTCATTGACAAGTCCTCGAACATGGTATGTCATTCTATTGTCCTCATGTTTATCTGTTAACCATCCTCAGATATCTTATTCCCTACACTACCAACTTGGTTCACGGCACCTTTGCGAGCTCGTAATAAGCGCTCAGATTCTGTATACTATCCCAACAGCTCACATCACCGCATTGACAAACCGCCCTCGTCACAACCAGACATCCCACCCTTGCCTCATGAGAGTACATCTCTGGGCGTTGCACCTACATCTTCACCACCTTCCGCACTTCATCGTCACGGGGATCACCACTTTCACAGAGCGAGCGACGTACTCGTCGTTCTGCGTCAGGCTCACACCTCATCGAGAGTATTGACATCTCAGCCTCTCCTCTGCTTGCGTCAGACAGCAGCAACTAGAATCGTCGGCTCTCGATGCCCAGTATATTCTCGCGAGCCCGCACTACTTCGACAACAGGCAAGAAGCAACCCAGTGGCAACCACGACGGATCTTTGGACGAGTTTGGGCGCATAAATAGTAGGAGTTCCGCCAAAGATGTCGCCATTAGCTCCCTGACCAGTACTCAAGGGAATGTACAGCGTCGACGCAGCGCTCGTCTCTCCGGTCACAACCCCCACCCGCGCGAAGTTGTAATTCGCCTCCCCTTCGCATCTTCGCCCAAAGCCAATTACCTCATTGCTGTGTACTAAGAGATGTAGCTAAACCCGGATTATGTCAGTGTCAAACTGGGTATTGGCGAGAGCTTGCTCATCAAAGCTATCAGCGAGTCCACAGGACGGAGTCTTGCAACAGTCAAAGCAGACCTCAAGAAAGAAGGCGATTTCGGGCTCGTGGCAATGGTGCTCTGTCTTACTTGCCTTGACCATGACCATGCGAGCTTACTTCGTTCGCAGAACTCCAAAAACAGTCAGAAGACACTCTTTAAACCCAAGCCCCTCACGGTTCCTTTTGTCTTCTCAAACCTACAGGAGATCGCGTTGTCATCCGGACATTCGGTTTGTTCTTCGTGTTTTCTACGTGTTCTCAAAAACTTAGCGCCATTACCCCCCATCACAGTCCCAGGCAAAGAAGGTGTCGATCATTACAAAGCTCCTCACTGCGTGTCAAGACTTCGAGGTAGTGTGTTCAATGCCATGATATTTACAGATGCGCATGTCCGAGTCCTCAATGATCACCAACTACCCCCTTTGCCAGCTCGCTATGTACGAGGAACTCTTGGATCGCACGAGGAATTGAACAGGGCAAATATTGGCAGAGTGTGGGTGGGACACCAATCAGGAGCTGGACGAACTCGAGAGCTGGACGAACTCGAGAGCTGGACGAACTCGAGAGCTGGACGAACTCGAGAGCTGGACGAACTCGAGAGCTGGACGAACTCGAGAGCTGGACGAACTCGAGAGCTGGACGAACTCGAGAGCTGGACGAACTCGAGAGCTGGACGAACTCGAGAGCTGGACGAACTCGAGAGCTGGACGAAGTTCGAGATACTGGTAGACCGTTATAAGCGGTGAGTATCACTTTATCTGCTGCATACTTACAATTGCTGAACCAGTTAAATAGCGATATGCAGGCACGAATATCTTTGTGGTGCTCACTTGCTGAGCTGGGGTGGTCTGTCCCTCCGCGGGAAGCAATGTCGAAGGCAGAGCTTGTAGAGGAGGAGAGACTCTACAGGGCTATGCTAGAAGCGCGACGGTTTGCCCCTGAGGAGGACCTGTACACACCTTGTCGTATAGTGATTTCATTGTTTCCTGCTCTGGACTTGCATTTCAATTATCATTCGTGTTTATTTCTTAGGTATTTAAGTATGAGGTTTGTGTGGTGCACATACGAGATTGAAAGGATGTTTTTGTAGCACTACGTATACGAGGTTTTGTAGCGGCATAGTGTTCTGCTATAATGACTGGTTCCGACTGATTCGGAATTCGGGTATAAAAATAATATCGTTTTCGCGTTCCACCACGTTCCGATTGATTTCCTTTCTGCGACATATAACGGCAAACGCCGGTGAAGTGACATTTTTTGCAAAGGTTCCTGTGAATGCTTCGCGATCGCTCGAAATCTCAGAACGCTCATGGCCGCGGTCAAGGTCATAAATCACACTCCTTTCGTTCCCCGTCTGCCAAAGGATGTCCCACTCCCGCCAAGTCCCGCAGAATCCACAAGTCCGCCACCCCCAGTGAAGAAGAAAACTAGAAAGAACAAGACGAAAGAGACAGAGAAGGAGAAAGTTAAGGAAGGCGTGCAGGGGACGAAGAAGCAGGGAGAGCAAGAGAGGGAGAATGCGAATGAACAACACGGAAGCGGGGTGCCACAACTAGAGCCACTAAAACCTCTGACATGGACATCCCAGACTGATTTGAACTCCAATTCACATCCACCAATATTCACGAAAGACGGGAGGTGCGTAACCTTGATGGATTTATCATGTTTTGCGATCTAATTAATCTGTTTACTCTCTGATCAGCCACTTCTTTTTCCATCGTCGGGGAAAGAATTAAGATACATTCTACATCATCTGGCAAGGTGGTTTCTACATTACCGGGGCCACAGGATGATGGTCACCAGGATATCATCACATCTGCTATCCTCAGTGCACACAATGCGTTTCAACTCATCACCGCTTCTTTGGACAGCACTCTCAAAATTTGGGATTTTCTCGAAGGCATATTGTTATTCGCAATCAACCTCGAGCAACCTATCCATCACGTGTCCGCTCATGCAAAGATAAAAGATTACGTTTTTGTTGCCACTGCAAAAGCGAAGAAGGGAAGCGGAAATGCTGATGGTGAGTGCTAGCGTCTCTAACCCACGATTAGATTTTCACTCTTGCTACAGAGCAGCCAAAACAGAACCGGTCTGCGAAGGCTCCATCAGAAGAGAGCTGTATCATCTTACGTGTGTCGCTTAAGCCCCAAAATCCCGCTTTTGGCGCGAAATGGCACAAGTCATCTCAGGTTACACCAGTAGGCAAGACCCGGTACACAGCAGGGCTTGCAGTATCTGCAAGCGGTGAATGGCTGATTGCAGTCGCGGGTCACAAAGCCTATGTTGCACAAGTTTCTGCATTGAAGTCTGGATTTACAAAATACGTTTCAACCGATGCATTGACATGTTTGGCGGTCCATCCAATAGAGGACTATTTCGCGACGGGAGACGCAAAGGGTATCGTGCGGCTATGGTACTGCTTAAACCAGAGCAGGCCAGTAGTTGCTAACGTAGAAAAGCGATCGCAAACCTCTATGCTTCATTGGCATGCCCATGCGATTTCATCTATTGCGTTCACCACGAACGGAGCGTATCTGCTATCCGGCGGTGAAGAAGCTGTTCTCGTGATATGGCAGCTGCACTCCGGAAAGAAGGAGTTTGTACCCCGAGTTGGCTCGGCCATCAAAAGTGTTGTGGTCTCGCGCGGTTCTGCTGCTGAGGAAGAGTACCTTCTTGGGTTGGCGGATGCAAGTTTTGCATTTGTCAGTTCTGCCACGCTCGAGCTATCACGAGTTTTTTCTCGCATAAAACTAGGTGCGTGCCTTTGCATCTGTTATACGAACCTGCTTGTGTTTACCTTTTGAACTTAGACTCCGTCACGTCAAGTACCTGGGCATCCTCGTCCTCCGCCACACCACTTGCAGTCCATTCGTTATCATCGACACTTGTTCTTCCCTCTTCTCATCCTTCTTCACTACAAACCTACTCTCCTTCGTCATCCATGCTCGTTGCAGAGCTCGAGGTGTCACCTTCGAACCGAGTGTCAAAACAAGAAGACAAGATGTTGGAGCCATCGCGAGTAGAACGTGTGGTAAGCTCGCCGTCAGGAGAGTGGATGGCGACTATTGACCGGCGAGAAGGGAACGAGTCATTCCGTGGCGAGATATACCTCAAGATATGGTGGTGGGACAAGAAATTTGCTTTTTGGATATTGAATACCAAGGTAAATCGGCCGCATGGCCTGAGCAAGGTCACTTCTGTCTTTTAGTCCTTCAGATGACATCCAGCTGGTGACTACTGGTGAGGATAGAAATGTCAAAACTTGGAGAATACGGAGTATCAAAGATAAGAAGGGCAATGTAGAAGGTATGTCCAAACGTTCTGTGTGAAGCCGCAGTTTTGTGACCGCCCGTTAGTTTCCTGGACCTCAAGATCGTCTTTCGGTTTCCGTTCTGAGATGCCCAGAGACTCGGCTTGGTCACCGGATGGCCCTCTTCTGGCTGTTGCGCTCGACGCCTCTGTGGCGTTGTATGATTCAATATCAAACGCACTTCACTTCACTATAGTGTGTTCGGAATGCCCAAAAATATCGTCCATACACTTCATTGGGCATCATGGCCAGTATATTGCGGTCCTTGGCGGCTCCAACCTTGTTGTCCGTGATGGAAGACGCTCTACGCGTGGTGCGTGGTGAGAAGAGCACGTCTTTAACTCCAGTACTCTGTATTATAATCATTATGCTACTTTGTATATACATTTGTTAGAAGTTAACGTGAATCTCATCCCTGGCTACACGAGACAGACTCGCTGAATCAATAATTAAGACATGAGTTACACCGGTTCAACGTGGTACCTACAGGTAGCGGGTGACCGTTGGAGTAGAAAGATTGACAAGGCATTACCGTGGACATGTCACAACTGTCAGCAATGACCATTTTGTGTCAGTGTTACGAGGATTTTGCAGACCTTGATTGCCGGCTGAGTAATGTTGCGAACAGCCATCGCAAAGCCAAGTGCAGGCAGTAGGTGACCACTTTTTTGGAGAGATGCTGGACATTTTTCAATAGTTTATCTACAATGTATCGTATTTATGAGACATACATGTCTTCATCGATATTAGAGTCTTCTTGCAATTTCTCGTCATTCTGTGCAATCGTGCCGGTGCTTTTATGTTACTATATAATTCGAGCATTTTTGATCTGATTTTGCCAAAAGTATCTATCAAAATCATCTCATGGCCGATTTCCTGATGCCCGGGTCTACAACCTTTCAACAACATTACAGCAGCAACCATTAACCATCCTCGGAGCAGACTCTCACCGCGGGTGATGGAAGCATTGCAAATTATCAAGTTCTCCTACAGGCAAGACAGGCTCAGTTTCACTGATGATTTGGTTGCTCGAGAAGAGGACTACAAATTGTCAGGCCCTTTGACTCAACAAGCTGTGGAGGAGTTGATCAGTAGCGGAAAGCTTGACGAGCTCTCATGCAGAATGCTGACGACGACGACGAAGCCTTAGCGTAGCTAATTCATATCTACGCGTATCTAGTACATAGCCACCTCATATCTATTGAACTACAAGCTACAATCTAGCAAGAATCTGATTGGCTCGTCACTCGGTCCGACTTCGATGCACTTCGGTTCGTTCTACCTCGATTTTCGAAGTCAGAACGAAGTGACGCTTCGTCTCGGTTCACTTCGTCTCGCGGCAACACTAGATCTGACGTCCAGGTTGATCGGCCATAATATCTGGGGCAAGCCCCCTGCGCCCAACCGACTATCTTTAGTACGTACGCCAAGTTCTTATGGGTGCAAAGCAATGTTGAACATTATCGAGTGAGTTCGCACGCACTATGTCTAATCCGTTGTTCAAAAGTTGGAGCAGGGACTGACATTGGCACACTGAAAACTCTCGACAGCTCGCGTAAGTCTTGGACGACAACTTGTCGAGGATAATTGCAGTACTGACGTCCAGGAAAGGTTTAATGATACCAGCGCTAAGTGCTGAGAATCAACATTCAAAATGAGCGCCTCGCCACTTTTAGACGCCTGCTTGAAGGACATGTTCTGTTTTGTAGGATCTCATGTCCCTGCCTACAAGGCTTTCACACTATGTAAGAACATGCTGCTTTCAGGCGTAGAGTTGTTGCAGTGGAGAAGCCTTTACTACTTCTACGATTTCAACCTCCCTCTATGTCCACGGGCGCATCAGAGAATCAATGAGTCCTTTAGGGGTGCGTTACGTTGATTACGCCCTTATGTCGTAATATATCACTTTTTAGTGAGGACACGCTCTGCATATATTGTCATGCGTTCAATATAACTTTCTCACCAGTCCTCTGATGGTCACTACAGCACAAAACATGCAAAGCGCATCACGATCCAATCTTACACTCGTCAATACCGACCCGTCGACCACCAAGTAAGTGGCAAGCTAGACTGAGTTGATCGTCATACTTACAGATCCACAGGGAATGGATCAAGGCCAAGCCTCATGCCGAGAATGAGAAACCTGTCGTGTCCATCGAGGTCGACCTGGTTAGAAATATGTGAATATCAACCAATCATACGATAAATTTGATATCTGACTATATCATGTCAAGGTCAAACATCCTGGAGCAGATCCTCGGTGTCCTTAGAACATCTAGTATTGCAGAAGAACGCAGCAATGATGTCAAATCAAAGTTCTGGGCGACTTACAAGAAAGTTTCGGATGAGTACGATGACGATTTCCTCAATCGAGCGCATGGTGATATAGGCATTATCCTGACTTTTGTGCGTTCGCTTCTATGTTTATCGATGCAAGTCTAACAGGCGAATCAGGCTGGTCTACTCTCAGCCGCCATCTGCACATTCATCGGTGGAATGCAGCCTGACTCGGGAGACACTACCAATGCTCTCTTGGTGCAGTTAATTCAAGTCACTGTTCATGGATCAAGTGCTGTACCTGACATCAGCAATCTATCCTCGACTACACTCTATCCTTCTTCAACCGCCTGGGCACAGACCCTTGCCTACATTGCCCTAGCGCTTAGCATCTTGGCTGCGTTCGGGGCAGTTGTGGGAAAGCAATGCCTTTATTCATTTGAGGCAGCTCGGAAGCGAGGAGGGTCTCTAGAAGAGAGCGGCACGCGGAGGCAGATGAATTTGGATGGACTACAGTATTTGCGGCTGCGCACTTGCTTGCAGGCATTCCTTATGTTCCTCCAGGTTGCACTACTGTTCTTCAGCGTCTCGCTATGTCTCAAGACGTGGACCGACCCATTCTCGACATTCGTTGCCATGGTCTGCACCGCAGCTGTTATCATTCTCTTCTATGCAGGCTCTATCTTCCTGTTAGCGTGGTGGCAGGATAATCCCGTCCAGATATCAAGGACGGAGCTAGTTCGAGTAATTGGCGAAAAATTTCATCGTGCAACCACATCTGCTTCAACTCCGACTGCTAGTAAATTGGCCCCCACTCCTAACAAATCATCCCCCATATGCTGGATACTAGAGACATCGACGAACCAGGGAGCTGTCGAGGCTGCGGTTGCGATGGTCCATCTCACGCAATGGTTGCCGAACCTTGATGTTTCAATAGCCTTCGAACGTTTACGTGACAACTTCGAGGCGTGTTGTGACAGGGAAGAACTATACGTCAAGTTTGGCAAGGCCATGGCCCATTTTTGCATCCAGCCTGTAAAAATCGACAAAGCACTTGTGGACAAACTTTTTCGGCATGATAATTTTCAGTTAATCCGAAGTCGTTTCATTCGCGATGCGTTTAGGGCTTGCTATGATGCCTACTACCATCTTAACAAGACACCGCCACTGGAAGAAGACATGAGACGGAAGCATCGGGCAAGTGCGCGCACCGCCCTGAGGACAATGGTTGTCCACGGACTGGACTTTCACCTTTCACTTCCAGACAACGAAACATTGATTTGGAATGGTAATCTGTGCTGGTCTGACAGTGACGGGCATAAGCCCGACTGTAAAGAATTTGACTGGCTCGTTGATTACCTGGCGGATGAAGTAGGATACGACAAAGCCGATGAAACGGGCGATGCTTTGCTTGCACTGAGCGCGATGCGTGGACTAGGGAGTCCTGCCAAGCAATGTTCCTACATCAACTCGCTTATATGCTGTATGGATCCTATTAAACCTTCCCGAGTCCGGTATGCCGCGCTCAGGACTGTTTATGAGGTTCGAGGTGAACTGGTTTCTATCACCAGTTCCTCGATGCCACGGGATCTCAACACAGAACTCCTGGATAAGCTTTCAGCCGCTCTTCGCAAAGTGATGGATCCAAGATATGATGGTGGAATCAACGCCTCTCGAGATCTCAAATACATCCACATCATTCTTACCATGACAAAGAACGATGAATGGTGTCAACGTCTGGCCGATAACTACCATCTTCAGCGGTGCATTTCTCTAGTCACAGTTGACGGTGTTCAAATGTACGATCGGGATGTCGGATTCTACCTTACTGTGATTATCGGGCGCCTCTATCCCATTAGCAAGAAGAAGAACGTTGCCTTCGACTCGCTTCCCGCCCAGAGTCGCTCGTGGTGGACACTCATCAAAAACACATGGATGTACGCACCTCATTCTGTAGGGAATGATGAATACTTCGATGCCATACCAACCCTCGTGACAGTGACCAAATGTAGAATTTTTTCGGGGGGGCGGCCAGCAGACGTTACCAAAAAGGTAGAGGAGGCTCTGCGCGATTTGCGGAAGCCTGACAGACAAGAAATCTTCACGAAGAATGGTATAACTCAGGCTAGAATTAACGATGCGATAAATTCTGTGCAGGACTTGTGGATCTATCTGGGTGGTGTGGTTGAGCAACCAAAAACTTCCCAGATGAACGAAGGAGCTTTGGGGTTGTGAAGGATGTCTGGAGTCAAGTACTTTACACATGTATTATGCAGGTCGTGGTTTATTTCTATGCCTAGTTCCCCTGTCCATGTGATGGATGTCATCGATTTTGTATCACAAAATAACCTACAGTTGTCAACGGTTGGTTCTTTGAGACAAAACATTTTGAGTACTGTAAAAGGGCATACAAGCAGCATGAAGGGTCACGAAATATAATCAATAGCTCACTATGTGCCATAGGAGATAAGTCCTGCAAGGACCGGCCTTGCGCCGGAGCGAGCAGAGTATCGGACATAAAGTCCGGTCCTGAACAACGATATAGCGATTGCCACTTGTGGCTATATGGTATCGAGACGCTTGGTAATCGGGATCGCAGTAAAATCTTGACCAGAAGGAATATTAATCAGACAGGACTGAGGATTGACTGAGGACACGACGATTTCTATGAGTTAAAGAGCAACGCCAGAGGCTGGAGCAGACTCAGCAGAGGCTCAGCCGCTCGGTAATCGGAACAAGCCGGTCCAGGCGGAGTCGGGAACTGGCGCGTACGCGGCGCTACGATTCGATAGCACTGATCAATTGCAGAATGTAACTAGTACTGTTATGGGGCACAACTCTGCCATTCTGCGGCCACGTGGCAGGGCAGAACTGGCACTGCCAGGCAGCTCCACTGACAGAACTCAGTATACAGCACCATGTGGTCTGAGGTACTTTAGACTCTCATCATATCCACCTTAAGAATGTTACTGACGGCAAGCCAACACGATATCCAATGTCCATATGATAGATCGCGTGATTCTGCCATCTGCCATACTGGCATTGTCATTGTCACTATGCAACCCTGCCACAAGCGGTCAAATAAAGAACGATATCATCTTGTGTCCATATGATTGATTGGACTTGGCCGAGGTAGGATCCCTTTTAGCTGTAGCAAAAATACAATGGCACGTTACCAAAATCACGAACAGTGCTCCTATTGGTCTTTTGCAGCGTTCGAACGTTCCGTGCGAGTCATTGTTTTGTGGTTTCATCAACAACTTCCACTTCGGCAATATCATATCGTATAAGCGCTAGATGGTGGTATATGATCCAGCACGAATACGATCGTTGTACGTCCACCAAGTCCCCCCGCCCGCTCACTCCCATCATCTAATAGCATGGTCCTAGTCTCAGATGATCCCAGTTGGTGGCCCACCATCAATGTGAATCTTATTTTTGGCTATTTCGCAGGTCCGTGGAGAGCCAGCTGCATGATGACCGTGATGATTTGATTAACCTTGCCTGCGATTTCGCAGTTGTTGGCTGTGTTGGGATAATATATGATTGGGGTGAGCAAAACTGAATATGAAAGAACCGTTGATATCCTCATATATAGTATTTCCAGCACTTACGTTCGGACAAGAGGTAGGTCGATCCATTACTGGGGCAACCAACTCGCTTAGATTCGTTGTGACATAGGTTGAACTGATCTGGGTGAGCGGACTTCCACATCAAAAGAACGACGTGAAAATACAACTTGTTCACGGCAGAGGCAACGCTGGTCCCTGATGACCTTCCTCTTTCTTAGTGTATGTATCTTGTCTTTCAATACTTATGCTTAGCAAGTCCAAGTTTTGCTGACTTCAAAATATCCTAGGTGCGCTATGTTGGAATAGGATATGCTCTGTATGTTTGGAAGCTTAAGTCATTGATGTTGCGCTCATTACCCATCTCTCGCAATCAGGATCAACATGTTGGGTACGTCTCCTTGCATAGACTCTGTTTCTTTCTTGTGACGAGCGGCATACAGTCACTCTGCCCACAATTTCAATGACAGATGCAGTGAGTGTTCACACTGGTGCTTTCCATTCCCGCCAAAGCAACTGAACCACTATGCAGGGGTGAGTGAGATTCTCGAACAACTCGTTGGTTTAATATAATAATTGCCACAGCTGTGAGTCTAATTCAAGTGTGTGATCCTCTAAGGCTGATAACTAATGTTGCTGGATTTGTCAGGTATCATCATAGTTGACACACTTGATTGGACGAGGGAGGTTGTAGATGCAATACTGGGTGGTGAGCTTAGTATACACTCCCGTGATATTGACTTGACTGAAACATCATGCAAGTCATCGTAATTGCTCGGTTACATGCCATGTATCAGCGATCTCGAAAGGTGCTGATATGTCTCGTTGTCATCTTTGTGGCCATCAGAATCACCAACACAGTGATCCTCGCAATGGCGATGATGCAGATTTCAGGGGGTGAGCTTTAATTATGTATGAAATGTTTAAGTGGATCTGGCTCATCGGCAAATACTAGAGGAACTCGTTCTCTCCGGTACCTATCAGTGCCAGTTTAACTATGCGGGTGATTTCCTACTTCTGGATTCTATGATTTGGATACTTGCCACCGTATGGGAGGTCCTTGCACTGTGTCTCGCGGTCTGGATTGCTATAAAGCACTTCCGTGAACTACGACAATACTCAACAAGTGGTATCATTGGGGACTGCTTCACAGTATTAATGAAAACTCACATGAGTTACTTTGTGAGGTGAGCTCATGGTGTGAATGTGGTTCCCTTGTTTTTTGCTGAAGCTCTGCGCGTGCAAGCTTCGTTGCAGTTTCTTGTTTCGAAATCAGTTATTTGTCTCCAACGCTCTCCGCGGTATGCTGATCTGTCATCGACCTCTCCGTGCGGTCATGATTCATGATTTATACAGGACGCAGACCTCTTGGAATCCCAAATTTACTCTGGTTTCACTCAATTCTTCGTATTTCGAATCGTGCAGATGTTCGTGCTGGGACCGCGCCTCATCCTCAGTATTCGAGAATATCACGCCAAGCTCGTGGCAACCTCTGATTCAGCAACCACTATGGGTTCGATTGCTTTTCAGGAGCGTGTCCATGTGTCAACCAGCAGTGGCGTGTAGCGCGGGAGATGCTTGACATGATTGATTTGCGATGGGCGGGTAGTGTGCAGGGAGCCGGAGAATTTCTTTTTATCTATTCCAGGTTTTGTTGTACTTATTGTGGCTAATTTTTCGAAGAAGTCTTGTGCTTCTTAAACATCTGCACCTAACGACGTTTTAATTGTGAGGACGGAATCTGGGGCCATTTACGACAAAGACGACAACGACGGTTTTTGCGATGAAGCGATTGAGCTCGAGTACGAATATGATTGCATAAATTTTGCTTCGCTTTCTGTAGTGATGTGGTATGTTTTTTCAACGTACGACGAACCTGTCCTGTCTTCGATCCAATTTCAAAACCGACTTCATTCTTATATACTATGTATTCTGGGCGTGGGTCTGGGAAATGTTGTCGCTGTGGTGCTTAATTATGTTGCAAAATATATTTGAAAGAGAGATAGCTCTGGATAATATCTCTACTGGCGCTAGCTGCCTGCCCATGCTTGCACCATGTAGCAAGCTGAAACGTCTAACGACTTTGCTTGAAGACAATCACTCCCTTTCAGAAATTCAGTGTCGTGATGCTTATCCCTGATGAACATATTTATCAGCATAAGCAAGTACACGCTAGGCAACGTTACATACCCAACTTGAACCAGGTCCATAGGCCCGAGGCAAAGTGATTAGACACCAGCCCGTAATGATAGACGCAATTTCGTCATCATTCCATTCCTCATCTTACCTCTTTTCCCCTCCAAGAACACTAGTGGACGAACTGAAAGGGAGTAGCAATATGCCGATCGTGATATCCCCGCTCTTGTTCTCCTTTTCCTTCGGTGGGCAGGACTCGGAGGGCACGAACAACAAGAAAATAATAGTCGAGTTCATCAGCGCCCAGCCAGCTAGCCGTACATATCTTCAGTGCACATTCACCGGCGCTAACAATGATTAGTGATTAATGACCATGAGTGGTGCCGCACCGGCACTGCACGTAACGTGGGAATTTGTGATTGTTCGTCTGAACTTTGAAGTGACAACCTGACTCGGAAGACTTCAAGCTGTCACTTCAGACGAGTGAAGTCAACCTCAAGTGCTAGCAACTCGCCACTTTCAGCGTATGCGGATATCTGATGCTTTCCTATCTAGCACCATTGATTCCGGCTTCCTCACACAGCTATCATCTCATGTTAACCATTTCGTTCACATACACCCCCAACTTTTCACCACCACCCGCTGGCAGGACAACTAGTTTATAGACCCAATGCGCATCTTTATCCTCAGCTCACTCGCTCAGACATGCTACCAGTCCCGATCTTTCCATCTGAACTGCTGACACCATATTCCGTATCATTCATTGGGCAGAAGTACACCTAGTCACATTGTATGCAATTCGTCAAGGGTACTGGCGATGGTATGACTGTCGTGTGATTCTTTGAAACTTGTACTTTTAGGCTGCTTATGTTGACTTGTATGAGGATGTTCAGCGTGTTCGAGGTCTGCGATAGTTTGATGGTTGGAAATCATCCCGTGTTCGCAGACCTCCAACACGCGTTCCACAGAGAAGCACTAAAACCGTCGTGAAGGTTGAATGATAGACCTTCTGTACGTATGCTTTCTACTACTAGGGTGACTGTACATGTCGTTCTTGTGTGCCGACATTGATGTACTTTGATGCTTTAGGCGCTTATATGTAATCGATATTCATACGTTGCAGGATTGCGATGTCTTGATGAGTTTCAATCAAGTCCGGCGCGCCACTCCGGTGAAGAGCTGTCTTCGTATTGGCCTAGTTATTTTTAAGGGAATACTAATGTCAACCCTCTCGTGCAAATAATTTATTTGCCCTGGTCACCCAACCATATCTGCGACCCCAGCGAGGAGACGAGAAGTCATCAGGAAACAGTGGGACAGCCCATTGTTTGACCGCAGTCCAGAAACATCACTCGCGTTCCACAACCTCATACTTCACTCAAACAATAGCCTACCATCCGACAGATCTATATCCCTATCCTCCTCTCACTTGCCTTTACTATCATAACTCCTGTCAGCGTCCGCCTCAAATGCGGATGAAAAGGCTCGCTCTCCTCCGCAATCGCTTCCACGCCATCCAAATCAAAGTTGTTGCCTCGTTCTCAAACTCTATCGAGTAGGACGTCGCTCAGACGTAAAAAGCTTACGCGTGAACATCGAGCAAGAAACTGCAGGCTGCGCCTGAACCTACCATCATTTTCAAAGCTATTTATATCACTCTCAGTCTTCCCTGATACGCTTGAAGGCTCCACACGGTGGGCAGCTAGTGCCAGTAGTGATCCAATAAGAACCAAACTTGGCATAAATATAATCAAATTCCCTCGTTCCCTGCAGAGACCCGACGAATGTAAATCATATTGAACATCTCCAGTGCTACACGCTATTGGTAGTTGATACATGCACACGCTCCTGGAAAGCAATTGAAATCATGCTAGGTCCTGCATCGGAGTCAATCACGAGCTTAACATGATATTCTCGAATACTGAGGATCAGACGTGGTCCTAGCACAGTCGACTGCACAATGATGAATATTTGAGGAAAACCAAAATAAAATAATATTGCCGGGGAATATGGGTCCTATGAGAAAGTAATGAAGCGTGATTGCATGCAGAGGTCAGTGACGGATTGACGTACCTTTGACATCGTTGGCGAAAAATAACCGAGTAGGCAGCAAACAACCACGGCAAAACTAGCATGTGCGGAACTTGAACGGAAAAGAAAACCATATTCACGTCATGGGCTCACCACACAAAGTAACTCATATGAGTTGTCATTAACACCGTAAAACAGTCCCTGATAATACCTCCCGCCGATTGTGGTCGCAATTCACGGAAGTGCTTTAGGGCAATCCGGACTGCAAGACACAGTGCGAAGACCTCCCACACAGCGGTGAGTATCCAAGGGATGACGTCCAAATGGTGGAGATTGTCAACAACGCACTGATAGGTGCCAGAGAGAAGGACTTGCTCTGGTATTTGTCATTAATGAGCCTGAGGCACTCAAAGTTTTTCATCCATAATTGAAACTTACCCGCTGAAATATGCCTCATGTTTATCGTGAGCATCACTGTGTTGGCAATAATAATGGCCACGAAGACAACAACGAGGAGTGCCAGCACCTTTCTGGATCGTTGGTACATGGCATATAACCGAGCAATCATGATGACTTGCATGGTATTTCAGTCAAGTCAAATATTACTGAGGTATTGCAACTGCGTAGCTCACCACCGAGTATTGCAATTAGGACCCACGACGTCCAATATAGCGCAAAGTACATGATAAGACCTGATACATCTAGTCAGCGATCAGCCTCGGAGGATCACACACTCCAAAGAAACTCACAACTGTAACAATTATTACGGTGGATCAGCAAGCTGTTCAAGAATATTGCTCACCCCTACATGATAGTTGATTAGACGGGTATATGGAATGGAAGGTATCGGTACGGAACACTCACTGAATCTTGCAGCGGGATTATCTGAACAGCCACTGTATGCTGCTGGTTAGAAGCAAAAAAAAAAGTGTATGTAACAAACACACTCTGTATGTTCATGCTAATTGTGGGAGATGGGCGATTAGACAACACCAATCTTAGCCTTCCAAACATACCCAGCGTATATTATTCCAATGTAGCGCACCTGGGATGTTATCACATCAGCTCAACTTGCTAAGCACGCTTATAGTACGAGCTACATACAGTGAGATACAGGACAGTCATCAGAGACCAACGTCGCCTCTGTCACGGATTAATGGTATTTTGATGTTGTTCTTCGGACATGAGACTCTGCTCACCCAGATCAATTCGACCTATGAAACCATTTTTAGAGAGATGGCTGCTCTGGTAATGACACCAACCTACCTCTTGTCCGAATGCAAGCACTAGAGAAACCATCGTCAGGATATCAATAACTCTTTCATACTATCTTGCTCACCCCAATCATACATCACCCCAACGGAGCCAGCAACTGCAAAAAGGCAGCGAAGGGTAGATCAGCATATCACCGTTATCATCCGACTGGCCCTCTACAGACCTATAAAATAGCTGAAAATAATATGTGAATTGATGAGCGGCGACCAACTGGGATCATTTGAGATTATAGTCATACTATTAGAGGATGTGGGTGAGCGAGCGGCGGACTTGGTGGACGTATGACAATGGTATTCGTGCCAGTTATACCACCTTTTATCGCCGAAATGAGTACTATACAGATACTAGTCCCTTGATTGCGCTTAGTGAGTAAGGGTAGGGATGACTCACGGCCATGCCGAACGTTCGAACCAAAAAAGTGAACATCCTGATTTCGGCGACTAACTTGTTTCTGCTGCCATTCATCCTGGCTCATTTGCGTACCACTGTCTTCGATCATGAAAAGCCATGCCTTCCCTGCGCGTGGAGTAAATCATATCGCATCGCTAGAGAGAGAGTTAGGGTGCAAGATATCGTCACGGTTGTGATTGTTAACTATATATGGCCAACAGTTTATTACATTCAGAATAGTCTGTTCGGTTCACTGATGACGTCCACAGGAGCCGAGTCGTAAGAATAATATCGGCGGAAGTGGGAAGAACGTGTTCAACACTCCACTGACATAAGGTGAATAGGCCCGGAGTATCCAGTGCACCGTGATTATCAAACCCCCACCCCAGCTGCAGGGTCACCGAGTTTTGTCCGATGAATTCATTCGACCTGTAGTCAAATCAGTCCTCAACACGTACTATGCCACGTAATACTTGATACCGGGTCCGAGATTGCCTGGGCAGTACCACATAAGTAGCTGTCGGGATTGGACTGGCGCTGTTACGATCGTGCCCTACATCAGCTTTGTCGAAAACAAAATCCGAACACCCATACCTTTTACGAGTTATCCACCTGTCGATTTTGCCTTGAGTCATCGACCTAGCTATTAACAGGTGAATGATTAGGCGGATTTTCACGGAACACTACCAGGGGGGTTATGGATCGCTAGCAATCCAGCAAGCCTGAACGTTAAAGACTTGAGCTGTGTGTTGGATGATTGGGATGGGATCCGCTGGGAGTAGAGTCGATGAGGAAGCGAGACGAGTGAACGTCTGAGGAGTGAGCATGACGAGTGAGCGATTTCCATTACGACAATGACAGTGAGTAATAAGCTTGAACGAGATCTAGTATAAGATAATCAGTGGTACCTCCGAAAGGTGCTTGGAAAGCCGGAAGCACCAGTTCATTTGCTCTTCAGGCCTTCACTGTATATTCACGACTATCCGAAGCTCTGCGCCGCATCTTCTCAGTTTTTGCATCGAGTTTTAACAAGTTGAATCAACGCTCGCACTCGGTCCTGGCCGAGACTTGGTCTGTGGATTCTGTGCACATACTCGTCACATCTAACTGTGACGTATCCTCGTGACCGGGTCTCCTAGCTTACGCTGGTGGCGCAGACTTCAGACTTCAGTCTTTTCATCTTTGCCATCAGCCAGCGTTGAGCACCACCTGCTCGCGCACGTCCTGCGCCGTATTTTAAAACTACCGGCCACATTCCCTCGCGGTTTTGTCGAGTCTTACTCGTTTCTTCCTGGTCTCAGTCATTCCGATGGCTTGTATATTAATGTTACTTCGAGCTGTCATATCTCGGTGCTAAAATTGATTGCGGGTCCTGCGGGCATTGAGCTGGAGGACCCCGCTTGCCCTAAACTCATTTTTCGAGTGCCCATACGAAGTGCAAGATGATTCAACTGACGTAGAAAGCCACAGCGCGCGCGCGCGCTCGTCACGCATCCATAATATTTAAGGAATGAGACTTTGATGCCATTTACAATAACTCATACCCCAAAGTATACCCCTCGAAACTCGAAACTGTATGACTGTGGTTTCCGTGATACCAGATGCATATATCGCCCTCCAAGGACATCATCTCAAAAAATCGATCCGTCCCAGTTTCCGAGTTGTCACCCGGTCATACATCCGACAGATCTATATCCCTATCCTCCTCTCACTTACCTTGACCATCATAAGTCCTGTCAGCGTCCGCCTCAAATGCGGAAAAGGCTCGCTCTCCTCCGCAATCGCTTCCACGCCATCCCAATCAAAGTTGTTACCTCATTCTCAAACGCTATCGAGTGGGGCGTCGCTCAGACGTAAAAAGCTTGCGCGTGAATATCGAGCAAGAAACTGCAGGCTGCGCCTGAACCTACCATCGTTTTCAAAGGCATTTATATCACTCTCGGTCTTCCTTGATACGCTTGAAGGCTCCGCACGGTGGGCAACTAGTGCCAGTAGTGATGCAATAATAACGAAACTTGGCATAAATATAATCAAATTCCCTTTTTCCCCGCAGAGACCCGACGAGTGTAGATCACATTGAACATCTCCAGTGTTACACACTATTGGTAGTTGATACATGCACACGCTCATGGAAAGCAATTGAAATCATGCTATGCCCTGCATCGGAGTCGATCACGAGCTTAGCGTAATATTCTCGAACACCAAGGATCAAACGTGGTCCTACCACAGTTGACTGCACAATGATGAATATTTGAAGAAAACCAAAATAAATCAACACTGCCGGGGAATATGGGTCCTATGGGAAATGATGAAGCGTGGTTGCATGCAGAGGTCAGTGACAAATTGACATACATTTGACATCGTTGGCGAAAAATAGGCGACTGAGAGGCAAACAATCACAACAAAGCTGGCATGTGCAGAACTTCAACAGAAAAGAAAACCACATTCACGTTATGGGCTCACCTCGCAAAGTAACTGATGTGAGTTGTCATTAGAACTGTGAAACAGTCCCCAATAATACCTCCCGCCGATTGTTGTCGCAATTCATGGAAGTGCTTTAGAGCAATCCGGACTGCAAGACACAGTGCGAAGGTCTCCCATACAGCAGCGAGTATCCAAGGGATGATGTGCAAAGGTCGGGTATTGTCAACAACGCATTGATAAGTGCCAGAAAGAACGACTTGCTCTGCATTTATCAATGAGCCTGAGGCACTCAAAGTCTTTCATCCATAACTGAAGCTTACCCGCTGAAATATGCCTCATGTTTATCGTGAGCATCACTGTGTTGGCAATAATAATGGCCACGAAGACAACAACGAGGAGTACCAGCACCTTTCTGGATCGTTGGTACATGGCATATGACCGAGCAATCATGATGACTTGCATGATATTTCAGTCAAGTCAAATATCACTGAGGTATTGAAACTGCGTAGCTTACCACCGAATATTGCAATTAGGACCCACGTCGTCCAATATAGCGCAAAGTACATGATAAGACCTGATACATCTAGTCAGCGATCAGCCTCGGAGGATCATACACTCCAAAGAAACTCACAACTGTAGCAATCATTATGGTGGATCAGAAAGCTGTCCAAGAATGTTGCTCACCCCTACATGATAGTTGATTAGACGGGTATGGAAGGGAAGGTATCGGTACGGAACACTCACTGAATCTTGCAGCGGGATTATCTGAACAGCCACTGTATGTTGCTGGTCAGAAGTAACAAACAGTGCATGTGAACAAACACACTCTGTATGTTCATGCTAATTGTGGGAGATGGGCGATTAGACAACACCAATCTTAGCCTTCCAAACGTACCCAGCGTATATTATTCCAATGTAACGCACCTGGGATGCTATCACATCAGCTTAAGCACACTCATAGTACGAGCTACATACAGTGAGATACAGGACAGTCATCAGGGACCAGCGTTGCCTCTGTCGCGGATTAATGGCATTTTGATGTTGTTCTTCGGACACGAGACTCTGCTCACCCAAATCAATTCGACCTATGAAACTATTCTCAGAAATGGTTACTCCGGTAATGGCATCGACCTACCTCTTGTCCGAATGCAAGCACTGGAGAAACCATCAGGATATCAATAACTCTTTCATACCATCTTCAACTCACCCCAATCGTACATTACCCCAATGGAGGCTGCAACTACAAAAACGCAGCGAAGTTTATATCAGCATATCACCCGTTATCATCCGACTGGCTCTCTACAGACCTATAAAATAGCTGAAAATAATATGTGAATTGATGAGCGGCCACCAACTGGGATCATTTGATATTATAGTCATACTATTAGAGGATGTGGGTGAGTGAGGGGCGAACTTGGTGGACGTGTGACGATGGCACGAATGCCAGACATACCACCTTTTATCACCGAAATGAGTACCATAAAGATAGTATTTGTCAGTCCCTTGATTCGAGTAAGGATTCAAGCATGGAAAGGGGGAAATTTTGACTCACGGCCACAAGTTGGAACGTTTGAACCAAAAAAAAAAGTGAACATCCGACTGGGTCTTCGATCATGAAAAGTCATGCCTTCCCGTGCCGACTGCGCATGGAGTAAATCATATCGCATCGCTAAAGAGACTCTGAGTTGGGGTGCAAGATTGTCACGCTTGTGATTAGCAGTCCGAGTTCACCGGTTCACTAATGTAGTACTTGGTCCGCAGGTGCTGAGTACCGCTGCACTAGCACGTGAAACAATACCAGCGGAAGTGGGAAGAACGTGTTCAACACTCCACTGACATAAGGTGAATAGTATCCAGTGCACCGTGATTATCAAACCCCCACCCCGACTGCAGGGTCACCGAGTTTTGTCCGATGAATTCATTCGACCTGTAGCCAAATCAGTCCTCAACACGTTATGCTACGTAATACTTGATACCGGGCCCGAGATTGCCTGGGCAGTACCACATAAGTAGCTGTCGGGGACTTGGACTGGCGTGGCCGAGCGCCGTTACGATCGTGCCTTACACATGATCAGCTTTCTTGAAAATAAATCTCAGATACCTATACCTTTTACGAGTTATCCACCTGTCGATTTTTGCCTTGAGTCATCGACCTAGCTATTAACAGGTGAATGATTAGGCGGATTTTCACGGGACACTACCAGGGGCGTTATGGATCGCTAGTAATCCAGCATGCCTGAACGTTAAAGACTTGAGCTGCGTGTTGGATGATTGGGATGGGATCCGTTGGGAGTAGAGTCGATGAGGAAACGAGAGGAGCGAACGTCTGAGGAGTGAGCATGACGTGTGAATGATTTCCACTACGACAACGACAGTGAGTAATAAGCTTGAACGAGATCTTGTATAAGATAATCCGTCAGTGGTACCTTTGAAAGGTACTTGGGAAGCACCAGTTCATTTACTCTTCAGGTCTTCACTGTATATCCACGACCATCCGAAGCTATGCGCCGCATCTTCTCAGTTTTTGCAACTGACGTAGAAAGCCGACGGCGCGCGCGCGCTCGTCACGCATCCATAATAAGCAAGGAGACTTTGATACCATTTATACCCCAGAGTATACCCCTCGAAACTGTATGACTGTGGTTTCTGATACCAGATGCATATATCGCCTTCCCAAGAACGACATCTCAAAAAATCGTTCCGTCCCAGTTTGCGGGTTGTCACCCGGTCATGGTAAGTACCACAACCGAAGACTGCGTCAATATCACTTTGATCAATAAACTACTACATACTATTAACCTAGATATCTCGTTACATATCCCACTGCCAACTTGAATGCTATGATATTTATTAACTGATCCTTCCACAATATACCACCACGCCACGAGCACACACTAAGAAGCACTCAAACGGACGCGCCCGAACCAGAACCGCTGGCTTCACTAGCACTGCCGTCAAACCTCGAAACATCATAGTCTGCTCGCGCAGCGCCGCCCCTAAGATCCTTGCTCATCCGCGACCTACCGCGGGCCTGCTCCTGATATCTGCGCTTTGGCTTCACGCCATAAGGACGGACGGCGGTTTTGCCTTTGGCTTCGACCTTCTTGCGTTTCATCATGGAGAGACTGACATCTGGCCTGACGAGGATAGTGAACGCGATTGATAGTAGTACCAGGGCCGCTGGCCGTTGCAAAAATGGCCTTTGGGAAGGAGGCTACGGTGCTGCTGTAGATGACACCAAAGAGCATGGGCTGCAGAGCCTATATGAGAATACATCTCGGCCTAGAATAATATTACTCACCCCGAGAATAGTCTGACCGACGGCTTGCAGGACAGCGAGAGCACCAAAAAGTTTTCCAGGCTCCAACTCAACATCGTTATCGTGCTCCTGAGCCTCGCCTGTACGGACAAGACCTTCCTTAGTAGCCAGCGCACGACCCTGGAGGGTGCACAATGCAAGGCTCTGCATGCCTGGCATCACCCCCGCACCAACGCACGAGAGTGATGTTGCACCAACAAACATGAACTGCGACCACCAAACACTACTTGAATCGCGGGAGGGCAGAGGCGCAATGACAACAAGCGCATGCGAAAGGAAGTCTATAAGCATGGAATACCGCACGACACGGAGATCGAACCGCATTTCATTGAATAGATGAGACTTTGTGGGCTTAGGCTTTGACGTAGGCGCCGCGGGATTCGCGGGTGCGTTTGTAGAGGAAACCGCAGCGCGGACGGGCTTGAACTTTAAAAGAAGGACTGCTGATTATCAGAACCAGGAGGTGTGACCAAATGGTTAACTCACATGGGAGGAAGACAAGTAAGTACCAAGCACGGCAGGCTCCCATGAATGAGATATAGTAGCTTAGTTGTTCAGCTGTCCAGTCGTAGATATGCTCAGCATATAGGTACTTGAGCTGGAAGATCCCTGTTGCCAACATGTGCAAGAAGATCGACATGCCGATGAACGTTAGACCCCAGTCTTTCCGTGTGCGAGAGGGCACGAGTGAGTCTCCAGTAGCGCTGGTAGCTACAGGAACATGGGACGGGAGGAAGACGGCAAGGGGTGATAGAAAGCTTCGGATGATGCGAGTTGCAGGTCCATCCATTGGAGGGCTCATCGACCTTACCTATAACAAATGCTTCGAATTGAATACAAGACCAGGTGGCCAACACAGTGATACACGTACTGCTAGGGAATTCTGGACCACTCTCAACGGCTCGACCCTTACCTTTCCTATTTGATGCTCGGCGAGAAGCAGGAAGCGATTCGGGGAACACAAAGAGTACCAAAAGCAAGTTCACGAAAGAACAGGTAATCGCCACCCAGAAAACGGATGTAACGCTTTGTAGTGGGTGTTCGACTTTCACTGAGATTAAGCATTCGGCCGATCAAATAGTAATCCGACGTACCATTTCCAGCACTCAAGAAAGGTATCGGATTCTTGATCAGCCATGCACCGAGTACGGGCCCGAGAGCAAGTCCGATAGAAAGGACGCCAGTGAAACGGGCAAAAATAGTCGCACGCGAACCAGGAGATGTACAATCAGCGATGTAGGCCGTATTGGCACCGTTCAAGGTCGACCATCCTCCAAGAGAGCCCTCGATGATAGGTGCAAGGATGAGCAGCTTATGCGAGTGAACGGCAAGGGGGCTGTGAGGTGTTGATACAAGAATAAATGTGAGGTCTCTTTATGATTTGACAGCATATATCCGTAAGCAAGAACTCGGAAAGAAGCGAAATCTGACACGTACGTAAGGAAGAGTCCGAAGGTGGAGATAGCAAGGATACGTGTGCGGCCGTGCCTTTCCCCAAACTGGCCCCACCAGCCCGTTGTAAGAGCAGAGAGGGCACCCATCGTTGTGGTCATTATGGTCTGCAGGCGTGCAGCACCTGCCTGGACGGTGGGATCTGAAACACACTTTTTACTTGGTATCATGCGGGGATCGTCATCTTCATCAGCATCGCCGTTCTCCTGGGTTTTGCCTAAAGTAAGGACAGGTGATGATGCCAAATGCACGGAGATTAAATGGGGTTCTACTGGATCGACCACGTCATGGCTTGAGTAGAACGGAGTGTGTATCACACTGGTGTGATTATAGTGCTCGTATACGCTGTGGCATGACAATTGTGTAAAGACTTCCACACGGGACGCCAGCGTCATGCCGCGCTATACAGATCGCACGATGACAGTCAGCATATTTCTCCAGATGATGACAAGTCGGAACGCACAGTAAGAGATGCAATTAGTGCAAATGGTACCAGCCTGCCCGGTACTCCATTAGTCGGATTACTCGTAACTAGGGCACTGACAAGCTCAGTGAACAGCTGCTCACCATAATGGGCGGGCGCGGTAGAATGGTTTCTTGGCTTTGGGCGCAGTCCGAATCAATGGATCGCGTTCCGTTGGGACTGCGGCGCCCTCCAGTGCCGGCGTTGGGTAGTTGTCGACTGGCTGTGGTGAGTGCGAGGGGGAGAAGGTTGTGTTCTCTGTCGATATGATTGGATCCGTGATGATTCTGTCGAGGGGCGGCATGGTGAAGGACTACACAAAGTCGAATGCGGGACGGAGAGGCATTTCAGGTCGATAAAATGAATTAAGCGCTAGTATTTATAATTAGTGGGAATGCGGCACGTTGGTACCAGCACTGAGGCTGACACTAAGTACACGCATAGCACACGACCCAATGCTTACGGATGCTGAGATAGGTAAGGCCACATGCACAATCAATCCTAACAATATCGTAGTCCACAGCGGGCCGGCCATGGTCAAATCGTTATCACCCAGGGCGCTGCACGCCGAGCACCAATGAGAAGTTGATGAATTACGTAACACTGAAATGGTTCTGTTGAAAATAACTTGAAATTGTGAAACTATCAATACTAGTCTGGACGTTCAACCTGCGCGTCGTCTCGAAAGATCCCTCTGAGACTACAGTCAAGAGCGTCCTACAGAAGCAGGCATCATCTTGCACCGCTCCACGTTGTGGAATTCCTAGTTGTCTATTGCGCCCTGGAGATCCGTTATCGCTAATTTAACAAGGTCAATAATCGGAGCTAGAAACCACTATCAACACTAGCGCAGGCCATCCAGATGCCGTTCGACTTCAATGAAGCGCTTGGCGCTCCAATACATCGCGAAGGAGATGAAGACTTTATGGATGATGGATGACGTAGATGTTGACAGTGAAGGAAGACTGGGTCCAGGTGCTTTCTGGGAACTCTATCGTACGAGTCTACCGGATCAGACAAGGTAAGTATGTGGCATGAGGCTTCGTGAGGGTGAGTTCAGCTTACGAATAACATCATTGTTTGCTTGTATCAAGACCGGGAAATTCCTGAACTTGAATGACCTAAGACCGTCTCTAGCAGGCAACTGAGATGCATTGTGACTAACCAATAGTGGTATAGGATGACGGTATTGGAACAGCTATCCCTACCGCATGGGGTCCGAATCCTGCCCAGCCCTTCTCGTGCCCACGTGGAACAATCGAGGTATTGCCCCATATGGGATCAAGTAATTGGTTGATTTCCGGATCAGAATCGCGAGCACTGTTCGTCACCTCTGTACTTTGTTCCATCTTTGCCCTGAAGAATGATCAAGGTGCATCACAACTTCGCCGTCGGCCCCGAAGACGTTTGCGGTGAGGCAATGGCATATGCACATTAGCCATGACATGAGGCTACGGGCTGGCAGCGGAGAACTCGTAAACGCTTCCTCGAGGCGCACCACTCGAGCGATTTGATGTATCTAGAAAGACGACTGTCTCACTGTGACTGGCAGCGCCTCAAGCTGCATGAAAGGGGATGCCGTATGAAAAATCGCAAGTTGTAGCCAATCAGTCTACCAGGTCAGTTATCGACTCTCGTAGCTAATGCGCAATGCTAAACATGCATACATGACTCCAGTTGATGGATGCGAACTGAAATGAAGTACGCTGTCCGCGATCGACAATTTGGCATAGACAAGTGATCCATCAAATTCGAGTCGTCGAGAATATTGGTGGATTATTTGTTGGTGACCAATTGAAGTTCAGCCCAATCCCCAGATGTACGGTAGAGAAATTAATACTGACAATCACGCATTCTATACAAAGATACGCGTCAGCGAGTTATCTCCCTTGCCAAAGCCTCACGCCATACATATGATATCGTCTGTGAGTTGTCCTTCCCCTTTCTTATGGGAAGAATTTGAGATTAAATTAAGAGGCATTTTGGCGACTTATCTTCGTTGTGGCACATCGGCCTAGAAGGAACGACTATCTTCCTTCGTCTATAAAGGGCTGTCTAGGGGAGACTAGCAATGGCCTTGGGAAATTTCATCTTCCAAGCAGTCGGGAAATCCCAACACGGCGACGACAACTACGAAGTCATGTGGAATCGGATGGAAGGGGCACATTACTTCGAAGGTGACCAAAGTGGTGAAATGCAGATGTTCTCCCGGATATGATATGTCTATGTCAATCATGCATAATCACAGAGACGACGTGCCCGAGGGAGCCTTGATATGATCAGGAAGCCCAGTGCGGGTATGGATACAGATGACAATTTGAATATATTTCTGTTATTTGCTTGTTCAGTTGCAGTGGATACTGTGTAGCAACTGCAGTGCATTAACCCTAACCCTAACAAATCTATTTTGCGTCTCAGCTGATCTGAGGTCGAGTCACTCTAGATGTCAAGTCTCGGCTATACTGGACAATATCAATTGCAAGTACTGGGTCTCACGGAATCATATCACCTCTTTCACCCTTTTTACACGCACCAGAACAATCCGGAGTCATGACTCAGAAAATCAGAGTGACCAACGACGTCCTGCGATCTATTCCTGATCCTGGGCAGGGCGCCGTGTAAGTTTATCAGATCGGAGCTTCCAGCACTATCATTTATATTATCATTGGCGCAGACTACCAAAGGATGGGGAAACAAATATTCTTATCACGTCCGCTTTGCCTTACTTGTAATAATGTACCTCATCTTGGTGCTGTCATCCGATCTACTATCATATCACAAGTCTGACGACAATGATCGCTAGGAAATATCATAGGAAGCACCTTGAGCGCAGACGTCTTCAGCCGGTGAGTATCACCACTTACTGGTGTCTTGTGATGTGTGCTCAGAGCATCCTCTCTTGATAGATACAACCGTCAGTGATGGTCTCGCACAGTTTTATATCCACATCTCATCGGACCTTTTACAGGGACACGGAATAGACGCACTCTTTATATTTGTGGAACTGATGAATACGGAACTGCCACAGAGACTGCAGCTCTCAAGGAGGGTATCACTCCCAGAGAACTATGCGACAAGTACCACGCGTTGCACAAAGAGACATATGAGTGGTTTGATATTGGGTGCGTATCCTCCACCAGTACAGTTGTTATCTACTGAACTTCCTTAGTTTCGATCTCTTTGGACGCACATCAACCGCCAAACATACCGAGTCAGTCCAATAATATAGTTTTGTTACCACTCATTAACACCGAAAACACAGGATATGTCAATCAATTTACCTCAATCTCGGTCAACACGGATATTTAGAAAAGCAGATCAAAGATCAGACGTATTGTGAAGGTTGCAAAAAGTGAGTCTTGCTAGAGGTTAACAAAACAGTTCCAACATTCTCCCCAGGTTTTTGGCTGATCGCTACGTAGAGGGTATCTGCCCTCATTGCGCCTACGTCGTACGTCAGGCAGCTAATAATAACGCATATTCTCACTATCTGTTCCAGGATGCTCGTGGCGATCAATGTGATGGATGCAGTCGCACGCTAGATGCCATCGACCTAATCGAGCCTCGATGCTTGATTGATAAAACTCACAATGTCGTTGCACATTCTTCTTCGCATATGTATTTCAAGCTAGATGCTGCTCAACCAGCGTTAGAAGACTGGATCAAGAAGTCATGGAAGAAAGGAAAATGGTCACCCAATGCCACAATCAATGCCGATGGCGAGATCGTAGATGCGCGCATGAAAAGTGGACTTAAACCTACCCCGGTCACGCGGGATCTTGCTTGGGGCGTTCCCATTCCACCCCTCGGTCGAGATGATGACAAGGAGATGGGTGGGAAAGTGTTGTGTGAGTGGCTAGTTCCCAAAAATATCTCTAATGTATTGACGAGCAACGACAGATGTTTGGGTTAGTTGACAATACTTTCATTTACACCGTTTCATAACACTTTCCCTGCAGTTCGACGCAGTCATTGGCTACGTCAGTATCACCGGAGAATATACCCCGGAATGGAAACAATGGTGGCTCAACCCAGATAATGTTCGACTATACCAATTCATGGGCAAAGATAATGTATATTTCCATACTATATACTTCCCCGCAATGCTGCTCGCGGATGGCAATAATTGGACGACACTACACCATCTCTCAACTACCGGTGAGCATGAAATTCCAGACCGAGTCTCTTTTCTGACCATTTGGCATACAGAATACCTTAATTATGAGGGAGGAAAGTTCTCCAAGAGTAAAAATCGCGGTGTGTTTGGGCCTGCTGCTCAGGAGACCGGAATTCCCGCTTCCGTATGGCGGTATTATTTGCTCTCCACTCGTCCAGAAACTGCTGATGCCATGTTCTCGTGGGCGGATTGTGTAAGTTGGTCTGCGTTCTATCACTAGCTCTTTCTTAACCCTGTACTATTTCATAGATTGCCGCTAACAATAATGTCCTCCTCAAAAAGTAATTGTTAAGATAAACATGTTGAACTGATACTGATCGCTTGTTCGACAGCTTTGGCAACTTCGTCAATCGTGCCCTCAAGTTCCTCTCCTCCCAATATGACAGTGTCCTTCCAGAAAGCGGCGATGCTCCCGGCCCATTGTCTCCCAACGACCCTCTTGACGCCGAGTTCATCACCGATGTCAACGCGCTCCTCAAGGATTATATCGATGCGATGGAGAGCGTAAAAATACGACTCGGTCTTCAAACTGTCATGCTCATCTCAAGCCGGGGCAATGGTTACCTGCAGGCCTCGGGCCTGAACAAGGCCTTAATGACAGAAAACCCACAGCGATGCGCGCAAGTCATATCGCGCGCCATCAACCTGATTTACGTTCTTTCAGCCCTTATATATCCTTTCATGCCCGCCACTTCGGATGCGCTCCTGCTGCAGCTGAACGCGCCGGCGCGTGTAGTTCCCGAGGTGCTCTCCACGGATATCCTTGCGGGCCACCAGATCGGCCAGCCTGACCACCTGTTCAAGAATATTGACGAGAAGATGGAACAGGTGTGGAGGGTGCGCTTTGGTGGTGACGAGTCGGCTAAGAAGGAGGAGGAGGCACCTACGTCGAAACGCAAAGCAAAGAAGGCGGGCGTTGTTAACGCTGTGACGGTCGGTGGGCCAAAACCGCCCGAGGTTATTGCTTTAGAAGCAAAGATTTTAGAGCATGGACAAGTTGTTCGTGGGCTGAAGGATAACAAGGAGGCGAAGGATGTCATAGATGCTGCGGTAACGGAACTGAAGAGGCTAAAAGCTGAACTTGTCTTGCTAGAGAGGTCAAGAAACCCGGCTACACAGTGAAGAGGCCGTAATCGAAGTTGTATCATTGCTCTTGTACTTATAATGTAGAAGTGTTATGGTAATTATCAAAAGAGACTGGAGTCATATGTAAAGCGTTCGGTCTGCGAAACACGTGTCCCAAAAGCGATCTGCGCAGCTCTTATTTGCACCACTCCCTCGTCATTTAGAGGATGTTGATGACAGTCTCAACACCTCCGACAACAGAGTACGTGCCATTTGTTCCATTCACCGGATAAGTAGTATCCAGCATCACTACGTAACTGGCATTGAAATAGACTGCATAAGGGAGCTGGGGTAAAGAATCAACTACCACACATGGACTACATGACCACCAAAACTAACCTGAGTTGTGAATTGGTCAAAGAGAGGAGTTTCCGAGTTCGCATTGAGAGTGCGACGAGCAAGTAGGATTGGAGGTTCGTAGCCGTTGTTGTTCACAGGGACTTCAATGTAGTAGTCAGTGTACTGGGGGTTCACACCAAATTGAACAGCGCAGCTAAAATTGGCCGTCACAGTAAAAGTCTTGCATGATAAAAATGATCAGACTCGGAAGGAGCCAACATAAATATGAACACGACTCACGTCACCAGGAGAGAGCGTGGTAGGACTGACGGTAACAACGCCAAAGCGAGTAGCCTCGGAACAGGACTGAGCAGCTGCTGGAGCAACTACAGCGAAGACAGCAGCAAGGGTAGCAATCGCGGTTGAGAAGGAGAGCTGCATTCTTGCAAAAGTAGGGAATGACACTCGCTCCAGTAACAGTTAGCTCTTTTTATGCAAGTGCAAGGAGGCAGTACTGGTATCAATTACTGTCAGGATTCCAATGAACGAGACGCGGCGTCGTCAGATCATTGCGACAGCGGCAACACAAGCCGACGGCGCAGAATTACCGCTCCCAGGAAATCTGAAAAACAATGACAGAATACACGTGAAACATTGCAAGTATCATGCGAACGTGATGCTTTAAGAACAACACTAGTTCGCAATAAGACCTAAGTGTGCAATGTAAAGCTAGCTTCAAATGATTGCGGACATCTAGACCGATGTGTGGATGAGAGTTGCATGTGCCCAACTGGACACTCAAAAGGCCCCGCAGCCTGAGGGTTACTTGAATCAGGTTACAATTAATGTTGTTATAGTTGTGCGCCGGTTGTGACTTGTTGTGGGAAGCTCAATGTGCATTAATGGTGGACCTGGTTCCGTGGTCACTGGGCAATGAGCGGAGAATGATGGTGGCAGTGCTTAGTCACTCCTGTTTTTTGTTTGTTTCAACTTTCAAGTCCCTCACCTAGTATATAAACTACAGGCTGCAGCAGGCTGTCTGGCTTCAAAACTAACTTCAGAAAAACTACCAAGCAACTACCGTATAGCTTCAGACCAAATCATAGAAATGGACGTTCAGTACGTTGTAAGCAAGAACCATTTTTATCTTACCGTCAGATATTCACTATATCTTCTATCACATTCGAATTTCGAAAAGATGACAAGGAAGCGAAAGAGACCGGCTTACGACTCCCAAGGCGATGAGGCGCTCGATCTGCTTCATTCCGAAACTTCGATAGACATGCGCGAACCATCTTTAGGCCTCGTCCCTCCTATTGTATCCCTTCCTTCAGCTAGGGACACCACTGCAACCAAGGCACAGCTTTTACCATCAAAATTCAACAAGCTTAATCCACATCAGGAGGCCGTAACGGTGGACAACTTCATTCGTCAAATCACCGCGAGGGTGCCTGGACCGCGGCGCAAACGGCAGCTACGGACCGTAAAATTGCAAGATACATCTACGGGCGGTGCAAATAGTCAGCCAACCACTCGGCCTGCTCCCGCAAAGGTCTGCATCTCAAATGGAGGGTGTATTTCCAACAAGCCCGTCGAGGACAGCAAACCGATGACTCTGGCGCAAAGGCTGGCCCGTGCTGCCATGCTTTCCCATGTGGAAACGAAGGAGATTCTGCATCCTCCCGGTGTATCCTCCTCTCGTCGGCCTCTCGACTTTGTTCCATTCCCGAAATTCGCAACGCCTCCCTCTTCGCCGAGGAAGAAACTTATTAAACGATCAGCTTTTTCTCGTTCTGAGTCTTCTGCAGTCATGCTGCGCAATAATCGACGCCAAGGGGCAAAACAACAACCTGCTTTAGAGCGTCCTGGCTATCCTCCTCTGCCCTTTGTTCCCTCACATGAAGCGAAGGCCACAGATACCTCTGGAGCGCGATCTCACACCGAGTCTTCTGCAGTCATACTCGACAGTAGTCGACGAAAGAGGCTAAAAAAACAACCAACTTCCGAGCGTCCTGGCTATCCTCGTTTGAACTTCATCCCCTCACATGAAGCAGAGGCAGGATATGCCGCAATGTTTCCGTGAGTTGTCTCCTTTCAAACTAGATAGAGACGTTCGGTAGATGGCCCAACAGACGTTCTTTGAAACGGCGGCCTACTTCCGACCGTCATGGGTATCCTCCTTTGAACTTCATTCCCTCACATGAAGCAGAGGCAGGATATGCTGCAATGTTTCCGTGAGTTGTCTTCTTTCAAACTAGATAGAGACGTTCGGTAGATGGCCCAACAGACGTTCTTTGAAACGGCGGCCTACTTCCGACCGTCATGGGTATCCTCCTTTGAACTTCATTCCCTCACATGAAGCAGAGGCAGGATATGCTGCAATGTTTCCGTAAGTTTTTTTCTTTCAGAGCAGATAGGGATGTTCGGTAAATGGCCCAACAGACGCAGAGCTCTTAAACGACGGCCTACTTCCGAGCGTCCTGGCTATCCTCCTTTGAATTTCATTCCCTCACATGAAACGGAGGCTGCAAAGTTGTCTTCTTGTAGGGCAAATAAGGACGCTCGACAGAAAGGCCCGACAGACGCTCTTGACACCGTAACGAGGACTGCTTGGACTCAGAATCGCCCATGTCGAACCGAACCGAACCCTTGGCAGCTGGAATCCATCACGGACAGTCCGCCACTGATGCCCTCTACAATCGCAACAGACTAGCTGCACCTTCTTGGAAAAGCAAGGCATTCGGAACTCGCACAATGGGCAAACTACTCCACTTTGTAACACTTCCTTTTGTACTCATTAGCATGTACACGAATTAGAAAATGGATTTTCGGTGATGACAGCATCAGCATAGAGTAACTGCATAGAATGGAAAGGTCAAAAATATGGCTGACCATTTCTACCACCATGTCAACTTGGGCGCTGTTCAAACCTTTAAGTAATGGACCGAGGCCGAATTCCACAGCGCCAAGAACACCTCGAAGAACGCACTTGCACGTTGCCGAGATCACGAACAGTTTTACGATCCTTTACGGTGTTCAAACATTCCACGTAAGTCATTAGGGAGTTTTTGCCAAGTGACTTTTGGTTTTTTCACGATGTGAAACGGCGCTCCACTTGAAGTATCAACTGCATAACACATAGTTATTATAGTTATAGTTGGTCACTCGAGAGTTCAGTAAGTTTAAGTCATTTCTCTAGGCTCCAATTGTAGATTTAGTTAGGTGTAAAATCGACGGCCCGTATAAGTTAATAAAATTCTTGATAAATCTCTTATAAAGCAGAAACTCCTTATTGCAATTTGTGAGCCCGACTCCACCAACAACTTCTACTTTGATCCACCGACATTCCTGGACGCACATTCTATTTCTACTTCCAATCATATCTGCAGAGAAACCAGTCCTGCCATGCAGGTGAGTCGTGTATCAAATCCAGGAAATTTACTGATACTCACGCAATAATAGTCAACGCCGCATCCCTGGCAATCTGAGTCAAACGCGCACCCCAAGGACATGTAGCGGTGGCTGCCAGTGCACCGGTGGGCGTGGGCGGCGGCATGGCAGAGATTGATGATGCCAAAACACCAATGACAACGACGACAATTGCAGAAGAGAAGCGCACTGTGTGTGAGGATGTGATATGTGGTCAAATAAATCTGAAGGGTTAGTAGGAAGACACCTTACTTTTATATGCTGGATGGCGTTCATTATGATTTTAGGAAGAACGTATCCACCGGAATCCCCTTACTAACCTCATGCCAAACGAATTTTCAAGCTTTGAAGGTTTCCTGAAATTCTTCTTGCGTGGTTGTGCTGCATTCGACCACATCATATCTGCAACGCCAGCAGACTGCGAAGCAAGGTCTTTTGGCAATTTGGCGTGGATCCAGTGATCATTGAACATCCCTCCGCCGGTGAATGTTAACCTCGAATGGTACCCCATACTCCCATCCGAACATCCAAACTTCATCTGCGCCAGCACAGTCATTGTTCCTACCATATATATATTACGAGTGTCCCAGTAAATGGCACGGCACATCTATATAACCGATTTTATCGCAGTGCTGTTGTGCAGTAGGACAACGTACTATGCAATTTGTCTTTCACTGTTGCTTTAAGTGCACGAAGGCCGATGATGCATTCCCAGTGATGAGTATAGTTCGTATTATAGGAACAGGGCGAGTCGCTCCCGTTGCGATTTTCCTCCTGAATTTTTACCGCCTATATGGGATTTAGATCTGTAACAGCATGCCATTGCATCAATCGAATATACATCCACCTGCTTTTTTCCCGCCGTGCCCCTTATGAGGCCAACTTAATCACGAGGCGTTGCTACCTCGATAACCTTTACGAACTAGAAGCAGGCGCCGCTAAGCATCGTGGCAGAAAGAAAGATGTGTGATTGGTATCATCTCGCGGCTCTATGATACCCCGTCCTAACATATGGTATTACAGGAACGAATCTCTAAGCAGTAACCATCCTTTTCCAGCACCAAATTCCGCACACGGCCTCCTCTTCGCACCAGCTCTTCCGATCACCATCGCCTGTCTATTCTTTTTCGAGTTTTTATAGCTAAAACTGAAAAAAATGCGAATGTGTTTTTGATATGTTTTTCCTGTATTATATGTACAGGTATCTGGAGCTTGTATGGGACAAAAACAGACAAAAGAGTGTTCTATTGTGATCTATCATATGTACATAGCATACACTAATACTTCTCTACAGTAGATAGGTGGATATGGTATGGTGGTGGGCAGGAATGTGCCGGGGAGGAGTGTGTGATATGTTGAGATCCAGGAAATGACCAGAAATGGCTAACATTGTTTTGGGTGTCAGGATGGAGGTCTCGCGGTTATTAGGCGGAGTCCCCCAGCTCCATGCTCGGGGGACCCGGACAAGTTTTATTGCAATCCGAGACAGAAAGTACAAGACAAGGTAGCATAAGGCAACGAAGATGCGAGACTCGAGGATGCGTGCTTGTGAAATAAGACATGAGTGACGGAGGCGCAATAGACTAATGTCCGACTTTACATACAGTTGCGAGTCTGTTTCGGGCGTGATCGCATGATCCTTCAAGCTTCGAGGGCCGAGGCTGGTAACTAAAGTAGATTTATCGGGTCGTATCATGTACGAGGCACTAGCAAGCACGAATGAGGTTGTATATGCAATACTGGGTTGTGAGCTATATACTTCCGTGACATTGATTTGACTGAGACATCACGAAAGTCATCATGATCACTCGGTTACATGCCATGTAAGTACCAGCGATCCCAGGAGGTTGCTGGTATTTCCCCCCTCGTCGTCTTCCTGGTTATCGAAATTACCAACACAGTGATGACCGCAACAATACTGAGGCATATTTCAGGGGGTAACGAGTATGTTGCGATAGTTACTCACAATCATCCGCTGCTCAACGTGTGTTTCAAGAATAGGTCAGATAAACGCGTGAAGGTGACTAGACGACTCAGACGAGAAGACACTCTGTGATAGCAGGAAAGGGAAAATTCGTCATCAGTGCCAATCACAAGTGCTCATTGGCCGCGGCGTCATCAAATGCCAAAAAAAGGTAGCTTGAGTGAGGCTGCGAGCAGGTACTCGTGCTCATATTGGCATGTTCAAGCTAGTTTCCAAACTGGTTAGTGAGGGTTTGTGTGCTGTTGTTAGGACCAGTCACGTGGGTACACCGTGAACAGTAACTTAGGTTAGACCGTTAGAACCTTCCTCCATCCAGAGCACAGCCTAGCTATCATGCAAGCATACCTCGCGGAAAAATATATGTCAGGGCCTAAAGCAGACGCTATTCTATCCCGGACAACTCAAAAGAAAAAGAAGAAACGCAAAGCCGACACAGCAACCACAGCATCTTCAATGTTAATGGACTGATGACGCTGAGTGGGCAGGCGAAAGTTCCAGGCGCAATGATGAAGAAGAAGATTTTGCAGAAGCCGCTGTCGCGAAGGACCGTAGCTTCAAGAAACGCCGTGTTGAAGAAGGTTCTGGGTGGTCGACTATTCGCGCCGGTAAGGAGGAAAGTCCGCCGATACCTGCGGATGAGCAGCCTACCGTCTTCTTGGAGGAGGAGTCGGAACAACCGTTTACTGGTGGACTGTTGACCTCAGCACAACTCCGGAAAGCCCTTCCTAAGCCTCAGCAGAAGACAAGAGGAACTGACCAAAGAGGAGGAGGAGGCTGCTCAAGAGACCATTTATCGCGACGCGTCTGGCCGAAAGATTGACACTAAGGCCGCCCGTGCGGAAGCTGCTAGGAAGAAACGAGAAAGGGAGGAAAAGGAAGCAAAGAAAATGGAATGGGGCAAAGGCTTGGTCCAAAAGCAAGAAGAGGATGCGAGAAAACGACAACTTGAGAAGAACAGATCACTTCCGTTCGCCAGACGTGCAGACGATAAGGAACTAAATGAAGAACTGAAGGCTAAAGAACGTTGGAATGATCCAGCCGCCGCTTTTCTCACAGTAAGTACTTGTACGCCCTTAGCTTTCGTTGCTGATAGCATATGGTTACTATGTAGAAAAGTAGATCTAAGGGTCCCCGCAAACCCGAATATACGGGACCATCGCCTCCACCAAACCGTTTTGGCATAAAGCCAGGCTATAGATGGGATGGCGTAGGTACGTTGTCACAGCCCTCTCCACCCTTCCAGCGATTCCTCACATTGCTTGCAGATCGCGGCAATGGCTTCGAGAAGAAGTACTTCCAGCGACATAATGAGAGAAAGCGGAACACAGCAGCAAGTTATGAATGGAGCGTGGATGACATGTAATGTGGTGCATTTTTGTGGCTGCAGCTACCCCCTTGTATGCTCGACTTCTAGTTCAGGGTGTTATCTTTGACATTCGTGGCGTTTTAGATAAGGTTAGTAATCATTCCCCTTGGTCAAGACGCCACGAGACATTGATTCCCGCACTTGAAACCACGTGAACTGCGTCGTGGTAAGCCATTGGCAGATAATTTGTCAGTGTGATCCACCAGTTGGAGGGCACATCTGACCTGCCTGATAGCTGCTGGCTTGCCCTGTTGCCATTTGTTACTACCTCGAGTCGTGCAAGCAGGTGAATTGATTTCATATACAGTAAGCGTACAACGTGGCAAACGTGGATGCGGTATGTATACAGTGTATCAACAACAAAGCAGGAGGACCATAAACTAAAACCCCGTAGGCATGATATGTGCGTCTAACTAATATTCATATACATCTGAGGCTTCGATCTCCGTGGGCTCTATGCGACGAGGCTCAACCTGCCGGTTACCCATTTGTCGAGGCTCCACTCGTACTGACCGCATGTTTGGATATGTCAGGATCAAATAACGTTCGTCCATACGTGCACCAACTTCTTCAAACTGCCGAGGGAAGTGTTATGAGTCGATCACAGCCTTCGCCGATGCTCCTCTAGGAGCAACGGTATGCGAACGTTAGGTGCTCACCTTGGTTCCCTCTGGAAGAGGAATAGTCCTCGAAAACTCCTTTTTTTCTCGTTCCCTCACCAGTGTTCCTCCTTCATCGATCTCAGTGATCTTCACTGTTTCCCATGTCACAGTCAGATGACTGCCGCGATAGCTGACATGGGCATTATTTTTTTTGATCCCCGGTAGATCAAAAGTGGCCGTAACCTGGGTATGGAGTTAAGGCGTGCGCAAAGTACATTCATATACGGTAATACGTACAGTACGACCATCACGGGACTCCCGAAACGAAACACTACCGTCGATGAATACCATCCGTGAGCAATCCAGTGGGTCGCACTGCGCAGAAATAATGGCTTACTTTGACTTCCGCCTCTTGAGAGGTTGAGGCGTCATCACCTTTTTCACCCCTACAGGATCCGGTGTCCGTGATGGGGCAGGTGAATATGTAGGCGTCGGTGCCTTCAAGGAGCTGACTTTTGGAGGTTCCTTGGCCATTTGGCGCTGCTTCTGTTGCCTAAGGGTATTCCACAATTGATTGAGGGAAGTGATGTCTTTAGTAGCACCACCCGAATCCTCGGATGAGCGTCTAGGAATGGGCGGAGCTTTTGTGGCAGTTGTGTGACGATCGAGAAGTGCCGAGGACGATGAGTGTCTGGTACGCATTGGACGGGGCTGGTTCTGTTGATAGACCCAGTCAACACCGTCAAAACTGCAGAATGAGTCCATCGCAGTGGACTGATCTCGGGCGTCAAACTTGGCCATCAGTTGGTGGCAGACGTAAGAAACAATCTGGGGATGCTGTGTAGCGGCTAGAGAGTAAATATGTATTGGACCTTGGATTTAAATGAAGAGGGGAAGTGATTTGATGTGCGTTTTGAGATTACTATCAGGAAGACGTGCGGGTAGCTGGCTGATTGACACGAGGTTGCTAAAAGCAGCGACCTTGACCTGATCGCGGCCGATAAATTTGAAGGAAACAGAACGGCTGGCAGGATCCAAAACAAGAATTCTCACCTCATGTCGGCAGGGCGAAACCCGCCAACTGAGCAACGACGGTTGTCTTTAAGTACTTGGTCAATGCCGTGACTCGGTGACTGGCAGCCTTGCTGTACAAGGGTCCAGTGCTTACAGCATTGGTCAGCATCTTCCTGTTCGCTTGACGGGCCTTCGCAGCTTCCATGCTGTAAACCCCGATTGCATCTGTGGAGAAAATGAGGTTGCCTCATGCTTCAAGTTCGCAGGAATGGGGCAGGTGACCTTTCTAATGCCAGTACTAGTAGTATCTGGATCCATACTAATATGCCTGGCAGTTCTCTGGTCACATCTGTCATGCATCCATAGCCGACTGGGCTGGCCGAGCAACTCTGCAAACTAAACCTTGACCACACGAAGCAAGTGAGCTGCACTGGGTTCCAACTTCGTCGATGGCATCTCCCCTCACTGGCCACGCTTTTCGAGCGCTGTGATAACTCAAAGTTAATACTAGTGAGTCTTCTTGGGAGAGATGAATCGGATGATCACGGAAAAATAGTGAAAATGCGGTGTATCGTCAGAACGGGGCCCCAATACTCGCGTTATCGGGATGGTCTTGAAGACCACATATACGATGTCATCCAGATACACGCAGAAATCAGTCAATTCGTTGTTTTCAAACAAGGCAGGACTGCCGTTGCTCGTGACGTACACATTGAAACCTCAACAGGCATGAGTCTCCATATATACTACGTGGATTTAATGCCTACATGTCTGGCAGTGGATGTTCTACTCTCGTAGCGTGATGACGCCACAGGAGCAAAGACTGATAATCGATCAGCATGTAAGTAAATAGACTATGACCCCGCGGATATCATGGTGGTGCAGGGACTTTGAATTTCTTATTAGTATATCCGGCCCCACCTCGACCCATTCCCAGTCTTTTTCGCTTGATCCCAGACACAATTGGTCCGGCTTCCACTGGCACTGGTGTACATGACTGCAGACGATCTGATCGAGAATGTACAACCGGTCGGGCTGGAGATTCCACCTTGGCTGGAGGAGCGAATGGAACTGGGTGGTGGACGCACGTCAGACCTACTGGTGTCAACTTGAATGGCTTGAATTGCGGCCCGGTTATAGTTCGATCCGATCGCTTGGTTTCAGCTACAGCTGCTTCAGTGGCTTCCGTTGACACCGTTGCGCATAACTGTGGACGATCTGATCCAGGGTATACAGCCGATTGGGCCAGTGATTCCACCTTGGCTTGACGATATAATCGAATTGACTGGTCCGCGGAACCGTCCGTCGTGTTTTCTAGCATCAACTTGGGCCGTTCCACATGGGGTGCTGGATGGGGAACCTTGACAGTAGTTGAAATTTCATTCCCGTGCAAGCCAGCGCGTACACCTACGGCATCATGACGTGAGCTCTAATCAAACAACCATTCAGGGACTGACTCTGAAATGTGGGCACGTAATTAGCAGGAATGTCTCTCATGATAGGAGGCGGAGGAACGGGTTGATTCTCTGGATTCCCATCAACGTTCGTATGGCTCAGGTGAATCTGTCTTGCAGTCAAATTACTAAGAAGGAATTAGTCGCAATCTTTAGGACTTTTCAGACAGACGATGACGCACAATATTGTCATTCGTCGCTTCACCTCTAGTTCATCAGGCATACGCGACCCTCTATCCAGAATTCTTGCTATAAGACGGAGGTCTTGAGTGGAGTGCGTATGAGGCATGTCGGAGAACAACGGCTGGAGAGAAAAGAAACTAGCCTTAGGCACGGCATCGTTCAAATGTTTCACGGAAATATCTTACTGGGTACTTGGAACAGATTTTGGAGATGAATTCAGACAGGTCTCTGGATTTGAAAACGCCAGCGACCTTGCGCTTTGATGTGTGCGTTAGGTAAAGTGATGTCTGTGCTCGAGTGCATGCAACATATAGAAGGCGTCTGATTGATCTGGTTAGAACATATCAATGTATAAAATGATATGCTTGCCTTTCTTCATGAATGTCGTCCGACCGGTAAAAAGGGAATGTTCCATGTTCCACTGATAATATGCTTATATATGTGCACAGGAAGGAACAGTAGGAGGTTGCAAACCTGCTGGGACAAAAACAACTGGCCATTCGAGACCCTTCGCAGCGTGGCAAGTCGCAATAGACACTTTCTGTTGCAAATGCTGAGTAATCGGAATTTTGACCTCGAAAGACAAACCTCGTCATCATTTTCATTCGACTGATCACCTGCAGATGACAGCATCGATGCTTGCAAGAACTGCCTTAGCGGAGTATCTCTGTGCAGTTGGTTAAAAGTTATTTCCAAAAAGAAGCGAAACAAGATAAATTACTGTAACGACGACTCTTCTCCATCAATGACAGGAACGTTTGAAGCGTCAGCAGTGGCGTCACTCGCGAAGTTGATCAGTTCTTGAACGTTCTCCCATCGTGTGTCCCAGTCAGGTTGCGACTTTTTCAGGTGTTCTTGGTACCCGATGAGCTCGACCAACTTGCCAATCAACTGGGCTGGTTCCATTCCATCAGTGGCGGATGATTTCAGTGACCGCATAACATTCACGAAGGATTGGACCTTGCGCTTTACAGATGGTTTCAGATCCGGAATCATAGAGTCGTGGATGCGTTCAACAAGAGTCAGTGGTGAAATTCCGAGTTTCTGTGCTCGTGAAAGAATTTCTCCTAGGGACTATCAGCAATTGATAAGCCGAAGAGACATCAATTAATTATAGTCGGCCCTCACCTTATCCCCGATTCCCCGTGAAGGAATGTTGACAGCGCGAGAAAACGCCGGCTCAAAGTGTGGATTGTCCACGAGCTGGAGGTATGCCAGGATATCTTTAATCTAAGTAAAAGGTTGTCATGTCATCAAAAGAAGCGTAGCTGATCACTTGCTTCTGCCCGTTCGAAGAACTGATGTCCACCGAGCATTCGATTGGGGATACCTTCCTTTTGAAGCGCGTTCTCAATCGTTCTGGATATGGCATTGAAACGTACTACAAACTGTTTGTAAGTAGTTCGAGCGTTGTGAAGAAGGGACGTACGAAGCACCGCAAAGTCTCCAAAACCTAACATCCCTCCGGATTGTGCTATCATGCGGTTGATCTCCCATGCGATGAAAGCGGCTTCGTCATGTTCTGTAGGAAACGAACGGAGCATTGGAAGAGGCCCACGCGGATGATCTGTATGCAGAGTTTTTGCAATCCGCGATGTATCTTTGGAAGTGTTGGTAAAACTATTTTATACGTCTGCACAACTCACCTTGCGAAATAATGGCGAGGCTCGTTGCAAGGATAGATCCCGCTGAACGATAATTTTGCTCAAGCATAACCTGCGCTACGTTCGGGAAGTCTGGGAGTCGAGTCAAATGCGTCCAATGCATGGCTATACACGTTGTCTCTATCTTACCGTTTTGCATCTTGCCAAGGTTTGTAATGTCTGCAGATCGCCAACCGTATACTATGTAGTTGTGAATTAGATCAAGATCAGGCAGTATTAATAGCCAGAGCGTACTTGACTGATCGGGATCCCCAACAACCGTCACACAACGACTGGTAGCAGCGATACAACACATGAGCTCGTATTGGACCGCATTTGTGTCTTGGCTAGTGTGATTTCGGGTGAGCCTTGATCATCAATAAGAAGCGAAAGCTCACAATTCGTCGACAAGTATATGCTGACACCATGCAGCATATCTCGGGTGCCGTGAGAAAAGCCTAACGCCAAAGAGAAGGAGGTCGTCGAAGTCTAAACTATTGCTTTTACGCAAGGTCTTCTCATAGTCGCGGTATATCTCTGCAAAGACACGCTGGAAATCTTCATTCGTTGACTTCGAGGAAGCAGCTTTGCTTGAAACATGTCGGCTTTCTTTGCGTGGCATGACATCTTCAGGAGTTTCTCCCTTGGATTTGGCTCGAGAAATCAATGAACAGAGAGTAGCAGCATTCACTTGAATGTCATTGGACGAGAGGAAATCGCTGTAAGGCTTCAACAATTTGGTCACAATTCGCTTGCTACAATAGAGTTCAGCACAACATGACTGCAACATTTCGGCGACGTACCCCTCATCAGAATCACATATAGTGAAGTTCCCGTCAAGGCCCACCGATGTCCCATATTTCCGCAGAAAGAGGGCGCAGATCGCATGGAAAGTTCCCAGTTTCACTTTATTAACGCTATCTTTACCAATAAGCTTCAAGAGACGTGCTCGCATTTCGTTGGCTGCCTTGTTGGTGAAAGTAACAGCGCATATAGACGACGGGTCCATCCCATGGTGCAATATCATGTAGGCGATTCGCGAGGTCAGAACTTTCGTCTTGCCACTTCCCGGACCTGCTAAAATTTGGAGCGGTAAGTCTGGATGATGAGTTACGCCTGTTCAAACCAGACAATTTAATACGCGAATAATGCTACAAGAAGCAACTTGAAACATACATCTAGTCTGAGCAGCGTTAAGAGACTTCAAAAGGTCTTCCGTCATCCTTGGTTCTCCACTGAAGAATGTAGAATAATTCTTTAAAGTATGAGCAGTTGAGCATGCGTGAGCATGTGCAATATAGGAGTGTGCAACGCGTGTGGAGTGGACAAAGCTATGAATATGAGACGCGTCTGTGGCGGACACGGAGGTCACGTGTTTGAACGAACCGCGATGTCGGACTCGTAATTGACTTCTCGTCGTCGTCTCCCACCATGCCATATTCACTTTATACGCCGTGCGTACTAACATGAGAGAACAACCTTACCAGTCCCTACCACATTGTATTGGAGTCGTCGCGAGGTTCGTCCTGGCTTAATTTGGCATCTTTCCGGGGTGTCCCATAGATTAGTCAGCGAGTATGGGTTTCAAGCTCAAACATGGGCTCTTGGCATGCACCCCTGTGTTCATTATCTTTCTTGTGGGTAATACTTTCCTATATTCATTGCTTCGCAAACTTCACTACTTTCTCACACGCGTCCTTCAATGCATCGGCGAGAACTTCGAAGTCCGAAATCTGATTTTTACCAGTAAGAACCAAGATCATATCTTTACGAACAGGTTCTCACCTCGTTCCACACCTGCGCGCTACACCTTGTCCACCATTTCCCATTGTGGTAGTAATGAGCGGCATACACGTTCCACTCAACCAACAATGTATTGATCAGCAGAGAATTAATTTCATCCGAATATCTGATGTCGCCAGGAATGGGCAGTTCCACGTTGACCTGACCAGGGAACATGAGATACGTGAAAAGAAGCTGAATAACGCATTTATGCACCATGTTGAAAGTTAGTTCACCGTCAGGGTCCATTACACTGGTTCCCAGGAGACTTGCTAGATGCTTTCCGCCTGCGATTGCGAGATTGTGAGTGTATTCGTTGATCTTGTGCTCGCCGCCGAGCCACTGTCTGAAATCCAAGGCTAATCGCAGTCAGAACAGTGACATTAATGACGACTTCGCACCAACCTGCGTTTATACTCAGTAATGGAACATAATCTCTGGTTCCTGTCCCTAGCGATCAACGAGACATAAGCGTTTGAAGTTGTATAGTTCGGTTTATTCGAGTGAACTGACATTCGAAAAGCTTCACAAAATTTTGTGGGCCATTGTAGTGCTCATCTTCAGGTGAGTGATAAGTGAATGGGGTGGGTATAGAAGATTTGATAACATGATGGTTTCTAGTCCGTTTCGTCAGACGTCGATAGTTGAGCAAGGTAAGGTTGGAACATACCGTCTGGGAACATAAAGGACTGCGCAGCCTCTCTTTGCAAAGAGCCATTTGTGACAATTCTGTTTAGCTCAATTGGTCAAGAATAATACTATCACGAGCTGGAGACGACAGACTAACCGATACCCAAAAGTCAGGCTTCGCCTCCGACAAGTTAATATCTACTTCCTGGCCAATGGAATGCGCAGCATCGATTACCGACCAAACACCTGCATCCCTGCAGATGGCCACCATTTCTTTCCAGGGAAGACGTGCGCCAGGATTGGATACGATGGCGTCTAATATAGCAACGACCTTGCGAGTCTGCTTGAGATCGCCCCCTTCCGAGGTCACCAGGCGGACATGTTCTCGCCAATTCTCCAGTATCTCCGTATGTGAGGCAGGGAAGTTAAGATTGAATGTGGACACTTGTGGGTGTGGTTGGGTGTCTGCAAGATACCTAATCGTTCGGGACACAGAACCATAAGTCGTGGTATCTGTTTTGTGAGGGAAAGGGATAACATAAGTGGGAGAACTTCAATGCAGTGATTCCTGACCTACTCCCGATAATGATATCCCCTTCATTCCACTCGAAATTGCGAAGAACCGTAGCTATGCCGTGTGACGTATTATCCACCAAGACACACTCATCAGTCTCTGCGCCTATCAACTTGGCCACTCGAGTACGAGCCTCATTCCAGTGGTGAATGCACTCTATGCGTATGAACCTGTCTGGGTTGGCTTTCGATGTGAGCGGAAAGTTTTTCGCATGCAACTCTGACTGGCATGGGTAATGAACCATATGAACCTTCAATGCGTCAGCCACGAATCAAGGCGAGTTTGAATCGGAATACCCGATGATAGAACTCACCGTGGTTGAGGTTGACATAAGATGGGTCAAACTCAAAGAGCTTGTGCATTGCGTGCCCAAATGAAGGGGGCGCACGTTTGTCTAGCTCCACATCAGTAGTCAAAGTACTAGGGGCTAACTCGGAGGACAATGAGGTCTTCATATCAGTCATTACGTCCGTGGGCGCTAGTGGCAAGTCCAGCATGCAACCACGCTTAGAGCCTAGGTTTAAAACGGCCTACGGCCCGTGACTCAGCGTGACTCAGAGCCAGACGAGCAGATAAGGATTACCGCCAGCTAAATGCGAGTCACCGAAAACCCGATGTGGTCTGTGGCAAACTGTCAAGGTGGTCGCTAGTTGCGCGCTCATGTTAAGAACGTGATTGAATTGCGTAGCATACAGTGCGGCAGTAACAAAAAAAATCGAACAGGACGATGCAGGAGCTTGCACAACGGTGCACAATTAGCGTACAACATAGTACAACCGAGTAACAGGTAGAACAGTGCATGGAAAACAGCGTGTCACGATAACTAAGCAGTTGGGACCAAATTGAGAGAGTGAGAAAACGAAAGCAACGGCAAGCATGCAAGAAGAGACAGATTCAGAGCTTAGGGCAAGTAGTGAAGCCGGTTGACGTAGGAGAGTTATGTGCTGAGACCATCCATGGTTATGAATTCAACTACGTTTGCCTTAGCCTCCACAATTGAGATGAGCATTGAGCACGACGCTCAACACGACGGCAAGGAAAAACCTACAGCATCGACAAGCTTCGAGCGAGAGGCATAGGACTCCTTCCGTTCGGCCGTAAGGCTGTTCCAGTACGCGGCGAACTCGGCAATAGTACCTGTCTTGTGCTCGGCCTGCCATTCGATACCACAGAGATTACGCGCTGTCGTCGAGTCCGAACTGGGCTTGAAAATATTGTTGGGATTCGTTGGCGTTCTTTTCTTCTTGCCAGGCTGGACGATGGCTCCTGGAGACGAAGATGCGGACGTTTCCATGCTCGATGCTGGATCACTGGAGGTAGCGGCCGTTGGTGTTGCTAGCGGTGGAATCCCCTCGAGCGAGTCTGCAATTGGGAGTATAGTTTAAACTCCTAGTAATAAAGTTAGAATCAAACAGACTAGATAGGTTTAGTACAGACAAAACGCTTCGGACGAATCGGACATATAGACCACTCGATCAAGAAGGCTTGATCCCGCTTGGAGCAAAGTTACTTGCGTACATAACAGTGCATAAGCATCAACAAATTCTGGAGTCAGATTTGATCAAACTGCAACCCCGCTTCACCCAGGTTACCCATATGCGTCTGTCTCGAACTGCAACTCACTATCATTTTCAAAACGCCAAGTCCAGATCTCGAGTTCTGCACGCTCGCAATATGCCGTGGGCGCTCATAGGCACTGTTCGAACAAGGACGAAGTATGTTTATTACAAGTTAAAGAGCAACGCTAGTTCGACTTCACAGGGGCAGAGGCTCGAAGAAAGACAGTAATCGGAACAAGCCGGAGTACATAAACTAGCAGTGATAAAATGATCAGATGCGAAAGTCGTGGATTCGGTGCGCGCGCACCGCTACTACGATCGGGAAAGCGGATCCTCTCTATTCAGAAATTTCGACACGAGCTTAACACCAGCGAGTTCTTATGGAGCCACGTCTAGAGATATCGTGTTGCCACGGCGCATTATATTCAAGTTGCTAGTCGGTCGGACGCACAGCACTGAGCAGATGCATGTTTTGGGGCTGACTGCCTGTGTATAAAAGCGAAGGGATAACTCTCAGTTCAATAACGAAGAACATCATCTTCAAGTGCCACAATGAAGTTCATCTCACTCACCACCATAATTACGTCTGCCGCAGTACTGGCGGGCATCGTGGCAGCACAGGACCCTAACGGCACGCCATGCACCCAGCCTGGCGAATACCTTCAGCATGCTTGTATTTTGATCTCGGACCGCACACTTGCGGGTGCTTGCAGGAAATTGGGAGTGCGGAACACTTGCAGGTTAAAACGGGGGCTTGCCATATTTACTTGTATGCTCGGCAACAAGCACTGTGCAGGTCATGGGCCAGTGCAGCTGTTCTACGTGCTGTTCTGTCGTTAATGGGGGGTAAAGCTCCTAATGGGTCCGTCAATTGCTTATAAGAGGAAAAGGGGAGTCCGCTTCTTGCTTGCCGTTCCCGAAGGGATAGTATAGACCACTCGGTCAAGAAGGCTTGGAGCAAATAGACATCAGAATTACAAAACCCATGGTTTGCCGTGTACTTTCCTACAAGAACAACTAGTTATTACTTCGCAAAATTCACTACTTTCTCACACGCGTCCTTCAATGCATCGGCAAGAACTTCGAAATCCGAAATCTGATTTTTACCGGTAAGAATTAAGAAGATCATGTCTTTACGATCAGGTTCTCACCTCATTCCACACCTGCGCGCTACACCTTGTCCACCACTTCCCATTGTGGTAGTAATGAGCGGCATACGTATTCCACTCAACCATCAATGTGTTTAGCAGCAGAGAATCAACTTCATCCGAATATTTGATATCGTCAGGAATGGGCAGTTCCACGTTGACCTTACCAGTGAACATGAAATGCGGGAAAAGAAGTAAAACAGCGCATTTACGTACCATGTTGAAAGTTAGTTCACCGTCAGGGTCCATTACGCTGGTTCCTAGGAGACTTGCTAGATGCTTTCCGCCTGCGATTGCAAGATTGTGAGTGTATTCGTTTATCTTGTGCTCGCCGCCGAGCCACTGTCTGAAATCCAAGGCTAATCGCAGTCAGAACAGTGACGTTGATGACGACTTCGCACCAACCTGCATTTATACTCAGTAATGGAACATAATCTATGGTTCCTGTCCCTAGCAATCAACGAGACATGAGCATTTGAAGTTGTATAGTTCAGTTTATTCGAGAGAACTGACATTCAAAAAGCTTCACAAAATTTTGTGGGCCATTGTAGTGCTCATCTTGAGGTGAGCGATAAGTGTATGGGGTGGGTATTGGAGATTTGATAACATGATGGTTTCTAGTGCGTTTCATTAGACATCGATAGTCGAGCAAGGTTGGAGCATACCGTCTGGGAACATAAAGGACTGCGCAACCTCTCTTTGCAAAGAGCCATTTGTGACAATCCTGTTTAGCTCAACTAGTCAAGAAAAATTATACCATGAGGTGGATACGGCAGACTGACCGATATCCAAAAGTCAGGCTTCGCCTCCGACAAGTTAATATCTACTTCCTGGCCAATGGAATGCGCAGCATCGACTACCGACCAAACACCTGCATCCTTGCAAATGGCCACCATTTCTTTCCAAGGAAGACGCACGCCAGGAATGGATACGATGGTGTCTATTACAGCCACGACCTTGCGAGTCTGCTTGAGATCGCCCCCTTCCGAGGTCACTCTGCGGACATGTTCTCGCCAGTTCTCCAATATCTCCGCGTGTGAGGTAGGGAACTCGAGATCGAATGTGGACACTTGTGGGTGTGGTGGGGTATCTCCAATATACATAATCGCCCGGGCCACACCACCTTGAGTCGTGGTAGCTGTTTTGGGAAAGGTAACATGAGTGGGAGAACTTCAATGCAGTGATTCTTGACGTACTCCCGATAATGATATCCCCTTCATTCCACTCGAGATTGCGGAGAACCGTAGCTATGCCATGTGACGTATTATTCACCAAGACACACTCATCAGTCTCTGCGCCTATCAACTCGGCCACCCGAGTACGAGCCTCATTCCAGTGGTGAACGCCCTCCATGTGCAGGAATCTGTCTGGGTTGGCTTCGATGCGAGCGGAAAGTTTATCGCATGCAACTCTAACTGGCATGGGTAATGACCCAAATGCACCTTCGATGCGTCAACCATGAATCAGGGTACGGTATGAAGTTTAAACTATGATACCGGTGGTAGAACTCACCGTGGTTGAGGTTGATATAAGATGGATCAAACTCGAAGAGTTTGTGCATTGCGTGCCCAAACGAAGGCGCAGCCCGTTTGTCTAGCTCCACATCAGTAGTCAACGCTAACTCGAAGGACAATGGGGTCTTCATGTCAGTTACGTCCGTGGGCGTCAGTGGCAAGTGGGTGCCGGCACGGTCCAGCATGCAGCCATGCTTGGAGCCTACCAGTGCCGTAAAACGATCTACGGGTGACTCAGCGTGAGAGCCAGCAGACCTTGAAACGAGCAAATAAGGATCACCACTCACCGAGTGCCAGTCGTCAAAAACCCGATGCTGGCCTGTGCAAACCATCACGGTGATCAGGGATTGTTGTCATGACAGACTCATGCTAAGAACGTGATTGGATCGAGTAGCATACAGTGCGGCAGTAGCAACAAAATCAGATAGGAGCTTGCACCGCATACGAGTAACAAGCAGAACAGTGCGGCAGCAGTGGTATGGAAGACAGCGTGTCATGATAACAGTTGGGACCAGGTTGGGAGAGTGAGAAACCGAAATCAACGACCGAGAAGAGACACAGCGGATAGCCAAGCGCTGGATTAATCCAAGGTCGGCGGCTGTTTCCAAACCTTGATTGAGAAGATGGAGGTAGTAGGAAATCTAAGAATATCCAAAAGCATGATTATGTAAGCGAAGTTGGATGCACAATTATATTTCTACCAATCACTCGTTGAGGAGAAGGGGAAGGATACGAAAGAGGACTTAGCTTGACATAAGTATCCTGGATGATACGAGGTAGTAGCAAGTAAAATATAACATATGAATTCATAAAGCCATCAAGTACTTTATCAATCGCCTAGCGGTGGGCGTACGTGTACTGCTAATTTGAATGCAGCCGCATCAACAAATTCTCATCATATGTACTCTGATCAAACTGTAACCCATGGCCATGATGCATGGCTTCTAGCTTCTAGCTTATCTTATCAACAGCTATAGCCACATGACAAACCAAACGCTTCTCGAATCTCACTTATCAGTTGAAGCGTGCAGGCGGTCGGCCCATTCCTCAATCCAGTCCTTATTGACTGATCTCTTCCTAACGTGAAGATCAGACCTCTGTCTTTATCCTTTATTCCTCTGAGAATGGTATCCGCATTTTTCTATGGCACGTTGATGCATCCAGAAATATTGAAACGAGTCATCGGAAACGACGGCAGTCAACTTCAAATATGCCCTGCTCTCTTGCTGGTCAGTCTTCCAGGAAATCTTACGGATCATCACCCTGACACAGCCCCGTTACAGGACTACACTAGGCACCAGGTCAAGGTGAACGATGGCGTTTCCTCCCGATAGCGTCTTGACATAACACGTAGAAAGAATGAGGATTATCCTGGGATCTTGCCGTACTCGCAAAGTCGAGCCATGTTCGATCATGACCTCAATTCGGAAGAGAAATCGGTAAGAGGTTCCCTGGTAACCGGTCTATCGGACGAAGATGTCCGACTCCTTGATGTTTTTGAAGGCAACGTGAGTCCTGCAAGTCGTTTCTATGACTCTTGACACAAATCAACCCCTCCTCGCAGCAATATACAAGAGAGTTGGTATCTGTATACCCATTAGGATCGCTGGCCAACATACGGGACATACCACCAATTGAGGTGAAGTCTCTAGTACCCACGACGCCTCCATCGATCCCTGTGCTACCCGAATTGGCGAACCCTGTAGAGGCAGCTACCTACGTGTGGTGCTTTCCCTCTTCAGAACTCCGGGCACAGCTGTGGACGTTTGAAGAGTTCGTGAAGCTTAACGCGTGGAAGTGGATCGGGTCAAGCTCTAACAGGGACTATGACGAAGTGGATAGAAGAAGGGCTATGGAAGGTACTTATATGGATGCGAGAAGTTAAACTTTGAAAGCACTCCTCGAAGTACTCGCACAAGCAGTCAGTCGGTCAACCCCGCAATTATGATTCATTGAAAATATTCTCACGGTTGTTGCAAACTACGTCCATGACTTGACAGTGGACAAGATGTCCATATGGTCAGGGGACAATCTTAGGACTTATTTTTCATTCGTAGTTGTCGCCTTCTTTCTGACGTTCGTGTTTGTTGACGGAGTCCTCCAAGAGATCACAGAAAATCGTACTTCCAAGCAAAAGATTGGTAGGTCCTTGGTCTGAGTCACTACTGTACCCTAGACTCACTTCCATCGAAGACTTCCCGGACTTTAGTCACTATAATGGAAATTTTGTAAACAACATTCCCGACAGTTTACTTCCCATAGGTCTTTGATTGTGTCATGGTACCAAGTGCAAGAGACTTACAATTGTAGTCAGACGACCGGGGAAAACGCATAATCGCAATCGGAGACATACATGGCATGAATAGCTCGTTGACGTGAGTACTGGCTGTCTAGTCATTGATGAACTCACCAACATCGTTGGACTGTGATAGGGATTTACTTGACGAGATACACTACGACTCGGAAAGAGATTCGCTTATTCACGTTGGAGACCTGGTGACGAGGGCGACTATTCACGACTCCATTGACGTATTGTCGTTCATGTCATCCAACAGAATCTTGGGCGTCAGAGGAAACAATGATCAAAAAGTGATCGAATGGCGCGCTTGGATGAATTGGATACTATCTCTTCCGGGAGGTCAAGAATGGCTTTCTGTCATGGACAAGCGATGGCCTAACCTCGACGGAGATAAGCGACTCCAGAGAGCAGAGCTTGAAAAATGGGTCGAGACGAGCAAGTACGCAAGCTGGAAGAAGATGGTGCCTGCTGGCTGGTATCCATTGGGTAAACATTACAGGGTCGCTCGTGCCATGTCTCCCGGACTCTTCGAATATCTAAGTTCGTTGCCTCTTGTGCTTCATTCTCCAACTGGCCATATGGTCTTCGTCCACGCCGGTCTGTTATCTTCCCACCCGAAGCTCCAGGCTTCCGACCCTAGACAGCCTCTTTCGCATTGGCCTACCATGGATGGCCAACATGACATTGCAAAGCTGCGTGACCAACAGGAGCTTGCAGTCCTCACAGAAATTCCAGAAAACAAAGATTCATGGACCGTAACGAACATCAAAAGTGTCACGGATAAGGGACTCGTGTCTCCCAGTCCGCGAAAGGGAACTCCCTGGTCCCAACTGTGGAACGATACAATGTCAAAGTGTTCAGGACATTCGGGTGAAGCGTACCAGCCAACCTCGCTTCCATGTTATCCGTTTACTGTCATCTACGGACATGCTGCAAGCCGTGGGTTAGACATCAAGCGGTGGTCGATTGGCCTAGACTCTGGTTGTGTGAGTGAGACAAAAGTCCTGTACTCGTGATTTGACTGATATCATGCACAGTCGTACGCCGGAGGTTGTCAGCTGTTGTCCTCGACGAAAGCTCTTTCTCTTTTGCTGCATACCAATTCAGAGACAACATACGTGTACGAGCCCCTCAATCACAAGAAATCGACTTCGGAGACAATGGACAAGCGCGCATCGTTAGCGTATCATGTGCATAATTATCTTACCAATTCTTCGTTCAGCTTTCTTCCTTAGCGAAGTAAAGGCCCGACGAGTGTAAATCATATCATATTGAACGCCTCCCATGTTACACACTATTACTAGTTAATACATGCACAGTCTTGGAAAACAGTCGAAATCATGCTAGGTCCTGCATCGGGGTCAATCACGAGCTTAGCGTGATATTCTCGAACACCGAGGATCAGTTTTGGTCCCTTGAGTAAGAAGAAACTGCAGGCTGCGCATAAACCCACCATCATTCTCAAAGCATCTATGTCATTCTCGGTCTTCCCTGATACGCTTGAAGGCTCCGCACAGTGGGCAGCCAGTGCTTGTAGTGATCCAATAAGAACGAAACCTGGCATAAATATAATCAAATTCATTTATTCCCTGCAGAGGCCCGACGAGTGTAAATCAGATTGAACATCTCCGGTGCTACACACTATTGGTAGTTGATACATGCACATGCTCTTGGAAAACAGTTGAAATCATGCTATGCCCTGCATCAGGGTCGATCACGAGCTTAGCGTAATATTCTCGAACACCAAGGATCAGACGTGGTCCTAGCACAGCTGACTGCACGATGATGAATATTTGAAGAAAACCAAAATAAATCAACACTGCCGGGGAATATGGGTCCTATGGGAAATGATGAAGCGTGGTTGCATGCAGAGGTCAGTGACAAATTGACATACATTTGACATCGTTGGCGAAAAATAGGCGAGTGAGAAGCAAACAATTACAACAAAGCTAGCATGTGCAGAACTTCAGCAAAAAAGAAAACCACATTCACGTTATGGGCTCACCTCGCAAAGTAACTGATGTGAGTTGTCATTAATACTGTGAAACAGTCCCCAATAATACCTCCCGCCGATTGTTGTCGCAATTCATGGAAGTGCTTTAGAGCAATCCGGACTGCAAGACACAGTGCGAAGGTCTCCCATACAGCAGCGAGTATCCAAGGGATGGTGTTCAAAGGTCGGGTATTGTCAACAACACATTGATAGGTGCCAGAAAGAACGACTTGCTCTGTATTTATCAATGAGCCTGAGGCACTCAAAGTCTTTCATGCATAATTGAAGCTTACCCGCTGAAATATGCCTCATGTTTATCGTGAGCATCACTGTGTTGGCGATAATAATGGCCACGAAGACAACAACGAGGAGTACCAGCACCTTTCTGGATCGTTGGTACATGGCATATGACCGAGCAATCATGATGACTTGCATGATATTTCAGTCAAGTCAAATATCACTGAGGTATTGAAACTGCGTAGCTCACCACCGAATATTGCAATTAGGATCCATGTCGTCCAATATAGCGCAAAGTACATGATAAGACCTGATACATCTAGTCAGCGTATCAGCCTAGGAGGATCGTACACTCCAAAGAAACTCACAACTGTAGTAATCATTATGATGGATCAGCAAGCCGTCCAAGAATGTTGCTCACCCCTACATGATAGTTGATTAGACGGGTATCGAAGGGAAAGTATCGGTACGGAACACTCACTGAATCTTGCAGCGGGATTATCTGAACAGCCACTGTATGTTGCTGGTCAGAAGTAACAAATAGTGCATGTGAACAAACACACTCTGTATGTTCATGCTAATTGTGGGAGATGGGCGATTAGACAACACCAATCTTAGTCTTCCAAACGTACCCAGCGTATATTATTCCAATGTAGCGCACCTGAGATGCTATCACATCAGCTCAACTTGCTAAGCACACTTATAGTACGAGCTACATACAATGAGATACAGGACAGTCATCAGGGACCAGCGTTGCCTCTGTCGCGGATTAATGGCATTTTGATGTTGTTCTTCGGACACGAGACTCTGCTCACCCAAATCAATTCGACCTATGAAACTATTCTCGGAAATGGTTACTCCGGTAATGACATCAACCTACCTCTTGTCCAAATGCAAGCACTGGAGAAACCATCAGGATATCAATAACTCTTTCATACCATCTTCAACTCACCCCAATCGTATATTACCCCAATGGAGGCTGCAACTGCAAAAACGCAGCGAAGGTTAGATCAGCATATCACCGTTATCATCCGACTGGCTCTCCACGGACCTATGAAATAGCTGAAAAATGATATGTGAATTGATGAGCGGCCACCAACTGGGGTCATTGAGATTATGGTCATACTATCAGTGGATGTGGGTGAGTGAGCGGCGAACTTGGTGGACGTACGACGATGGCATTCGTGCCAGATATACCACCTTTTATCGCCGAAATGAGTAGCATAGGGATAATAGTTGTCCGTCCGTCGATTGCAGTGAAATAAGGGTTTCTAACATGATGACAAGGGGAAACGCAATAACTTACGCAAGGCAAAGGTTTGAACCAGAAAAAAGTGAACATCCTGATTTCGGCGACTAACTTGTCATTCATCCCGGCTCGTTTACGCACCACTGGATCTTCAATCATGAAAAGCCATACCTTCCCGTGTCACGGTTAATGATGTGCAAGGCCCGGCTTGTGCCGAGCCTTGAAGGTGACCGGTGACCCTGCATGACAGCTTACAGCCGTTTGCAGAATGGCCCTGCTAGGCCAGTCCACAAAAGAACACGTAAGTCGGCAAATCAACAAACTTCTAACTTCCGATAACCAATCTTGTTCCCACCATGGGGCGTTACTTACAGGACGACGTTGCACACCCAGAATTTCGTGGTATCTGACCGGACATTGTAATTTAAACAATGCTATCCTGTTTTATTTTGACGATTGGCCTGGTGTTCTGCAAATAGCTGTAAGTGTAGGACGTTCGTCACATTACATTCCGACTCTGAAAAAGACTCACGGGAATGCTTCATGATTGGGTGATCATCGATCATCACCGTGAAAGCCCTCCTCCACGAATCGGGGGCCAAGCACAAATGTTCACACTAGCTCAGAAGTAGTACCTGCATCAAGGTGTAAGTTACTTACCATACACTGAAAGCCGCGGCTCGAAGCTTGAAGCTTTGAAGGCCCGGCTCAGGTTTGCAGATACTTCCAGCCGGGTCACGGTCTTATAGCCGTTTGAACTTTGCAGCATGCCAGGTCGATCATCAAAAATAGATCTATAATTTATGATTCCACTGCAACACGACGTCGTCGATGGCATAGAAGATGATCAATTTAGCGATCATGTGCGTGTCTGTTGTAGTGGGGAGATCTGGCAGAATGGTCTGGCGCAGGTCATAGGGAGTGCCAGGGGTTCTGGCGCAGTAGCAGGAGTCCTGGCTCGTAGTCGGTAGTCCTGCGGCTTGTCGTAGTCGGTCCTCGATAGAAAGAGCCGCAGCCTCCCGCTATAGAGGTTTGGCCTGGGTTTCCCTTGCAGTCCTTGCCCGTTCCACTGTACGAAGCACGAAATATTTGGTTTGTTGAGGACGGAGTCAGTTCCGCACCGTGGACGGTAACATGGGCCGCGGCCATACCTCGACGTGTTCCGTGACAGAAATCAGGCTGTTGGCCCTGGTTGGCCTCGCTGATTTACCGGTCTTTTTCTCACCAAAGTGATTGCCGAGTCCTGCGAATGTCGCTGAAGTGCCGATCTATCCCCGTGCCTAGTACAAAATAGCACACAGTTAAACACAATGACATCCTCGTCGTAATTGAGTCGTCACGACGAAATGCGAAAACACAAGGAACATAAAGCCAGAAAAGGAATCGGGTGTTTTACTGATGCGTTAGACCGTTTGGTGGCCAGATGGTGTAATTAGGCCTCTTAGCGGTCGTTGTAGGTTTCCATATTGCGCTTCTGCCATGTATAATATCATCTTTTAAATGTCGCGTCGAATATACAAGTAGAGGAAAGGGCAGAAAACCTGGGGGTCGAAGGACATGGCTTGCTGAAACGTCAATGGCTGAGGACGGCATGGAGGAAAATTCGAGGTACTCGTTGATTTGAGGTATGGATCCTCCCTGTGCATGTGGCAGCCGGTGACCGGTGACACCGGTGAAGGTTTGAAACATATTATATTTGACCGTTTGGCCCGGACGACGGAACTAAAAATGACAAAGGATGCCAATTGAGTAAATAACATCCGTCTATCCGTCTATTCCACGAACAACTGACGCAGGTAGCGAAACAGTACACAATGTAACAACTAAGGAAAATCACTGCGAAGGTGAAGGATTGCTGAGCTTAATCCAGGCCATGGTACCTGTGAATTTGCCTAGCGAATCATCCATATCTGATACTGATTCCTCATCGTTTGTCTGCTCGCCTGCTTCTTCCGTCGATTGCTGTTGAACAAGGCGAATACGGCGAACGCGACTCCGGCGATTGTAGGCGGCCGTATCGAGCGCCTCAAAACATTCCAAAAGGAGTTTCCATAAAGACCAATTTATATCCGATTCAGAAGTTTGGAGGTCCGTGGGTTGATAATCGACAGCATTTTCCAGAAAGAACAACTTTTCTTTGCCACATGCCACAGCGCCTAAAGTTGCCCATTCGTCCAAGGGGCGCAATCCGCGTGGTAGAAGGACTCCCTGCCTATAACGCAGGAAAACCCAGGCAAAAACCCACATAAACGACTCCAGATCATGGCGATATAGGTGTTTAACTTCTCCTCGTTGAGCTTTTGCAGCGAGAAGATCGAGCGCCATGAACGGTACCGTGCCCGTACGCTCGTTGCCCCGAGGACCCACTACATTCGCCAACGAGGATAGATCATAGTCGTTTAAGACACCGATCAGTTTGCCGTTTTTCCTGTACCACATCAAGTTTCCAGGGCTGATATCTCGATGATAGACCCCTTCCTTCCATAAAGTAAGGTGGCCTGCACACCATGTCAACGAAGAGCCACATAAATTGAATCTGACACGCACATAAGATACACTGACACCAGACGTCGAAAAGCTCTTTGCCGTGAAGCTTCGTGATGGGGTGGAGCTTTCGGAATACGAGAATGTAGAGTACGCGACTGCCCGTAGTGGGTTCCGGAACCCCGAGCGCTTCTCGGATGGCGGACGTGGGATTCGTGAACGTGTGGTGCCAGAGCAGCTCAGGAATATGCCCTTGGACGGTTGGGTGCACCCTAGCGATCTCCTCAACCTTGTCCAAGATTTTCGGCTCGCTAGTGCGACCCGCCTCTCCCCAAAAGATCTTGGCCACCATCCCATCCTGGATGTGTGGGTATTTCTTGGCAAGCGCTTCGCTAGTGGCAGGGATCACATTGGTAGCGCGTCCTTGCAGTCCGTAGTGTGTCACTCTTTCGTCGTGGCTGGTGTGAAGCAACAGATCCACCTCTCCAAGTTCTTTATCCTTGATTTTGAATTCGTGACATTGTTTCCCTTCAACTTGAACTGGGAGGAAGTCTTTGTTTCGGCCCCAATCCTCAAGTTTGAATCGTTGTAGAGCATACAACAGTACCATGAATCGCGGAAGATCTTGAATAAAGTTTACGCCCGAGCTTTGAATGGTCCCTTGCCGATCATAATACCAGATCCACATTACATCGTCTGAAGGACCGATCGTAAGAGCGCGACCAATTTCGACAAACGAACGAACCCACCGACAACGATAAGATTAATCAGATTATTGACAGCAAGATTCGCCGCAAACATTTCGGCGGCGTACAGACCCGTCTGGACGGTCACATCTGGCTCGTCAGGGTCGATCCTGGATTTTTTCGCAGCGGATTGCAAAGTGTCCGCGGCCTTGCGCTTGGAGCTAGACCCGCCCTTGGAAGGCTGTGCAGTAGTAAGGCCGGAAGATGGACCTGCAGCTCAGCCGATTTAGTTTGATCTTGGAATAAAAATGCGATCACTTACGTGCAGTGTCGGACGCAGGTTGTGTTGGGGCCTGCGAAGCGCCTGGGGCCGGCTCTTCAGCCTTAAGATGATCCACCGGCAGATATTCTGGCTTGGTAGGGATATAGTCTGTTACTGTATACAAAGGGGGCGGTGGGTTAATTCCTTTTGTCTTGCCTGACGTCTTTCTCTTGAACTCGATGCAAGCTAGAGCATCTGTCCAGGGGAGTGGCGCTGGCGGCTTTGCCATTGCATTCTTGACCATGTGAGCCTTGCGCTTTGTGTCGTGCTTCTCGTCGTGCTTCTCTTCGTGCTTCTCTTCGTCTTTCTGTTTGCCCTTCTGTTTGCTTTTCTTGTCACTCTTCTCATCTTCAAATGGAGCGCATGCGCCGTTCAAAGGAAGAATGACGACGTCAGGTTTCCGAATTGATGTTACCGTCTGGTGGGTTTGGTACATGGGCATATCGTTCTGCTGACAGATCATGTCCACGGAGGGGACAGGAGCACGCATCCCATCAACCTTGATCTCTTCAAGACAAGCGAGCGCGATGTTGGTGGCTTCTATAAAAGGGCCGTAGAACTTGTTTTCTACTCCTGGACGTACGCTTGCAGCCGTTGTAAGCATGGAAATGTCCGATCAGCGAAGGAGTACTCACTAATTTTTCAATGCTGTCTCAACGCCCGAAGAGTATATGCCTCCAGCAGAGACTTGTCCATTGCAAACCGGCAGAACTGCTTTTAGGCACTTTTGCAGGAGCTCGGGCTGTTTAGTCTCTGGAGCGCAAGAAGCGCGCTGCAAGAGGGCTTGTAGCATGGCATCTGCCTTACATTGCTTAGCCTGCTCTATGTCCCGCTGAATCCATGGGCGAACTTCCTTAACACTTGATGGAATGTTAGGTGCTACTCGATAAAAACAGGAAATGTGCGCACTGGACACCGACCAAGTCGATGTTCTCGCTGACGACGGAAGCCCCACGGCTGTTCGGGGTGGATTTTATTGTGCTAGCACCATGAGCTGGTGCATTGGCGCGTGGCGGAGTAGACGATGTGCCAGTCTCGTCGGCAGGGGACATGACGCTAGGCGTTCAATGATTACGGTGACTAAGTGTTGAGCAGAACTGGTGAGGTGGATAAAACTAAGAGGACAAGAAAGACGACTGCTTTCTGCTTGCCTTATATCTGGTCGACCAATGTGGCGTAAATGTGGTGGACCATCGATCAATCTGATCAATGGATTGATGTGGCGGTTGTGGACCTACAGTTCGACTCCGACGACGCGTTCCCATCAATATGTGCACGTGACCATGACTTATTTGCATTCTGTTGCACTCTGAATCTGGAAATCGATTTCAGTCAAGTCCGTACTAGCATCTATACTCTAGTAAGTACTCTGTGAAATAAGATCGATAGCAGCGTCCCAGGTAGTTCATGTTTCATGGTGAGAAGGACTCCGCTATCTACCACATAAATCTCGAACGTTCTCGGTGCGTTGAATCAATCATGTTAAGAAGTTCTTCAAAGAATCTTGATTTTCAGATTTATGTTCTCAGAGTGGGATGCAGTCCGACTCTCGCGCCATGTTCCACAGAAAGAAGCCCGTCAAATGCATGACTCAGTCGCAGTTGTATTCTTTTGTTCTCCTTGATAGGTACACACATTAATCGTCACCCCCTTTTAGATCCCCGTGCTGCATCTCAAGTACTGTTAATGGACATTGCTGTGTATCTTGGGTGATGTCGGACAATCAATACATTGGATCCTTCCCAGGAAACCCTTCTTGTCTCAGGGTCTCATGCCCTCGCTCATATATTCCTAGTCGGCCTTGCGGCCTTCAAGAAGTGCGTTCATGATCATCCTGCGCTTCTGCACCCTCCAGTTCCCGGTGCCCTTGAAGTAACCCTTGGGCTGTGTGAAGAGAAATGCGCGGGGGCGCGCTGAGTCTTCAACACATGATCATTTTTAGGCTAGTAAACAATGTCATGTTGAGGGATGGGTTACTAGCCCTAGTAACCGGTAACCTCTGACGAAATATGTGAGGTGGCAGGTGGCGCTGAGGAAGTCTTGAATGTCCAGTCCAGAAAAGCCGCGCGATGTGGCTGACAAAAGTGCAGTGTTCCTTGAAGCTGAAATATTTTGCAAATACTTCTAAAGAACCTTGCGGACGTGTTTCCAATACTCATCGTTCCTTTACAGATTGCCAGATGAGTCACCTAGATGTCATTAGCGTCCTTCGAGATTGGCCAAATGCTGGGGCATAGGAAAGTCACCGGCAAACTTGAAATACTATAGCACGAACTGGTTGATCGTAGAGACGAATCCTTCTGTGACTTTTATATAGTATGATTTACATTCATGTCTATCAACATGTCGTAGATCTATCCTTTTCGTGGTGTCCACCCGTCTCTCACGCCGAAGGTCAGACTCGCGTAAACCAGGATGGTGCTTGATGTAAGCGACACCAGCCCCACGCCTTCGATTTCTACTAACAAAAATTCAATGCGTGAACCTCAGCGTCGGGGAGAGATCTCTACTCATAGTTCACCAAACGTTCTTGTATACATAAATAAGTACCACGATAAAACCTGGAGTAAGTAAAAATAAATTCAACTGCTCCCCTCACACTACCCGCCTATCGCAAATCAATCATATCGAGCATCTCCTGCGCTACGCACTACTGCTTGTTTACACATGGACGTACTCCTGGAAGTCATAGCAGTTGCCGTATCAGAGTTGGCCACGAGCTCAGCGTGATATTCTCGAACACCGAGGATCAGGCGTGGTCCCAGCACAAACATCTGTACGGCCTGGAGTATCTCACTGAAAACAAGATAGATCTGAGCGTTCAGGGAATATCGGTCCTATAGAAATGATGAATAATGGTCGCTTGTAGAGTCCATGATAGATCGGCATACCACGAAGAGCGTTGAAGACAATGAACCGATCTGGAAGCAAGAGACAGCCAAAAAAAACTAGCTCGTGTAAAACTTGAGCGGAAAAAGAGAACCACATTCACATCATGAGCTCACCTTGCAAAGTAGCCAACGTGAGTTTGCATTAACACCATGAAACAGTCCCCAACAATACTACTTGTTGAGTATCGTCGCAATTCACGGAAATGCTTCACAGCAATCAAGACTGCAAGACACAGTACAAGTACCTCCCATACAGTGGCAAGTATCCAAGTTATGGAATCCAGACATGCGGAATCTCCTGCAAAGCCAATGATGCGCTGATAGGTGCCGGAAAGAGCAAATTCCTCTGGTACTCGTCAATGAGCCTGATGCACTTAAACATATCATACATTAAGCCTTACCCCCTGAAATACGCATCGTCAATATCGCGACGATCACTGCGTTGACGATTCTGATGGCCAGGAAGATAACAATGAGAAATATCAGTACCTTTCTGGATCACTGACACATGGCATGTAACCGAGTGATCATGATGACTTGCATGATGTTTCAGTCAAGTCAATATCACGGAGGTGCATAGCTCACTGGCGCCCAGCATTACATCTACAACGTCACTCGTCCAATCAATTGCGTCGTTTATGATAATACCTGACAAATCGAGCAATATTAGTTATCAGCTTCGGAGGATCACAGGCTTGCAGCAAACTCACAACTGTGGGTGTCGTTAAGTTGAATCGACGAGTTGTTCGAAAATTTCACTCACCCCTGCATGGTAGTTCAGTCGTTTGGACGGGAATGGAAGGCATCAGTGTAGAATACTCACTGCATCTGTCATCGAAATTGTTGAAACATTGGCTGTATGCCGCCCGTCAGAAGAAAGAAACAGAGTATATGTGAGGACACATACCTAACATGATCATCCTATTGTGAGAGATGGGTAATGAGCGCAACATCAATGGCTTAAACATCCAAACGTACACAGCATATCCTATTCCCGCATAGCGCACCTAGGATATTTTGAAGTCAGCAAAACTTGGAGTTGCTAAGCATAAATAATTGAAACACAAGGTACATACACAGAGATAGAGAAAGGTCATCAGGGACCAGCGTCGCCTCTGCCACGAACAAGTTGTATTTTTGCGTCGTTCTTTCGATGTGGGAGTCCGCTCACCCAGATCAGTTCAACCTATAACACAATTCTAAGCGAGTTGGCTCCTCCAGTAATCGGGATTGACGTACCTCTTGTCCAAACGTAAGCGCTGAGAATACCATAAGGACATCAGTGGTTCTTTTATACTTAATCTTGCTCACCCCAATCGTATATTAGTCCAACAGAGGCAGCAACTGCGAGATTGGAGTGAAGCTGAATCAAATTATCACCGTCATCCTGCGGTTGACTCTCCACGAATCTGCAAAATAGCTGTAAATAACACCCGCATTAATGACTGGCCACCAACTGGGATCGTTCGAGACTAGCGTCATACTATTAGAGGATGGAGCGAGTGAGCGGGGGGATTTGGTGGACGTATGACGATCGCATTCGTGCCTGATATACCACAATCCAGCGCTTACATTACCAAACTGAGACTTGAAACCTTTGAAGGATGATATCTGATTAAGATTGATCGAAGTACAAAGTGTTTCAGCCTAACTTCCAGTAGAAAATCAATGTGGCATCCGGGGATACCGCATCAAAGGTAGTTATGGACATGAGCGGGCGGGTCCGAACAGGTCTTAAAACGAGTACACTGGTTCAGTGTGCAAACATAGCGCATCGGACGAAGCTCTTAGCTGGTTGGTTGATAGCAAAGATAGTTGATGTTGGATCGAGAAGTTGTTTGATGCAGTGCAGCCTTAACCCGGGTTATAACTGGAACCGTTTAACGGACGATTTGCGTTTTGGGACGGTCAATTGAGTGACTGTCATCCGTCTATTCCATGAGCAACTGACGCAGGTAGCAAAACACAAAAAACAATACGCACTGTCACAACTAAATAAAATCACTGTGAAGGTGAATGATTGCTGAACTTAACCCAGGCCATAGTGCCTGTGAATTTGTGTAGCAAATCGTCCATATCTGATACTGATTCTTCATCGTTTGTCTGCTCGCCTGCTCCTTCCATCGATCGCTGTTGAAGAAGTCGAATACGGCGAACGCGACTACGGCGATTGTAGGCAGCTGTATCGAGCGCCTCAAAACAATCTACAAGAAGTTCCCATAAAGACCAATCTATGTCCAATTCAGAAGTTGGGAATTCCGGAGGTTGATAATCGAAAGCGTTTTCCAGAAAGAACAACTTCTTCTCGTCACATGCAATGGCGTCTAAAGTCGCTCAATCATCGAAGGGGCGCGATCCGCGTGGTAGAATGACTCCCTGCCTGTAACGCAAGAAAACCCGGGCAAAAACCCGCATAAAAGACTCCAGATCATGGTGATACAGGTGTTTGACTTCGCCTCGTTGAGCCTTTGCACTGAGAACATCCAGCGCCATGAACGGTACCGTGCCCGTACGCTCGTTGCCCCGAGGACCCACTACATTCGCCGACGACGATAGATCGTAGTCGTTTAGCACACCGATCAGTTTGCCGTTTTTCCTGTACCACATCAAGTTTCCAGGGGTGATATCTTGATGATAGACACCTTCCTTCCACAGATTAAGGTGACCTGCACGCTATGTCAACGAAGAGCCACATAAATTCAATAAAACATATACACGGGATACACTGACGCCAGACGTCGAAAAGCTCTTTGCCGTGAAGCTTCGTGATGAGGTGGAGCTTGCGGAATGCGAGAATGTAGAGCACGTGACTGCCCGTGCTGGGTTCTGGAACGCGCAACGCTTCTCGGATGGCGGACGTGGGGTTCGTAAACGTGTGGTACCAGAGGAATTGGTGAACATAGTCTTTTACTGTATCGTGCAGCTTAGCGATCTCCTCAACTTTTTTGAGGATCTCCGGCTCGCTAGTGCGATCCGCCTCCCCCCAAAAGATCTTGGCCATCACCCAATCCTGGACGACGCCCGAAGAATATATGTCTCCAGCGGAGGCCTGTCCATTGCAGACCGGCACAATTTCCATGGGGCACTTTTGCACGAGCTCAGGCTGTTTAGTCTCTGGAGCGCAAGAAGCGCGCTGCAGGAGGGCTTCCAGCATGGCATCTGTCTTACATTGCTTAACCTGCTCGATGTCCCGCTGAATCCACGGGTGGACCTCTTTAGCCCTTGATGGAATGTTAGGTACTACTCAATAAAAACAAGAGAGGTGCGCACTGGATACCGACCACGCCGATGTTCTCGTTGACGACGTGAGCCCCACGGCTCTTTGGGGTGTATTCTATTGTGCTGGAATGATGAGCTAGTGCATTGGCCCGTGGTGGAGTAGACGATGTGCCTGTCTCGCTGGCAGGGGAAGCGTTCAATGATTACGCTGACTAAGTGTTGAGCAGAACTGGTGAGGTGGAGAAAACTAAGACCCGGAGGACAAGAAAGACGACTGCTTCCTGCTTGCCTTATATCTGGTCGACCAATGTGGCACAAATGTGGCCCATCGATCAGTCTGATGTGGAACTGACGTGGCGGTTGGGGACCTACAGTTCGACTCCGACGACGCGTTCCCGCCAACACGCGCACGCGCACGGGACCCTGACAAGTCCTGGACCCTTGGCGACCTTAACTCTGACGAAAGATGCGAGATTGCGCTGAGGAAGCCTTGAATGTCCAGTCCAGGAATTCCAGCCGCATGTGGCTGACAAAGTGCAGTGTTCCTTGTAGCTGAAATCGAGTGACGCATCTCAACAGCCCGGCGTCCAGCACGAGCATGGACCGTGGTGTCATGATTAATGTCCTAGAACGAGCTTTCAACTTACAATTCCACAATGAGTATAACGCAGCGCTTCCCTCCTTCTCTAGTACGCGACATCGCTAGACATAAGTAAGTCTAGATCTCTGCTGAAGGGAGAAAATGTATCGTGAAGGTTGCAGATGAGGATATACTTAGGTGGGAACTAGTGCCGGAGGAGGCTTTCGTATGGAGTCTACAGCAGGAAAATAGGAGGACTGATACAAAGACACCACAACTTTGGGACAACTGATGACTAGCTTTGGACTGCCTTGATTTCGCTGGAAACAGCCTTTCCCAGTTACTTAATGACCAAATTTGTGGGCGATTCTGGTTTCTAAGGAAGCACAGCCGAGTCCGGGGGTTGAAATCGTAGCGGCGCTGGGAAACGCCAGTCCCCGACTTCAACTTCAAGAAATGACGACGGATTGGTAGTAAACAGTCTATCGATATAGCAATCAGGCGCTTCGCAGATCAGATGCAGCACTACTTGAAATTTGACAATAGTATTCGAGTGACTCGAACCAGGCTAATCATCATCAGCCTCCAGCTCAATGTCAAAGATGTCATGGCTCTCCGTCAATAACTTTGAGTTCTTAGCAGGTGACTGACCTCCGAGCTCGTTAGTAGTCTTCCTTTTGCCTTTGGGATAATGGAGAGCTTTCTTCGTGTAGGCTGCACATGGCAGCAACTGCATACGCCGAAATGACTGCTTTTGAAACAGGCATCGGTCATTCCCGCTCTCGATCTGTACGAATATCTCTCACCTCTGCCAGCGCATTCTATTTGCATTCTAGATGGACTAACATGTCCTTGACAGAGCGCGAGACAATTTCCTGTGACAAACGTCCAGTAACGAGCACGCCAAACTCATGAGCAAGAATTTGATAGAAAGCAGCCTTATCTGAGAGTAAATAACAGCTCAAGAACAGAAAATATGCCAGATAAACGTCACCCAAAACACTTGCTCCAGCATGAAATAGGTGTAGTGCGCGTTGCCGGGCATGATTAGCGAGTGCATCACACGTTTTTCGATGAGAGAGCTTGTTGTAGAGTGTGCGATAGCGTGGTGCTAATCGAGGAATACATGTCTAGATGTCAGTGCGTTTCAGCTTCTCTAAACGGCGAGGAATATCATCAACAGATGCTGAAATCCACTGTAAAGACATGGCTTAGAGACTTGCACAGCTGCTGGATCGAGAGCAGGAGGTGCGCTGATGATAGGAGGAGTACCTACTAGAGTAGTTGCCAAATTGAGACCGTACAAGTTCTGAAACTCAGCAGCAAGTAAAGTGCCCCGTGATCTTGTGCAAGCAGGTGGGACTGATGCGGTCAAGAGACTCTTGAAGAGGATATCATCTGACATGCTTGCGAGCTCTGTGCGTCGAGAAGCGAAATGAGATACAATTGCATCGACACTGCGTTCTTTATTTCGCGCGTCGGATCTTTTAGTACCAATACGCCGTGCAACACCACGCAGGACAGGCGCGGACAAAGCAGACAAATTTTCTGCACAGCAAACATCAGTGTAGGAAAACCATCGAGGATCATCTTTTAGTCTGGACATAATGCACGAGGCAGCAGTTGGGAGGGGAGAGCCTTGTTGAACAGGTTCTCGATAATTCTTGAAGCGTTTGAATACACTACAGCACACATATGCAGCAGACTCGAAATGCGCGCGACTGAAAGTCATCGAAATGTCATCCAGATGAACAGGCAGACATACTCTATCAAAAACTACAGCCACTGTGACAGATCGATAGAGGGGACCACATTTGAGACATGTTAGAATGGGAGGCGAGCGATAACTGTAACCAACAGCAAAAAAATTCGGCAGTTGCATATATAAGTTTATCATATTGTCGGTAGCATAAAGCATAGTAAAAAAGAGGATATGATTGTATATCATGAAGGATGTTGTGAGGTGGGCAATCTTTAGCATCGAGTACTCGAGGCGCCGTACTGGGGTGTTTCGAGAGAAACACAGACATTCTGGAATCTGAATATTATCAAAAACAAGCACACAGAAAGAAACCGAAAAGACATACACACAAGTTTAGCTATAGAGACGATAGACTTCGATCGATCAACTGTACAGTTTTTTCGAAAGGGTTCCCACGCATCGAGGTATAGGTGCCTGGGGATTTGGATCCGACAAAACCCTCCTCCCACTCCGTGGGAAGTCGGGGATACGTCAGAGTATCCAGCTCCGCAAGAATTCATACTTATTGTAGTGATTTGTTCGCCCAAAGTTTAAACGGAAGTCTAGAGTAGACAGAGATAGGATATGCTGATTGGCAGAAAATAGGAACTGGGGTGGTGATGCATACGAGTCTGTTTCATGATGGAGGACTTGAATATATTGGGTGCAAGCTAGTTGCCAGATAGTCAGCAAACAGAAGGACTCTTTGCGTCCCTTAATGGCTCGGCAAATACCTATCTGAGTTTGAAACCATACTATCATAGCATTGCCACACCGACCAATAAGGCCCATTAATAGCGCCCATGATGGTCCATCCAACTTGACAAGGCAATCGATGTTTCCAACAAGGCCGCCGAGTCGTGCCCGAATGACAAGACAAGTTACGCGTTTTATTCCAGGCTGTGCATACCATACACTCACCGTTAAGGACCCAGAGCTGGCATAGCGCTGTCGCGAAACGCACGGATTCTATCACTCCCTCTCTGGATTTAACACTTCCAGAACTTTCAACATATGTCTCTCGTACATAAATGAGTACCACGACAAAACCTGGAATAAACAAAAACAAATTCTCCCGGTCCCTGCACACTACCCCCCATCGCGAATCAATCATATCGAACATCTCCTGCGCTATACACTACTGCTAGTTAACACTTGGACGCGCTCCTGAAAAGCAATTGAAGTCATAGCGGTCGCCGTATCAGATTTGGCCACGAGTTCAGCGTGATATTCTCGAACACCGAGGATTAGGCGTGGTCCCAGCACAAACAATCCCACAAGCTCGAATATCTCAGCGAAACCTTCATAAATCTGAGCGTCCAGGGTATACAAGTCCTATAGAGGTAATGAATGATGGTCGCATGCAAGTATAAGTCGATGACAGCTCGACATACCACTAACAGCGTTGAAGACATGAAACCGATCTGGAGGCAAGACATAGCCAAAAAACTAGCACGTGCAAAACTTCAGCGGAACAAGGGGATCGCATTCACATTATCAGCTCACCTCACAAAGTAACTCACATGAGTTTTCATTAGCACCGTGTAACAGTCACCGATAACACCTCTCGTCGAGTGTTGTCGCAGTTCACGGAACTGCTTTACAGCAATCCAGACCGCGAGACACAGTGCAACGACCTCCCATACAGTAGAAAGTATCCAAGTCATGGAATTAAGAAATACGGAATCTCCCCCGTAGGTAAATATGCACTGGTAGGTGCCGGAGAGAACGTATTCCTCTGGTATTTTTCAATCAGCCTGATGCACTTAAACATTTCATACATAATCAAAGCTTACCCCCTGACATCTGCATCGTCTGTAATGCGACCATCACTACGTTGGCGATTCTGATGGGCAGAAAAATGACGACGAGAAAAATCAGCACCTTTCTGGATCGCTGATACATGGCATGTAACCGAGCGATCATGATGACTTGCATGGTCTTTCAGTCAAGTCAATATCACGGAGGTGCATAGCTCACCGCCCAACATTGCATTTACAACGTTACTCGTCCAACTAAGTGCGTTGTTTATGACAAGGCCTGACAAATGCAGCAACATTAGTTATCAGCTTCGGAAGATCACAGGGTCTAAACAGACTCACAACTGTAGGAGTCGTTATGTTGAATAAACGAGTGGTTCGGGAATATCACTCACCCCTGCATAGTAGTTCAGTGTTTCGACAGGAACGGAAGGTATCAGTGTGGAATACTCACTGTATCTGTCATGGAAATAGTTGGAATACTACCTATATGCCGCCCGTCACAAGAAAGAAACAGAGTCTATGCGAGGAGACATACTCAAAATGTTCATTCTGATTATGAGAGATGGATGATGAGAGCAACATCAGTGGCTTGAACTTCCAAACATACACAACCCATCCTATTCCAACATAGCGCACCTAGGATATTCTGAAGTCAGCAAAACTTGGACTTGCTAAACATCAATACCAAAACACAAGGTACATACAATGAGATAGAGAAAGGTCATCAGGGACCAGCGTTGCCTCTGCCGCAAACAAGTTGTATTTTCACCTCGTTCTTTCGATGTGGGAGTCCGCTCACCCAGATCAGTTCAACCTATAACACAATTCTAAGCAAGTTGGCTCCTCCAGTAATCGGGATTGACGTACCTCTTGTCCAAACGTAAGCGCTGAGAATACTATAAGGATATCAGTGGTTCTTTCATCCTTTATCTTGCTCACCCCAATCGTATATTAGTCCAACAGAGGCGGCAACTGCGAAATTGGAGTGAAGCTGAATCAAATTATCACCGTCATCATGCGGTTGACTCTCCACGAACGTGTAAAATAGCTGTAAATAACAACCGTATTGATGAATGACCACCAACTGGGATCGTTCGAGACTAGGGTCATATTATAAGAGGATGGAACGAGTGAGCGGGAGGATTTGGTGGATGTATAACGATCGCATTCGTGCTTGATATACCACAATCCAGCGCTTATATCTGATAGATCGAAGTACAAAGTGTTTCAGCCTAACTTTAAGTAGAAAATCAATGTGGCATCGGGGGATATCGCATCAAGGAACCGTCCAAAGTTTAGGTTGATTGTGAGACCTTCATGTCGTATGTCATACGACTTTATTTTGTTTTTAGCGACGAAAATGTCATCCGGAGCTCAACATGACACTCAGCGACATGCACAGGGTTAGCACTGCGCCTCTATGCGTTTCGGTACTAGTGACCTAAAAAAGAAATAAAAGAGTACGAAGTCTATCAAGGGTAGTTGTAGACATGAGCGGGTGGACCCGAACAGGTCTAAAAACGAGTACACTGGTTCAGTGTGCAACCATAGCGTATCGGACGAAGCTCTTAGCTGGTTGGTTGATAGCAAAGATAGTTGATGTTGAATCGAGAAGTTGTTTGATGCAGTGCAGCCTTAGCCTGGGTTATAACTGGAACCGTCTAAAGGACGGTTTAAGACGTATTGTATTTGACCGTTTTGGGACAGCCAATTGAGTGACTGTCATCCGTCTATCCCATGAGCAACTGACGCAGGTAGCAAAACACAAAAAACAATACGCACTGTCACAACTAAATAAAATCACTGTGAAGGTGAATGATTGCTGAACTTAACCCAGGCCATAGTGCCTGTGAATTTGTGTAGCAAATCGTCCATATCTGATACTGATTCTTCATCGTTTGTCTGCTCGCCTGCTCCTTCCATCGATCGCTGTTGAAGAAGTCGAATACGGCGAACGCGACTACGGCGATTGTAGGCAGCTGTATCGAGCGCCTCAAAACAATCTACAAGAAGTTCCCATAAAGACCAATCTATGTCCAATTCAGAAGTTGGGAATTCCGGAGGTTGATAATCGAAAGCGTTTTCCAGAAAGAACAACTTCTTCTCGTCACATGCAATGGCGTCTAAAGTCGCTCAATCATCGAAGGGGCGCGATCCGCGTGGTAGAATGACTCCCTGCCTGTAACGCAAGAAAACCCAGGCAAAAACCCGCATAAAAGACTCCAGATCATGGTGATACAGGTGTTTGACTTCGCCTCGTTGAGCCTTTGCACTGAGAACATCCAGCGCCATGAACGGTACCGTGCCCATACGTTCGTTGCCCCGAGGACCCACTACATTCGCCGACGACGATAGATCGTAGTCGTTTAGCACACCGATCAGTTTGCCGTTTTTCCTGTACCACATCAAGTTTCCAGGGGTGATATCTTGATGATAGACACCTTCCTTCCACAGATTAAGGTGACCTGCACGCTATGTCAACGAAGAGCCACATGAATTCAATAAAACATATACACGGGATACACTGACGCCAGACGTCGAAAAGCTCTTTGCCGTGAAGCTTCGTGATGGGGTGGAGCTTTCGGAATGCGAGAATGTAGAGCCCGTGACTGCCTGTGGTGGGTTCTGGAACACCGAACGCTTCTCGGATGGCGGACGTGGGGTTCGTAAACGTGTAGTGCCAGAGGAACTCGGGAATATAGTCTTTTACTGTATCGTGCAGCTTAGCGATCTCCTTGACTTTTTTGAGGATCTCCGGCTTGCTAGTGCGATCCTCCTCCCCCAAATAGATCTTGGTCATCACCCAATCCTGGACAACGGCCGAAGAATATATGTCTCCAGCGGAGGCCTGTCCATTGCAGACCGGCACAATTTCCATGGGGCACTTTTGCACGAGCTCAGGCTGTTTAGTCTCTGCAGCGCAAGAAGTGCGCTGCAGGAGGGCTTCCAGCATGGCATTCGCCATGCACTACTTGACCTGCTCGATGTCCCGCTGGATCCATGGGCGGACTTCTTCAGCCCTTGATGGAGTATTAGGTGCTACTCAATAGAAACAGGAAAGGTGCGCACTGGACACCGACCACGCCGATGTTCTCGTTGACGACGTGAGCCCCAAGGCTCTTTAGGGTGTATTCTATTGTGCTAGCATGATGAGCTGGTGCATTGGCCTGTGGCGGAGTAGACGATGTGCCTGTCTCGCCGGCAGGGGACATAACGCGAAGCGTTCAATGATTACGCTGACTGAGCGTTATGAGCAGAACTGGTGAAGTGGAGAAAACTAAAAGGACAAGAAAGACAACTGCTTCCTGCTTACCTTACCATCACCACTCCTACCTTATCTTCCTCCAAGGTTACCCACCTGCGGAAAAGACGTCTCGGAAACCTATCGTATATGGCTAGCACATATGACGTTTCACGCTATATACGAACCAAAACATGGAGATGAAGAACCCAGTGAATGCGCTCTGACCGAGCCTTTCTAGGGACCTCGCAGAACTCTGTCAATAGACCGGTCTTCCAAATGATTTCAAAACCTTTTGCAGAGTTAGCGGTGAGCTAGGGCAAATGACATATGGAGATGTGCTACACTACGAACAGAGCTGACTGCGTGTGCTCGTCGCTGACTAAGCTATGGAGATGAGTCCGAGAGGCTGCCTCTTGCCTCTTTGTCTGTCTCTAGTCTATGCCCTTGGGACTGGTCCAGCAGATACCGGCATTGCATCGCACTTGCACGCAACCTTCCTCGTAATGTGCCATGATCCGATATTCAGTACTGTCAAGCTTCGAAAGTTGAAGCGTACCAGGTCGGCTGCGCTTCAAGTTTCGAAGTTGCAAACACGGTCTTTGTTTCTATCGGCATTACTCATATCAACGTTCTGTCGCAGGGACTCTGTTCTCGGGATATCATGAGTAAGTAGAATATGGGCGTTTGATTAGTCGCTTGACCTCTTTCAGCCAACCAAAGTCGGTGTCTGGTCAGGCTCCTTCACACCACTGCTGGAGAGGTAATGGGGGCGGTTTGTGGTGTCTGGCAACCTGTCATCATTCAGACCCTTCTCGGTTCCCTCGAACGACTTCAAACCCTGAGCGAAAAAAAGTCTGGACACCCTCGCGGCATTCAGAATGAAAAGACCCCGAGCCGTAAGATAGAGTTGCCTCTTGTGCTTCATTCTCCAGCTGGCCATAGGGTCTTCGTCCACGCCGGTCTGTTATCTTCCCACCCGAAGTTCCAGGCTTCCGATCCTAGACAGCCTCTTTCCCATTGGCCTACCATGGATGACCAACCTGACATTACAAAACTGCGTAATCAACAGGAGCTTGCAGTCCTCACAGAAATTCCCGAAAACAGATATCCATGGACCGTAACGAACATCAAAAGTGTCACGGATAAAGGATTTGTGTCTCCTAGTCGCAGAAAGGCGACACCCTGGTCCCAATTGTGGAACGACACCATGTCAAAGTGTTCAGGAAATTCAGGTACGAATGCGGGTGAAGCATACCAGCCAACCTCGTTTCCATGTTATCCGTTTACTGTCGTCTACGAACATCCTTCAGGCCGCGGGTGAGATATAAGCGGCGGTCGATTGGTCTGGACACTGGTTGTGTGAGTGAGACAAAATTCTTGCACTGATGATTTGACTGATATCATGCGCGCAATCACAAGATCGATTTCGGAGACAATGGACAAGCGCGCATCGTTAGTGTATCATGTGCATAATTATCTTACCAATTCTTCATTTAGCTTTCTTCCTTAACGAAGGTGAAGGCCCGACGAGTGTAATTCATATTGAACGTCTCCCATGTTACACACTACTGCTAGTTGATATATGTACACACTCTTGGAAAGTAGTTGAAATCATACTAGGTCCTGCATCGGAGTCAATCACGAGCTTAGCGCGATATTCTCGAACACCGAGGATCAGGTTTGGTCCCAGCACACTTGACTGCACAATGATAAATACTTCAAGAAAGCTAAAATAAATTAACGTTGTCGGGGAATATGAGTCCTATGGAAAATGATTAAGCGTGGTTGCATGCAGAGGTCAGTGACAGATTGGCATACGTTTGGCATCGTTGGCGAAAAATAACCTAGTAAGAAGCAAACAATCACAACAAAGCTAACATATGCAGAACTTCAACAGAAAAGAAAACCACATTCACGTTATGGGCTCACCTCGCAAAGTAACTAACGTGAGTTCTCATTAATACTGTGAAACAGTCCCTGACAATACCTCCCGCCGATTGTTGTCGCAAATCACGGAAGTGCTTTAGAGCAACCCGGACTGCAAGACACAGTGCGAAGATCTCCCACACAGCGGCGAGTATCCAAGGGATGGTGTCCAATTGTTGGGGACCGTAAGAAACGCACTGATAGGTGCCAGAAAGAACGACTTGCTCTGGTATTTGTCAATGAGCTGAGGCACTCAAAATCTTTCATCCATAATTGAAGCTTACCCGCTGAAATATACCTCATGTTTATTGTGAGCATCACTATGTTGGCAATACCGATGGCCATGAAGACGACAACCAGGAGTACCAGCACCTTTCTGGATTGTTGGTACATGGCATATAACCGAGCAATCATAATGACTTGCATGATATTTCAGTCAAGTCAAATATCACTGAGGTATTGAAACTGCGTAGCTCACCACCGAGTATTGCAATTAGGACCCATGTCGTCCAATATAGCGCAAAGTACATGATAAGACCTGACACATCTGGTCAGTAAACAGCCTCGGAGGATCATGCACTCCACAAAAACTCACAACTGTAGTAATCATTATGGCGGATCAGCAAGCTGTCAAAGAGTGTCGCTCACCCCTACAGTTTATTAGACGGGTATGGAAGGGAAGGCAACGGTGTGGAATACTCACTGCATCATTCAGCGGGATTATCTGAACAACCACTGTATGCCGTTGGTCAGAAGCAACAAACGGTGTGTGTGAACAAACACACTCTGTATGTTCATGCTGATTGTGAGAGATTAGCACAATACCGATCTTAGCCTTCTAAACATACCCAGCACGTATTATTCCAATGTAGCGCGCCTAGGATATCATCACATCAGCTCAACTTGCTAAGCACGCTTATAGCAAAGCTACATACACTGAGATACAGGACAGTCATCAAGGACCAGCGTTGCTTCTGTAGCGGATTAATGGTATTTTGATGTTGTTCTTCGGACATGAGACTCTGCTCACCCAGATCAATTCGACCTATGAAACCATTCTTAGAGAGATGGCTGCTCTGGTAATGACACCAACGTACCTCTTGTCCGAATGCAAGCGCTAGAGAAACCATCGTCAGGAAATCAATAGTTCTTTCATACCATTTTGCTCACCCCAATCGTATATTACTCCAATAGAGGCAGCAACTGCACAAACGTAGCAAAGGTTAGATCGACACATCACCGTTATCATCCGACTGACTCTCCACGGACCTATGAAATAGCTGAAAATGATATGTGAATTGATGAGCGGCCACCAACTGGGGTCATTTGAGATTATGGTCATACTATCAGTGGATGTGGGTGAGTGAGCGGCGAACTTGGTGGACGTATGACGAGGGCATTCGTTCTAGATATACCACCTTTTATCGCCGAAACGAGTACCATAGGGATAATATTTGTCCGTCCGTCGATTGCAGTGGAATAAGGGTTTTTGCAAGGGGAAAGGCAATAACTTACACAGCCACGCACTACAAGTTGGAAGGTTGAAGTGAACATCCTGATTTCGGCGACTAAGTTGTTTCCATTGCCATTCATCCCGGCTTCAAGCTAGGCTCAGGCCGTATGCCGAGCCGAGCCTTGAGGCCTCGAGGACGGCCCATGAAGGCTTACAGCCGTTTGCAGAACGCTAGCCCAGTCCCAAAAAGAAAAGATGAGTCGGCAAGAAGTCAAACCCCGAACTTTCAACTCACAATTGCGATCAATCGCATTCCTACTACTATAGGACGTTACGGCCATTTGCAGAACGCTAGGCCGATCCCCAAAAAGAAAACATAGATAAGTCGGCAAGAAGTCAAACCAACGAACTTTTAACTTCCGACCAATCTTGTTCCTACTATGGAACCACTGCGGCTGGAGAAGTAAGGGGAGCCGCGGTCTGCGGTGTCTCCGGCTGGTAACCTGTTATCATTCAGACCTTTTGGTTCGACCGACTTCAAACCCCGATACCCTCACGACATTCACAGTGGAAAGATCCCCAGACGCTACTCAACATGTTCGCTTCAGCAGCCTTCACCGAGCGGTAAGATATGCTTGCTCCTCCTTTCGTCATTTTGTTTCCTTCGTTAATGTCTGTCCTTCATTACTGTTTTCCTTACTCTGACCCATTAAATGTGATGGATAGTTTTATTCAAGGATGCACTGCGGTACGACCGCGAAGCCTGCCTGTAGCCGTAAAATGAGTTGGAGTGTCTTGTAGGTTAACGTTGAGATTTGGGTGACGAGGAGGAGATCGAACCGACAAAGATGAAGGTAGTAGAGGAGTAAGGGAAGTGAAGCATGCGAGTAGCGGGTATACGGGTAATGCTCGGTTGTGTGACTGCAACGTCATTAAGCTGAAGCGAACATGTTGAGTAGAGTCTGGGGATCTTTTCATTGTGATGAGGGTGTCCGGACTTTGTTGGCTCAGTGCTTGAACTTTGAATTCCGACTGATAACAGGGTACATGAATTCCGGCTCCCAAAAGCTCCCGAAAACAAGGTAGTATGTGCGTCATCTCACTTACAGCAAGCTGGTCAAGACCTCCAGCACCGTTCAGTAAGGTATTTTCTGCTCGTGTACTTATATGGTTAAGCACCTTGCCATCGCGCGTCTACATGGTACCCTGTTATCAGTCGGATCTTACAACTCAGTTCATTCGAACAACTTCGAACCCTGAGCACAAAAAGTCCGGACACCCTCACGTCATTCACCATGAAAAGACCCCAGACTCTGTTCAACATCTTCGCTTCCGCTTGTAATGTCGTGGCCGTCACTGAGCAGTATCATTCCACAACCTCTGAGACTTGAACAGAGGATAGATGCCGTGTGTGCCGAGGAGGAGATTGAATTACATTTGGCACACGCTTTTGTAAGGTATGGCCCACGCACTTTCCGCTAACGAAACGTGACAAAGTGTTACTTTTGTTTGAAATGTTAATGGCAATTGTAAAACACCTATTTTGCAAAAAGGAATCGCGCAGGGTTCTTTGTATTTACACTGCGCACAACGCTGCGCGGCTGGATTTTTGAAAAAATTGAAATTGAAAGTGCCATTAAGAAAATGAATGTTATGAGCCCTTTTGAGCCTTGTTGTTGCGTGACAAACTAAGGGAGAACACAAAATTGGTACGACATTCTCAAACCACCACGGCACAATGCCCAAACAGAAGCCCCCTCCACCAGTGAGCAAGATTTGCAGAAGAATGTCGTTGATGTGCTTGCGTCAGTCAGCGTTGAGCAAATGCGCAAGTGAGTTGAACTTTTCATTTTTGTTTGCTTTATCTCACTCGAAATCATTCAGATATGCACGCCGATCTCGTAGATTCATGGATGGCTATCACAAAGGTCTAACAGGAAAGCAAGCTGCCTGAGGCACTAAGATATATAAAGGACATCGCTCGAGTCCTCCCTAGTTCCATTCTGGCGGAACTCGAGAATGCCGGGCTCTGACTATTCCACTTATTTCTAATATAATTCACCGTTTAATAGTCTACACAACTCATACGCTACACAATTGTACTAGTACTGATGCGTCCTGTGTTCTTATTTTGCTTCTACATCATTCGAGCGTGTTCTTGTCCACGATGATCATCTACTAGTGTTTCGGGTCACAGCTAGTCACATCGTGTCACATGCCATCACACGTTAGTGGAAAGTGCGTGAGCCATACCTTAGCGCTGTAGCCCCTCAGCGCAACAGAGTAACCATTATCGTAATGGTTTTCTGACATCTCTATAAGGTGTTCGTTATGCCCCGGGTTGAGCACGACGTTGAATTGTTATGAACATTTTGCATATCAGCAACAGTGGACATATTATGTGGAATAATATCCGGGTCTCAACATATCCTCATTCCCCCACATGCTTCCTCCCCCCATTTTTTAACTCCAGTTTCTTCGGTTCGATCTTCTCCTCGTCACCTCTTCGATATGTTAACGTTTTGCATTTTTGGTGTATTAGCTTTCCTTTATTAACACTCTGTAACAAATGCAGACTTGTTGATATGCACACACACATAACATTCAACTCTTCGAGCAGACTGGTATGTGGGCCCGCAACGTACTCACTGTAAACATCTGTCGACAGCTTCCGCATGACTCCAGCACCCCAATACCGTTATACTGGGTGATACCTCCACCCTCTGCGAGTAAGTGCAGTATCTCCTGCAGACAAACTCACTAGTTTATCAGCGAGGATGCTAGTAGAACCACTGGCGACGCGCACATCAGCAGATGCACGGTGGTGTTGTCGCACTAGCGGCACCGGCGCATGCGCAGCTATGGTAGCATTTGTATTAACAGAGCCTAAATACTGACGTGGACAGGGAATACTATTACCTGTGATTCGACGACGACGACGAATAGACACATTACGGACGGCGCCACCTCGCTGGGGATGCACCACTGCTGAACTTGGAGTGCCGTTCCGATGTAGCTTGTCGTTCGGCCATCAGTATGTATGCAGGTTGCGATAATATGTACTATCCATTTAAGACATGTTACTGATGTTTCAGCACGGTTGGCGGTCTGGCAAATAATGATGGTTGTTACAGTAAGTCATACTTATACAAGGCAGACGGCAAAATTGTGAGGCTACAATATCCTGCTACCCCAAGGAATCCACATAACGAGTCTGCACAGCCTCCTTCCTCTTTGATCCTACAACTACGGTGAGACCCCGACGACTAATGTGCGTTTAGGCACGGGATGTCACGATGGATGGATGATCAATGATGTAAACAATTGTCTAGGATGAGACATTGAGTTACTGGATGATGTGAAACAATAGGAAAAGACGACTTACAAGCAGCAGGAATAAATAACATAATTATTGTGAACTCAGCGGAAGGGACAGCTAGGTGAGTGAGATCCGCGCCAGCCACAGTGGCAGCATTGATTTGAGCTGAAGTTCATGCAGGAGTCATCATCAGATGAAATGTGCATTGACACGGGAGTAGCATGAGTGCAGTGATGCAAGTTTGATGATGATGGCTCGTCGTTTGAGAATGCAGTCTTGGAAGACATGCAAGCAGTATTGTCAGTAGAAGCACGCATTGTGTTGAGAGTACACAAGGACTAGTAGTTCTCAGGTTTTGCTATGGAAGAGAGTTGGCAGGCTGAATGATTAAAGAGAATGAATTTGCTCCACCTTTTATGCGTTTTCGTTAGGGGCGGTGTTACAGCTACATCTAAATTAGACCTGCTCGAACTGAGTTGAAAAGTTGTTCGAGACAACGCAGATATAGTATAGTCAGGGGCCCTCAGGGCAGGTAGTTCGTGATACCATATCATGTTCAACTTGAAACTTAGCTGTTATCTACTGCCCACTGCTCGGTGACGGCTAAGACATTAAGCTAAAGCGAAGATGTTGAACAGAGTCTTTTCGAGTTCATGGTACCCTGTTATCATTCGGACCTTTCTCGGTTCCTTCAAACGACTTCAAACGATGAGTGAAAAAAGGAGTTCATGGTAGTAACCTGTTATCATTCGGATCTTTCTCGGTTCCTTCGAACGACTTCAAAGCCTGAGCGCAAACTTAAGTCTGGACACCCTCACGTACCTCACGTCATTCACAATGAAAAGACCCCAGACTCTGTTCGACATCTTCGCTTCAGCTTAATGTCGTGGCCGTCACAGAGCAGTATATAACTCAACATATCCTCGTTCCCCCACATGCTTCCTTCCCCCATTTTTGACTCCAGTTTCGTCGGTTCGATCTTCTCCCTGTCACCTCTTCGACATATTAACGTCTTAGTGTATTAGCTTTCCTTTATTACATAATACATTGTAACAAATGCAGACTTGTTAATTATGTAATACACACACAGCTCAACTCTCCGAGCAGACAGGAGCAGACTGGGATGTGGGCCCGCAATGCACTCGCTGCGAACATCCGTCAACAGCTTCCGCATGACTCCAGCACCCCAATACCGTCATACTGGGTGATGCCTCTCTGCCCTCTGCGAGTAAGTGCAGTATCTCCTGCTCTGTCCAGAGACAGACTCGCTAGTTTGTGAATAACGTGAGGGTGTCCGGACTTTGTTTGCTCAGGGTTTGAAGTCATTCGAAGGAACCGAGCAAGGTCCAAATGATAACAGGCCCATCAGACACTGATGCCAAGGTGTCCGGATTTTGTTGGCTCAGGGTTCGAATGAATTGAATTGTACTCTTGAAGATCCGACTGATAACAGGGTCACCGTCATGATGAATTCCGGCTCCCCAAAGCTCCCCAAAACAAGGTACATGTGTTATCTCACTTACAGCAAGCTGGTCAAGACTTCTAGCACCGCTCGGGAGTCGGTAAGGTTTTTTCTCCTCCTGTATATGGTCAAACACCTTGCCATCCCGCGTTAGACTGGTTTCTATACGCTAGCGACAGACTAGCTCAGTAATGTGTCAAGACAATACTGAGGTATTCGGACGGTGCGAGAGGCCCTAAATACGTGCCGTAAGTGCTTAGCCTAGGGAGGTCCGGGGGATCGTCGTGTGGAAGTATCATATGGTGCGAAGACAGGAAGTCAATGTAACGTATGGTGTCGATGGTGGATCAAGATGAGTAGCAAGAACATACGAGAAAGATAAGGAAGTGACCAACAACGTCCAACACTTTCGCCGTTGAGGCCGGAAACATCAATGCTGAATAAATCGGTGACGACGTGTCCCGCGCTGTTGGCGGTATAATGTAATAGGAGTTTGATGGAGGGAAGGTAGGCTTTGGTGGAGAACGACGTGTACCTTCAATCACCGGGAAGGAGGGTAGTGAAGGTGACGGACGAGTGGAATTTGGTGCGATGGTGGGCGCATGCTTAACTCGGATGACCGGTATGGGTAATGAACAACCCGAGTTGTAAGTTGAGTTTAGGTGGGGCCTTTCATGTACGTAGACGAATTGTCAAATTGGCGTTCTCATTGGCGAGCGCCAGAAAGTTGCAATGGTCAAGAGGTTTTTGCTGTCACGGGCCTGTTACTCGGGTAAGTCAGAGGCACCTGACGAGGTTTTCGAGGTCTTCTCATTACGTTTTTTTGTTACGGTACTGCACGTACGTACCTTGTTTTCGGAAGCCAAAGCATTTCGGTATAGGGCACTCGTTTGAAGCTGTTCCGGTGAAGGAAACGAGCAAGGTCCGACTGATTATCCACAGGGTACTGCTACTAGCATGAACTTTGCTTGTTCGCATCTGTACAGCCACAATTATGCGCTAATATTAATAACCTTGTGGTGCAAGGTAATTTTATCCCCCTCAGCTTGATGGGCGCCATGACCAGGTGCAATGACCACTATGGTCTCCTATTGCGCATAACTGTTGTTATCCTCATCATCTGGACGATTCTCGCAGGCGGCATGTGGGTCCGTTTCTGGACAAACTCCAGCTCCAGTAGTAAGCAAGGCCAGAGTGTTGGTTCTATAGATAGGCTCACCTAGACCTGCAGAATTCCCCGATTTTGGTCATTATGAGAATTTCACACATACGCTATCTGATGAACAATTGCCTACTAGTAAGTTGTTGACTCTTTCTTTATCGCAATTGATACCATCCCCAATGAATGGCAGATGATAATGATAGAAGAATAATCGCGATAGGCGACATACACGGCATGAATGAATCTTTGACGTACGCGCTCACAAAAATCCAGACCATGCTCCATGTTCACGTTTTTCCAGCGCTTTGCTAAACAAAATATCCTATGACACACAGAAGGATATTTTAATACACCTCGGCGACTTCACGACAAAGGCAACTGTAGAAGAGTCGTTGACAGTTCTATCTTTTATGGAGAGCAACAAGATTCTGGGCGTTCGCGGAAACAACGACCAGAAAGTCCTTGAATGGCGGGCTTGGATGGATTGGATTCTTTCTCAGCCGGGAGGCAGAGAATGGCTGAGAGAAGTTGATGATCATTGGTCTGATTATGAACTCGTGCCCGAGAAGGGCGACATGCCTGCATTCGACTCATATCCTTCATCGATGAAGAAACCTGATTGGGGAAACAAGGTCCCCAAGGGTTGGAAGCCTTTAGGGGACCACTACCAGGTTGCGCGAGCCATGTCCCGCTCACAGTACAATTACTTGCGATCTCTCCCTCTCGTTCTTTACGCGCCGGCAGGCCATGTATTCTTTGTTCATGCTGGTTTACTCGCAGCCGACCCAAGCCGGATAGCCACGCACCCTAAACAACCATTGTCGCATTGGCCATCCATAGAGCAGCACGAGGACGACATTCCTACTATACGGAAGGCACAGGAGCTCGCGTTACTCTCAGACATTCCGCAGAACCAAGATCCATGGGTCGTCCTAAATATGAGGAGCGTGCGCAAAAACGGTAAGCCAACGCGCAGCAACAAGAAAGGGATCCCGTACTCCGACCTTTGGAATAAAATCATGAACAAATGCTCTGGTTTTCATGCTTCCAATACTCGGCTCGGTTCCGTTACACGACTCACAGGCCAACTCGCTCATCTCCCTTGTTATGCGTCGACTGTCGTGTATGGCCACGCGGCAACTCGTGGTCTGGATGTCAAGAGGTGGTCCGTCGGCTTAGATACCGGCTGCGTATGTTGACTTCCGTATAAAAGTGGACGTGCCCTAATCGTCTTTGCATAGTCTGTCGGCCGAAGACTGTCAGCGCTAGTGCTCGATGCAAAGTCATTCCCTTCAGGAGCTTCAGGGGATCCCACGTTCGACTTCCCGTCCGAAGCAACCGATCGGTTTGATGCAGAGCCTTCGTTCCAAGGGGCTATAACACAGCATACGTTTGACGTCTTGCCCAGTGCAACTGATTCTCGAATCAAGTTTGGCCACGCAGGAGAAGCTCGCATAATCAGTGTGGAGTGTCATTGATATTGATCATTCTCCATACTTGTCGCATATCTGTCAGCGCAGTGATCTCGGTACCAGATCCTAACGGAATTTGGAATTTTGCTGACGCTCGTGGCCTAGAAGTTCCGTTGGGAACGAGACTGTTAGTATCACTCGCCACCTCGAGGTTATCTCATTTGTTACATATTTTGTTATCTTTGCATTTCAAGCATCACGAAACCGTCACGAAACCTGCACTAGTGTCAATATGCTATTAACGTCACCCTCCCCCTTCTAGTAGCTTCAAATGGTGTTCATACCCATGTTCTAAACACCTAAACGAGCCTTTCGAATTTCGTGGCTATGTTGTAATCGTTGCTTACTTGCTTTTTGAGTCTTGATACCTCAAACACTGTACATTAGAATCTTGATACAATTAATTGGTTTACGGTTTGGAAAGCATTTCTAGATTGTGACGAGGTGTGAGACGACAAGTCTGGATTTTTAAGGTCTGAATCGAAATGTAGGATTCTAAATGCTACGGAAAGTCACCCAGTATCTTCATCTCTCGTCACACGTAATATGCAACTTGAGGGATCATCTTGTAATGAAGCATACTACATATGTACATGATACAATATACATGATACAGACATCATTCAGGCTATGAAAAGTAGGTTTGTGTCCTGTATGGCGGGTGGTAAGTGACTGAGGCGCTTGTGGAAAAAAGATACTGACCATCGGGTGAGAACTAGACAGCTATTTCAAGATAGTCAGAAAAGCGCAACATCATGAGCAGCTATAGACGAACCTGTGGTTTCTGACTGTACTTTGCCCTTAAATTATCACTGCGCAAGTTCATCAAAAGTCGGATAATCAATCCTGAAGACACTCACCGGATGGAATTAAGAAGCTGCTGGTAACTTTGCTGCGGGTTTTCTCCTAAAGAAAATGTCAAATGAGGAGCTGATTATGACGCTCCAAGATTACTTACTGAGTGCCTTGATGAAAGCCTGCATTTCAAAGATGTATGAGAGACTGGAGTGAGAAGGGTGAATTTAGGAACGTACATAGCTCATAGCACCTGTAGCTTTTCCGGCTTCTTCTGTATCCGCGCTGGTCTGTGAATCCTTGCAACCACTCCAAGAAATCTACATTGAAGGTGAGTGTGATGTTAAGTAACCAAAGGTTCACGCACGCAGTCGGCAGGACTCGTCTTCGTAGTCTTGGAGATGACCTCGGCTTTACGTCCATGGCTGGCAGTCTTGATAAATCCCGTAACGGAGCTGAACACGCCGCCCATATCGCCGCGAGCGTATGAAGTCGCGGCGGACATGAAGCTTTGGCCGGCTTCCGCAGCAAGGTTTGGCTCTTTAATCTTGCCTTCCGTCGAATACTAATGGCACAAAAGTGAGATTACCATGAGCGTGGGGAGTAAGGATGACGCACGATATATGGGAGATCTAAATATAAATCAAATTAGAATCAGTATGAACAGGTGACAACAAATCCATCCATACCCAGAGCTGATCCAGAGTGGCAAGACTGCGAGAGTTTTAGTATGTGAATACCATTTTAGGTTCTTAGCGGGATGGACTTACATCAAAGATAGCGGTGAGACGACAACCCGCAGGAAGCCGCTTCACCATGATGTCGTGCATCAACTGGAAGATGGTCATTAGTGGAAAGTGGCGAGAGATGGGCTACAACAGGGACACACATCATCAACAATGTGACCCTTCACTTTGAAATCAACCGGGTAGATGACTATCCCGCAAACGGATCAGCACATGCTTTCTGTGATATGTAGTCATCACCTTCATCATATCCATCTTCTTCATCGCCATCGAGGTCCTCCGTCTGCCCTCCGTGCCCGGAATCTATTTGGTGTGAGTTACAACTGGGTAGATGACCGCGAAAAGTCTGCGTACAATGGAAGAACAGCGAGTCATTGGGACGGGCATCGCGAACGAGCCATTCCATTGCGCGCAGCTATCGGCACCCATCGGTTAGCACCAGCACAATTCTGTAGGTGCCTTACTCACAATATTTTGCTGAGTAGGAACTTGGCGTGGGTCCCTCGCATCGTCAGTGAGTATGACCATGTCCTCCTCCTTATACCCAAACTGAGCTGAAAATCATCCATGACATACTACACACATTCCGTAGCGACTGGACTTACTACCCAAGAAACGCTTCATATTGTTTGCATCATTAATGCAACCACGCAATTCTTCCTTCTGGCCAATGTAATTGATTCCAATCTATTTTGAAAGTACCCATCAGATGTGAATGAGTGTCAGTCCATGCGCACGACATACACACAAGGCTTTCTTCTTGCCGCTACATTGAGAATATTGGAAATAGGATTGCTGCATCTGATTGGACCCTTGCATCTGGGGGCCGTAAAACTGCTGTTGCTGGGGCGGCCTCTGTGGAGGTCCGCCTGCTTAATAAATCATGATGAGAAGCGACCTTGTAGGTTCCAGCGATCAACCCACTTGGAGGAGTATAAGCGTAGCCACCGCTCATCCTGAGGAATGTTAAGGTATCTATCAACGCGAGGATCTTACGGATAACGTACTGGGGAGGAGGTGCACCATAGCCACGAGGGGGTCCAGGTGGCGGTGGATAATTCCTAGGAGGACCTGAGGGTGGCGGGTATTGTGATGGAGGGCCTTGCCTACCCGGAGGAGGCCCAGGGAGTGCGCCGTATGGTGAGGATGAAGGGCCAGGCGGCGGTACATAAGGGGTGGGAGGACCTTGAGGAGGCGCATAGTTTCCAGCAAACTGACCTGGGTAACCACTATTATGGTGATGTCCAGGGTGGTTATCTCTTGGTACTGGAGGTGGAAATCCAAAGCTGTGGTTCGATAATATTGATATTGAGATGACACACAAAGCATATTTACTGGTTACCTACCCTCTGGGTGCCGGAGAACCGTGCGAAGGAATCGATGGTGGGGCAGCATGCATAGGGTTGTATGCAGCTGGATTGGGAGGAGGAGCATAACTACCGCTGGAACAATCATCATATCAGCTCAACTAACTATTCACTGCAGGTCACATACGGGTTTGGGAACCTAACAAGCAAAGATGTGATCATAAATTGAATTCAACGGCTCTCTAGAAGACGTTATCAACGCACTTACTGGGGTGGAGAACTGGTGGTACCACTCTGATTGTTACTGGTCGGATAACCGGATTGCCCTTGCCACATACTGGACGACGATTTGCGACTTGACAAGTAAATTGTGAGAGCTCAAAGAGACTTGGCCGACTTTGGATTCAAGATGTCAAAGTTCAAGCTTTCAAGTGACGCTACACGGCCGCAGCATGACATTTCTTGCACTGCCACCAAGCACTACGCCTCAACCTCACACTGCAAGCTGCAAGAACGGCTCAAGCTCTTGAGCAAACATTCGTTCATTCTATAATCATAGACACACATGAACTTCTGAACCGCGAAACATGTAATTTTGTTCGGTCATCGATCAAGCTTCAAGCTCAAGTCACATCGTCGTATACTCGCGCATCTCATTTCCGAAGAGGTGTCACATACCATAATCACAAGTGTTTGACGTCCAGGGCTGTTACTAACTTTTTGGCCTCGCTGGCGGCTCAGCAATTCCACTTAGAGTACAAGAACTCATAACGACCGCCGCTTTTCTCATGAGTAAGATCAGAGTTCGCTGGAGGATCATCGGTACTATCGACCACGTTCCTCAATCAGTGCAAGACTCAATCTTTCTGGCCGAGTGTACTCTATCGAGGTATGTCCGATCAAATCGTATTTTTCCTTTTGCAGAGTAACTTTCAAAGAAACTAAACACTGTCGCTCAATTTGTTTGCCTCGAATAATATATCATTACACCGCAACGTGTAACCCTGTGTACCTCGAATTCAATCCAATGATCAACTCATCCAATGACTTCGTTGTTAAGCTGCAAGTAGGTATGTACTACAGACTCTTTCAAATAACTAACTATCTTTGACGCAGTGACTCAACAAGTACACAAGTGTAACAATTACCCCCGTTGGCTTTGTCACCAACACCAAATCTATATCAGTGTCTCCGGACCGGGCAGTCTACCACTGTCGATACGATGGCGATACTATATTGTGTTATCATGCGGATTCATAACCAGGTTTGCGGCAATCTCGGAAGCGTATCCATACCATCACTCATTTTGTTCCGGACCCTACCTCTTGTTTGTTTAGATTTGTTTCGTGGACGGCCAGGATCCCCCGCACCGCCCCATACCCCGGAGAAGTTCTCCATTTCGATCCTTTGCTCCATTGATATTTTCCGCACTTATCCCGTGACATGAGAAATCAATGATGGAAATGGACCAGACAGTATAAAGGAGAGGTGCATCCGTGATTGAGTTGAGTGAGCAATCCCTCTTCATCTTCTTCATCAACAACAATGGGTGGAGGCCACGCTGGAGGCGCAAGCCCTTACGCTGCAAAACATCGTCAAGCACTGCAGGGCCAGTCAGGATGGGTGATTTCTATCGATTAGTCGTGTCTAGTGGTGCGTACTAACACACTACGCAGGCAGGCCTTGTGCACAATCGCAAAATTTTTGCCAATGCAGTCTTCGCTTCTCTGGGTGGTTTGCTCTATGGTACAACCCTATCGTGATTTTTTCCTTCAAGCTCGTACTGACATGGTGAAGGTTATAACCAGGGTGTATTTTCTGGCGTCTTGAGGTGAGCTTTCATGCCACCTTTTATTTAGCATCCGTGATCCTCAAACTGTTTCAGTATGTATTCATTCGACCATCGGATGTCATCCGCTGTCAGCAATCCTGGAACGAAGGGTTGGCTTGTATCTATCCTGGAACTTGGAGCTTGGGTCGGTGTTCTCTCTACCGGGTACTTGGCTGACAAGCTCTCCCGTAAATATACCATCATGCTTGGTTAGTGTGCTTCGATTTTCCCAGGGGATGCAGCTGATTCATCCATGCAGCCGTCGGTGTATTCTGTGTTGGTGTCGTCGTCCAAACTGCGGCATTCCAGCCCTCGTCGATATATGGCGGTACGCTCTCAGAGTCGGTTCAAAGTTTTGTGTCTGAATCTCATCTCAGGGCGTTTCATTACTGGTCTTGGTGTCGGATCGCTCAGTATGGCGGTGCCCCTGTACAAGTATGATACAACAGTCCCCTTTTATGTCCTTACTGACCCTTTACCAGCGCCGAACTTTCTCCTCCTGAAGTCCGCGGCAGTCTGGTTGCTCTGCAGCAACTTGCTATCACCTTCGGTATTTTGATCTCCTTTTGGATCGACTACGGTACCAACTACATCGGTGGCACTGGAAGCGGGCAGAGCGAGATTGCATGGCGCGTTCCATTGGCGATGCAGCTTGTTCCTGCTATCATTCTAGGCATTGGTATTATTTTCATGCCTTTCTCTCCAAGGCATGTCTCAACTCCCGCTTACGACACGTCACAAAACTCATAGTGTCCAGGTGGCTTGTCAACCAAGGTCGTGATGAGGAGGCTGTCGCTGTTCTTGGTAGGGCTCGCCGCCTTCCTCCGGACTCTGACCTCGTTCAAATCGAGTTCTTGTGGGTCATAAGATCATTGCTGCCTTGGTCTTCCTGATATATAGTCTTCTGCAGGGAAATCAAGGCCCAGTACCTCTTTGAAAAGGAATTGAATGCTTTGAAGTTCCCTCAATTCCAGGATGGGTCGTTCTCATCGAATTTCAAGCTCGGTGTTTATGCATATATGAGCTTACTTACCTCACGCAGTACGAATTTGTCGCACTGGTACTAATTTTGAACGCTAACGTCGCTCTTGCCAGCTCTCTTCTACCGCGTCGCTGTTGGATCAATGTGAGTCGCCATTTTCTACGGATAGGACTCAGCCCAATGAATTTTCAGGACCATGTTCTTCCAGCAATGGACTGGCGTTAACGCCATCTTGTACTATGCACCCAGCATCTTCAGTGACTTGGGCATGACAGGCAACACAACTAGCCTTCTTGCCACGGGTGTTGTTGGTATTGTGTATGCCTCACCACATATTTTCACGTACATAACTAACAGAAACCCATTAGCATGTTCCTCGCGACCATCCCTGCCGTTATATGGATCGATAAGGTCGGCCGTAAGCCAGTCTTGATCTCTGGTGCTTTCATCATGGCTGCGTTAGTATTATATTCTTGCGTGTATAACTTGCCGTCCTGAACGTTCCATAATAGATGTCACCTCATCGTTGCAGTCCTGACCGCGTTGTACCATAATTCTTGGTCATCGTGCGTCTCATCGAAATTTCATTATCCCACTTGAACTAAAACATCTCACCAGACACCCTACTGCTGGTTGGGTGGCTTGCGTTTGCGTCTGGGTATTCTCCGTCGCCTTTGGTTACAGCTGGGGTCCGTGCAGCTGGATCCTCGTTGCTGAGATTTGGCCGTTGAGTATACGTGGCAAGGGTATTTCTATTGCCTCGTCGGCCAATTGGGTTCGTTCTATGGATATTTATAGGGATGTCCACTGATCGTCATGGCAAACAGATGAACAATTTCATTGTCGGCCAAGTAACGCCATCAATGCTAACTCATATCGGCTTTGGGACATTCGTGTTCTTTGGCGTGAGTTGCCTGTTCATTTACTTCTTTCAATGTCTCATGAAAATTAATACAGGCATTCGCCTTCCTCGGCGGCTTTTTTATCATGTTCTTTGTACCCGAGACCAAGGGCCTCACTTTGGAAGAAATGGACGACGTGTTTGGAGATAGTGAAGGTCTTGCTGTTGCGGATCAACAGCGCCAGAACGCCATTGCTGACCGGATTGGCTTGACCGCGTTTGGCCAGCGCAAGGGTGGATCTGATATCGAAAAGAGCAGTCACGAGCTCTACGACGACGAGGGAAAAGCTTAATGTCCATCGATGGATGGCGCAAATGTTCTATGCATTCAATATCTGACAAGCTGTATTACATTGTTCCGCAATGCATGCACCCTAGTGGTGAACATGGAGATGGAATAATAAATTGAATAATATTAATATTGATGGGCCCCAGTTGTTGCAATGGTGGTGTGCTTTGCAGCAAAGTAATTTAGTAAAACCTAGTAAAACACCTGGCGTCCGCGAGATCACCGGTGCGGCGTCCTGCGGAGCTCTATGGTGCTTTGAGAAAACATTCTAGCATCACCAGACCGTTGAACCTTTCGGAGACTGGGAAGCCCCAGCCTTCGCAGCCCCGGGTCTCCATTGCTCTCCATCTAGCCCTCCATGGATCTGGGGATCCTGGGGTATCCGAATCTGTTGCGTGGGGAGCTCTTGTAGCTTCTATCATCAAGAAGCTTGAATGGCTGTCTGTCTTGAACTGCCTTCCTGCAGATTTATTGCCATGGGATAGTACGTATTCGGCCACTAATAGTGGTAAAAACCGACGCTTGCCAGCAGTTGCCAGCTGCCTGCCTCTGCTGGCAAACGCTTGGATTCATCAGGAAGGTTATTTTCCCGCCATAATCGTATCGTGACCATTGAGGTCCGAATTGTGCAACATAAATATACTCCCCACATGATGATTTCGCCTATATTATTCCCTCGTTCTTAAATCATGGGTTCTCGACCCTCCGCGGAGTCGGCGCGGACTGTGGTATGCGCTGTCACCTGCTGTCACAGGCTGTCACTCGTGATGACGTTCATCGGTTTTCATCGGATGGTCCAGGATGATCCTCGTGGCTCTTGAGCAACTGCTGTGTCCAGTATTTCAAAATTTGGCAGAGCCCTTTGCAAAAGGCGGTCAGTTTGTTTGCTTTGCATAATTTAATTTGAAAACCCTCGTTTATTCGACTGATGGGATAAGAAGTTCATCATCAACGATCATGGACAAAGTTGCTAAGTGGTGGAGTCCGAGAGAGTCCGAGCCGCTGGCACAGCGAACCAAAGGCCTGTAATAGGCAGTGTCCAGCGCGATACGGTAGGATACGGTGTAGCAAGGTGTGGCTAGCGCTCCGGATTCTTCGTCATCACACGCTAGCGGGGTGAAAACTGGTGAAAAGGGATGTGCGCGACGATCGATCTCGCTAATCAGCGCGTCTCGTTGTCTGGCAACGTGCACGCAATAGAATAATTTGTCTCCGCTCCTCGCTTCGGTTTATGCAATTAATCTGAGAACGTGGCAGTAACTTGCGGTGTAACTTGACGAACGAGCAAATGGCAAATGTACTGTCGTCGGTCGAGTTGCTGCCTGTTGCTACCAGCGTTATTTGATAAATGAAAGGAAACGAAGAAATCAAATTTTGTTGTTGTCAGTTGGCGCAGTCTCCGGCGTAGGCAGCTATAAGTTCTTTTTCAGAGCACCATCGATGACTCGGATCATGATGGTTGAGGTCACTCAACTTAAACGTAGCATCTTCGACATGCCGAACCAACCCAGATCTGAGACCACCAACGTCGCGAAAGTAAACATGTACTCACGAAGGAACGCTGGACCCGGGTTAGAATATGGAGGGACTCCAACTTGTGCCGCCCGTCCGACCGGGCCGTCCCTACGGAAGCATCGCTTCAATTGTTTACGCAGCTTGGGCGGAGAGGATACTTAATAACGTGAAGGTGCCGGTCAGTGGTACAGGGATTGTGCGAGTCGTGAGTCTCTGAAAGACTGAAACACCAGCCCGAGTGCACTAGCTAAGAGTCTAGACTCTAGAAGGACTGGTTTGAAATCTTGCATACTTTCCTATTTGGGAATAGCGATTTTCAATTGCTGATTGTCTGACTCCGTGATGGTCCACACTGCTCTACGCTACTCTTCCCTTGGCAGATGCCCCAGTGCACAACCCTCCACCTGGTTCTAGCTTTTTAGTTGTACTGTGAATTATAATCTTGAGGATTCGCATTCACCATGTCGTCATGCGGAAACCCAGCCGCAGAAGAACAAGCCCTCATGCCTCGTGAGTGTTTTCAACTGTGTCTACCTCTGTCTCATTCGCTTGGGCAGGTCGTCTGAAGTTTGGGAAATCAAAAGACTGCGTGAGATGCAGGTTAAAACCGGGCAACATCATGATCCGTCATGCGGCGTACTGCAAGTAAGTGTGTTGTTCGTTTCAGCTAGGAGCGAATTTGACTACATCCCCCACAAGAGAATGCTTCACCCCGATAGTAGACATGAAATTTAGAAAAGCTCTCGAACCTTCGGTCAATGCTAGGGCAGGCACCTCGAAGCGGCCCAAGCTCAAGGCATCGGGAAACCTGTGCCTGGGTTTCTCTGGCGGCCTAGGATCGTCGATTATGCTGGATATCGTCCATAACACATATTTCTCCAGTCGACCGCCCTTGGACGATTCAGGAAAACCAAGAGGTGGCACCAATCATCCACGGAACGCCAGCGTATGGCCGTCCTGCATTGTTTGTTATGTAGAGGTATGCGGAGCTTTTGCTGGGGTGAGTCGTGGCTATAATCTCCGATCGAGATTCAGTAACATAATGTCAGCTAGATGCAAGACAGGACCGAAGATATTCGATCTGTAGTCGAGCGATATCAATCATTCGAATTTGTGCCTCTGCGAATAGAAGATGCATTCGATGAGTCTTGGTGGACCAAAGTTTCCGGATCAAACAACACCCCACAGGTTTGGCTGGAACTCAGCAAGGAAGGCCTAATTACAGATGGTAGAACTGCAACAATGCATCTATTCAACGTACTGAACTTTGTGTTGTCAGGGCTCCATGTCGCTTCCCAAGTGACTGATTTAACACCAGTAGAAGCTATGCGGTCGTATTTATCATCACTGCCGACGCAAACTGCAATTTCTAGTGCCTTGCAGAATCTCACCCGTGTACTTATCCTGCATACGGCCCACTCCAGAGGATCTTCGCATTTACTCTTTGGATCATCTCTCACGTCGCTCTCCATATCTCTTTTATCATCTATTTCGCAAGGTGGAGGGTACGCAATCCGCGAGGAACTTCAGGAGGAATGGGCGTCGGCTGCTACTTCTGGTTCGAAGCCTAGTGATGTGCTCAGGGTTATCCGACCTCTCAGAGACGTTACTGCAAAAGAATGTGCTGTATATGCGTGGTGGAACAACATATCTGTGGTCGGTCGAGACAAGCAAAGGCGTGCGATATTAGGAATAGCAGCCTTGACCAAGAGTACGAGAGAGCTTTCGCGTGCAAGACGCAGGACTGACTTTTTCCTCAGATTTTATAGTCGGGCTTGAGAAAGACTATCCTTCGACTGTGTCGACTATCGCTCGGACCTGTGAAAAACTGGAACCCAAGGATACACCGAGCGGGCAGTGCAGGTTGTGTAAGCGGTGAGGTTTATTGACTACATTTCATTCGGTTCAAGTGACTAAGACAGGATTTGTCAGGCCGATGCAATCCGCCATACAGGAGTGGAAGAGTCGTATATCAATAAGATCTTACTCAGATGACAAAATTGCTGCGGACTTGGCCCACATCCCGTCACCGTGCAGAGGCAATCTCGATACAAGTACCCCATCCCAAGTGCCACCGCTACTTGCCCTGACCGATTTCCTTTGCTACTCTTGTCACACAACGTTGACAAGCAGGAGTAGTCGCGGTGTTAAACAGTCAGCTCCTGCTGTATCCTCAGCCACGCCTTTACCCATATGGGTAGCAGATCGTGGCCTTCACGAGGATGGACTAATGGGTGATGAAGCTCGGCGCAAGATTCCTGAGGAAGAGATGCTCGATACCGTGGCAAAGTTTCTCATCGACAATCAGGATTGCGAGGAATGAGGTATTGATAACGCTTCTTGTAGCCCTCAGATCGTATATTGTTAACAACTTTACTTGATGGGGGCTAAGTTTCAAGAGTGTGTTGTCGTACTCAGTAGGCACAATCACACGTGAACTCTATTTCGGCTGGTGAGCTCCTTTGAGCGCAATTCTTGCATTTGCCTCGTTGTCCCCCTCGGCTCTTCTCGCCTTCAACGGTGAGCAGGTATCTACTCACTGGTCACATAGCTTATTGACTGTCACATTCAGCGTATGATTACGGTTTAGGCTAGGCGGTTTATTTCGCTGCTCGCAAAGTTGTCGAGCAGCTTGGCATTGATGGTAGCATTGATAAGATATTGTTGACTGGGTGGGTCCATGAATTCCTGGAGGGTTGACAATCTAGTACCCTGCGACTCAACGTCAAGGCAGCGTGGCGACCTCAATGCAGGTTATGATACCATGATGTCTCAGGTACTGATGCGTGCGAGCTTAGCGTAAAATCCACTTCTCGTTATCCCGAATGGAGTCCACGAGTTAAGGTGAACTAGTAAAGGTATCAAGATTCATGAGGAAGAGACTCTGATACGCGACATCGTGGCAGAGTTTCTCATCGATTTGGAAATGAATTCTAGTCGTTCTAGATTGATCAGGTAATGATAAGGGTGTTGTTTAACTTGTCACATGGCAAAAAACGGTATGTCGGATCAGGATTCTGAATTAGGTTGGCTTCGGCCTGGGCCTTCAGTCCGAGTCAGGTGCATGAGGAACAGATTCAAAATATGTACATCACGTACAAGTTATAAGTTGCTGTACACTGCCAGTACTTGGCACGGCGATAATTTATCCATCGTTGCCGAAGACAGCTTAAATACATCCAGTTTCCTCTGCCTTTTAGTTCCGGAGACTTCCTAGTTACTCATCGATCATCTTGCAACTTGTCTCGGGCACCGCAATGCTTGCAGAAGATCACTCTCATGAGTTTCTCGACGACGAAAGTCAGCACTCGTTGGAATCACACCAATCGAACAAGAACGTTCTCTTGAAGTCTCACGGAAGACCTCCTTGGTAACTTTTCATGTAGGCTCTTCGTCGTTGTTCAACTCCTGACATCTACGTGTCACTGACAGGTACGGGGAAGATGGCCTACCTATTTGCGATGTATTCGTGATCGGGATAGCTGGTGAGTGAATGTGTTGTGGAGTCTTGCATTTTGTCAAAATGGATTCAGGCGGATCAGCAAGTGGGAAGGTGAGAATGCAAGTTGAGAGAAGCTCGGAGAGATGAATTGGACGATGACAGACTCACGTGGCTCGGCAAATCGTTCGTTCATTGGGCTCAGTACCGACTGTCGTTATACTATCCCAGGTCAGTATTACAAAAGATGTCAGGAGAGTACACAGGTGACACAGGGACCACTGCTTAGGACAGCTTTTACAAGCGACTTACCGCAGAAGAGGTTGCGCTGGCGCATGCGAATCGACTTGACCTTGATCGGCCGGATGCTATTGACATGCCCGTGTTTGCTGCTGTCCGTACGTTCATTTATGTTTAGATTTTTTACCCAATCTCTTCTAGTGTCTCGCGGACTTGAAGGCGTGTCGGCAGACCAATATTCCCGTTTATTCTTTTGCCGAACATCAACGGTTAGACGAGGTGAAGTATTTGTATGGTGCGGCTATCATAATAAGTCAGTATCTGACCGCTTCCTGTTATGATCCTGGATGCTGAAGGCAATACATGTTTCAGCGGAAGGTATAATGGCTTTGCATTATCCAGAATTACGCTCTTTATATGATCTCAAGGTACCCTATCATTCAGCAAGTTGTACATTGTTTCACCGTTAAACAGGTGTTTGTGCAATGTGACTCGGACTTGATGCTCGCCCGGAGAATTCAACGGGATGTCAAGGAACGCGGAAGAAGCGTTGATGGGGTTATCGAGCAGTATGTATTCTTCTCTGCAGGGGTTATATGTTGTCGTAACCATCGCTCATGCCTAGATATCTTCGCTATGTTAAGCCCGCGTACGATAACTTCGTTTTACCAACCGCTCGCCATGCAGACATTGTGAGTAGACGTGTTGTTTCAATTGTTTCGACGTACCATTGTTTTCAGGTTGTTCCAGGGTTGAACAACTCTGTTGCCATTGACTTGATAACGACGCACATTCGACGTAAAATGGCAGAACGGGTGAGACACTTCCGGAAACACATGGTTTCTCAATCAATCGAGTGTTGCTTGAGTACGTCAGACGGCAACCCGGTGTCCAAGAACATTATAGTGCTCCCGCAAACACCCCAGTTAAAGGTCTGCCCCCACTCTCAAAGAAAGTCGTTGCTTATGCTTCTGGGTGAAGGGTATATATACCATTCTTCGTGATGGGACATCGAACCGCCAGGATTTTATCTTCTTCGTAGACCGACTGGCAACGTTCTTGATCGAGAAAGCCATGGAACATCTTCCTCACAGACCTAAGACGGTCACGACCCCAACAGAAGTAGATTGCATCGGCAAGGAACTTGACGTCAAGGTATGTCACTTCACTGAGAAATCGAGTGCCTGGCTTAAGAGTTGTCTAGAACGTTTGCGGTGTCTCTATCATACGATCGTACGTTTTGATGGATCGGCCAAATTCTGCACTAATCGGTTGGTTCAGAGGTGGACCTCTAACGAGGGGATTACAGCGTGTCCTCAGTGACGTTGCAATTGGCTCCCTCCTGGTGCAATCCGATGCCCATACTGGAGAGCCACTACTTCTACATGTGATGCTCCCTAGATGCTTGCGAGAACGACATCTAAGCCGTCGATGCATGGGTCTTTTTACTAGATGCTCAAATTGGCACTGCTGCCTCGGCATTCATGGCGATTCGGACACTATTAGATCATGGAGTCCAGCAAGATCACATCATTTTCGTAACGTTTCTCATTGCCCGCACTGGTGGTGTCACTGTGCTTCAGCGAGCCTTTCCAAAGGTTAAGATTGTTACTGGTGCCGTCGATGAAGGCCTCCGTGAGGCTTGGCTTGAACGTTACAATGAAAAAGGCGAGGGCCAGAGCGAAGGGGAAGGGAAGAAAGTTTGGATCATAGAGCCTGGTATGGGTCAAATCGGTAAGAGAACGCACGTGGTCACAGCATGCTTCCCTTATGAACCCTTTTCACAGGTGACAGATACTACCTCTGATTGTGGAACACTTAATCCCCTAAGCGTGTTTCGGACGCTTGTGTGGTCGTGAGTATTAATATCTCGGTGTCATGTGGTCTAGTTAGGATGTACATGCTCCGGAACCTGCTACCACCAATTGCCAGAAATGTCACAATCAGGGTGACTTCTGACATCAGGGGGTCGATGTGAACGATCGAACTGTTAAATCGGATTCTTGAAACACGACTTCGTTAACAGCAGCCGTATTCGTTCACCGTGTTCTCATCATTATAAAGTCGACGCGCCAATTTTCAATAATAATGACATTCTTCGAACGTGCGAAAAAAATAATTTGGCAAGGTCAGTCTCGTACAGCCACGACTTCTCGTCCTATCAAATAATAAACAGCAATTTTGAATCAATGGTTAACTCCCTGGTATATACATACATCTAGTATATATGAAACCTTGATTCAGTCTCTGCTTCATCGACTGGGAACTCTCGGACTCCAACATGTCGTTAGGATTTTCGTCCTGGCATTTATTTGGTGTTACAAAGAGCTAAATAGATATGAGCAATCAGATTTAGAAGGCCGTACACATAATATAGCTTTCTTTATATGCCATGGACAAGATCAATTCTGGAAACCATGTCTGTCCATGTCCTCTGCTGCTACCAAGGCACATCATCTGAATCTTTATTCATTCCATCCCACTCTTCATCTTGATCACTGTCTTACTCGATCTCCTCGATGCTGCTGTATGCTACATGCAATCAGTACAAAGACATGGTCTGAAATCGCTTAATGTGGAGGCACGCACTGTCTATTAGTACAATGAAAGAGTTGGTGTTCACTATTGATCCAAGAAGATAATATTACATACCATGTGAGGGCGGGACATGACCTAGTCGGGGGGTACATAGCCGACGTCGCACGAACATGGCGCAAAAACATGTCCTGATTGTGTTGGGATCAACAAGCGGCAACAAGTCAAGCAGACAAGTCACGTACTTCAAACTGAGAGCAGGTCACAACTGTAGCACCGTCAGCGTCGCATAAGATCCTTGAAACACGAGATCATGCACATACTGAGGGCGGGACATAGCTGTGGCACCGTCAGCGTCGCCCAAGAACCTCGAAACATGAGATCACACACAGACTGAGAGTGGGACATGGCTGTGGCACCGTCAGCGTCGCATAAGAACCTCGAAACACGACATCACGCACATACTGAGAGCGGGACATGGCCGTGGCACCGTCAGCGTCGCATAAGAACCTCGAAACATGACATCATGCACCAACTGAGAGCGGGACATGGCCGTGGCACCGTCAGCGTCACCCAAGAACCTCGAAACATGAGATCACGCACATCCTGAGAGCGGGACATGGCCATGGCACCGTCAGCATCACCCAAGAACCTCGAAACACGAGATCACGCACATACTGAGAGCGGGACATGGCCGTGGCACTGTCAGCGTCGCCCAAGAACCTCGAAACACGAGATCACGCACAGACTGAGAGCGGGATGTGGCCGAAGCACTGTCAGCGTCACCTCAGAAACTCGAAACACGAGATCACGCACAGACTGAGAGCGGGATGTGGCCGAAGCACCGTCAGCGTCGCCTCAGAAACTCGAAACACAACATCACGCACAGGCTGAGAATGGGAGATACATCAAGCTCAAGATTGCTAGCAAAGTTCCAGGATGACATACCATTTGCTCGACATGAAAGTTGCGAATAAGGAGTGTTTTCGCGTCAGTCGTTGTCTTCTTACTTGAGGGTCTTATATGTTGATCAGAATACAATGACTATCACAATTGTATTCTTTAAGACTAAGGTGCCAGCTCCTCAAGTTCACGGTCAACGGATTTTCTACTTCTCAGTTGATAATGTGGTGTTCGTGGGTGGCCAAAGGGTAATAAATTACTTCTTTGCTAGATCACTTCTTGATAGTAAAGGAGTATAATATATTTTGTCAGGTTAACTTAAACCTAGTAGGTAATATGGACCTCTCTGAACTGAATGTGGCACGAATACTAAAATGATGGATAAAACAATAGATTATTGTATAGGCGATCCCTGTAAGATAGTATACAATCAATCTAGACTAAAAGAATACGATTGTTTTCAAAGGCAACTCATAGGCCTTCACTTTCTTCGTGATCTCACAGTGTTGAGACAGAAAGTGGGAAAACTCCTGACTTCAAATTTCTACGTTCCCACACGGTTTGGGAAAAGAATGGAAGGGGAAAAACTTAATATATTATGTGAGAATGGAGTCCTTATATACATTTTAGAAACCATCCTTACTAAGCAATGAGTCATCACTGGATTGGTAAGATTATACTTACAAACCAAGCCTTTTGGTGTGCTGAATCAGCTGCTTACTAAAGTACATGAGTAAAATATTACAAAGCACTGTAGAATATTACAAAGCATGATGAATCATGACAAAACATGATGAGTCATGGAAAGTCCTTACAAATCAGAATATTACCAGTCACATGACATGCTTACAAACATATCTGAATGGCTCACTGATGTAATCAAGTGGCTGAATAAACAAGAACAAATGGAAAGAGACAGAAACTACAAATACAACTAAATAAATAGAAACAAAGCTTACATAAGTAAGAAGTATATCCTTTGTACACTCCTCTACTTATCTCCTTTTATACTGCTATTCATATATGTCATGGTATGAACACCTGTGACTCCCACATAATCCTTCTAATTAGAGGTGATAATAGATAGCGTTCGCACCTCTAATTAGAGGCAAATACAGCGGCTGCAAGCCTCCTTCAATATCTCGTCAATAAAGAGTGACTTATAATAATCAGTGCCAAAGTCTTCACTGCAGCGTGAATATGATACCAAATCGGGTAAGCCATGCTCGTCGCACGCTCACTCCGTGCATTGCCGAAACCTTCGTGCTCACCGTTGCACACAGCGAGCTCAACTATTCCACCATTTCAACACATTTTTTCACAGTTTTTTTCACTGTACCTGTAGAGTATCATTAAATAACGTATATTTCGCATTAGCGGACATAAGTGATGCCAGAATAAATGTGTATATATATATCAATACTACAGAGGCAACATAGGTCCTTTACCTCGTTCCTGGGCCTCAACCCATTGCTCCCTGGTCGAAAAAAAACCAATTAGATGTAAGAATATTGCTATATAAAAAGAAATCGAACTCACAGGGTACTGGAAGCTGAGAAGGGCGCTCTGAGGGAGAACATCAAGAGAAGGAGAGGGATAGAGTAGAATACATGGGCACAGACATCAGTCAGGCATTAATATACGTAATATAGACATGCCTGAGTGAGGGTAAAGTGAAGAGAAGGCCCTGGAGCTGCAAAAAAGCGACCAAGGCAGAGGGTCAGCCAAAGGTCACACAGAAGATAACATAACTACTCACTGATGATAGGAGGTCACAAGCGGTTTTAAAGTAGGGTATTATAACTATACTAGAGTCATATGACCCGCTAAACCTGGTGATAAAATAGCTAGATGAGATATATAGATCAAAATGACAGAAAATGCGAAAATGTGAGCAGAGACTTACCATGACGATCAGAGTGCACTACTTGTGTACAGGACAGTGTAGAACAACATACCAGAAGCACCAGCAGCATCTTGGAGGGTGTGCATGAAGAGAAGAACATGTTAGCAATAAAAATGCTCAAAAAGCGAACCATAAGACTTACCATACCAAGAGGGATATCCAGCATGTGTGCAAAGGACATAAGAGCCATAGAACAATGAACAACATCCTAGAATGACATTGTAATAAGATAGAAGAGCTGTGATCAGGAATAAGACAGGTTATTGAGAAAATATGAGGACACGGACCAAACCCACTCACCTTGCCAATAGGGACACCCTGAGGATGTATACTGATCTAAAAAGGACCAGGGGATGTAAATAACACCTAGAAGTGTTAGCACAGCAAGTTTCAGGACATACCAGTGAGTTGTAGTTGAGTTAGAGTTAAATTGAAGGTTTAAGATGTATGTGCGTGGTGCATTACACAAGATCACACAGTTGCCATATGTGAGTCGCAGTGCAAACACATACACATTCTCTCGATAATCACTTGTTTTCATCCTACCTCAACCACAACTGGCTGGTATGTCCTGAAACTTGCTGTGCTAACACTTCTAGGTGTTATTTACATCCCCTGGTCCTTTTTAGATCAGTATACATCCTCAGGGTGTCCCTATTGGCAAGGTGAGTGGGTTTGGTCCGTGTCCTCATATTTTCTCAATAACCTGTCTTATTCCTGATCACAGCTCTTCTATCTTATTACAATGTCATTCTAGGATGTTGTTCATTGTTCTATGGCTCTTATGTCCTTTGCACACATGCTGGATATCCCTCTTGGTATGGTAAGTCTTATGGTTCGCTTTTTGAGCATTTTTATTGCTAACATGTTCTTCTCTTCATGCACACCCTCCAAGATGCTGCTGGTGCTTCTGGTATGTTGTTCTACACTGTCCTGTACACAAGTAGTGCACTCTGATCGTCATGGTAAGTCTCTGCTCACATTTTCGCATTTTCTGTCATTTTGATCTATATATCTCATCTAGCTATTTTATCACCAGGTTTAGCGGGTCATATGACTCTAGTATAGTTATAATACCCTACTTTAAAACCGCTTGTGACCTCCTATCATCAGTGAGTAGTTATGTTATCTTCTGTGTGACCTTTGGCTGACCCTCTGCCTTGGTCGCTTTTTTGCAGCTCCAGGGCCTTCTCTTCACTTTACCCTCACTCAGGCATGTCTATATTACGTATATTAATGCCTGACTGATGTCTGTGCCCATGTATTCTACTCTATCCCTCTCCTTCTCTTGATGTTCTCCCTCAGAGCGCCCTTCTCAGCTTCCAGTACCCTGTGAGTTCGATTTCTTTTTATATAGCAATATTCTTACATCTAATTGGTTTTTTTTCGACCAGGGAGCAATGGGTTGAGGCCCAGGAACGAGGTAAAGGACCTATGTTGCCTCTGTAGTATTGATATATATATACACATTTATTCTGGCATCACTTATGTCCGCTAATGCGAAATATACGTTATTTAATGATACTCTACAGGTACAGTGAAAAAAACTGTGAAAAAATGTGTTGAAATGGTGGAATAGTTGAGCTCGCTGTGTGCAACGGTGAGCACGAAGGTTTCGACAATGCACGGAGTGAGCGTGCGACGAGCATGGCTTACCCGATTTGGTATCATATTCACGCTGCAGTGAAGACTTTGGCACTGATTATTATAAGTCACTCTTTATTGACGAGATATTGAAGGAGGCTTGCAGCCGCTGTATTTGCCTCTAATTAGAGGTGCGAACGCTATCTATTATCACCTCTAATTAGAAGGATTATGTGGGAGTCACAGGTGGGTATGAACTCCATACCATGCATGACATCATGTGATTGGAGTCACTGTTAGAGGATTGTGTACTGCGGTGCTTTTCATCACGGGTGATCTGAAAGCATTGTTTGCATTCTCGACTTCTCATCGTTAGGCACCATCAGGACCTAGAAAATGAACATACTCACCAATCAGTCGAGCAAACAGTTTGCCCTCCAGACCGATATTTCACAGACTTGACGCCAAGGCAATTCACCGCGCCACAAAAATGACATTGGTAGTTAACATCAAAGCCTGATTTTGTCTCCTGTTGAATGGTAACCCTCAACACAATCTTCATGCCTGGTTCAATGCTTGACCATTTGTGGCTTGTGAGTGGGGTTACTTGCATGCCCTCATCAATGCACAAATCATACTTTCCTTCTTCTATATACCGTCTTTGAATTTGGGCTTCAATTGCATCGCATTCGAACAGAACTCAAAGCATGTTATTAAGTTGCTAAAAACAATTTGACAAGTAAGCTTTTACAAAATTTTGACGCCAGCGAGCGTACCTGGTATGAGGTGCAGCAGCTCACTGATATTGCATGGTGGTGGCCTGTCGCGTCTACTAGTGTCACGCAGCCAAGCGCGACAGTTCCGGCTAAATGGATGCAGATGACTGCTCAATATCCTGAGGACCATCCTGCCGCCTCCATGAAATTATAAATAATTCGTGTGTTTCACGTTGACTTTGCATTTGTGATGACCACTGACCACAGAGTAGTGAGTAAATGCGAGCAATCTCTAGGGAGTAGAACACAACCAAACACTCCATCAGATAACGGTCAATGTCAGTGGAACATCCGGTGATAGCTTGTGTGACAGATGTGTATGCGAGACGACATTTTTGCAACCTTTTCAGGCGGGCTGAGGTGTCTTGTAGCTTCCTGAGTGCGGCTCAGTGTTGGGTAAATTCAAGCGCACATTCATAAGGGGTTTACCTAGCTAAGAGGTCTCTCCGGGAATATTCAAGAGGATCCAGGGCAGGTGGGGCGTTGCACAAATGGTAGTATAGTTGATGGAGCCGCGACGTCAGGTCATCTAAGGCTGCCTTGTTCTGGTTCGCGTCTCTGTGATGGTCCCTTGAGATCCAGAAATATCCTCATCATTCGATAAGCACTCACATTTATAACTTGCAGGATTTGCAATAACCCGCCAATAGCCTGCGTTCATCGGAGTACCGATAAGTGGAATTACACCCTGTAACAGCCTGGCCCAAGGGCAAAGCTACCTGAGCGATGTCGAGAGCTTCACGTGGACAGGGGATGCGACCCAAGGGTACACTGCGGAAGGAAAGCCTGTGGGGGGTTCTTCGAAACCTGGTTTACTGCTTGCAGAAACCGGATGCACTGGCGAAGAATTCGAAGAGAGCATTGTTGCAGGAACGGGATTAGAAATGTCTGTAGGGATAGAGCTATCGCCCTCATGGTCGGCGGTTGTTAAGTTGTGTTGTGTGCGTCCTTGGTTTTTAGGGCGCTTCAAAACAATTGCAATGACCTTTTCGAAGCCCTCAAGGGACAACGTAAATTTAAAAGGCATTTTGATCAGTTGACAAGGTCAGAGGATAGGTCAGAGGAGATATAGCAGAGCGAAGGAAGGAGGGCAGGAAGGCGGTTGAGGTACTTGACCGAATTAACCATCAGGAAGCCATGAGGCAGCTAGCTGTGCATAACACAGCCCTAGCTCAATTCTACCAATCAAATTCATACGAAGCCTTACGAATTCGAAGAAGAGCTTCCATGAAGCATTCAATAAGGCTGCTAGCTGTGGACAACTGGTAGCAACCCTAGCCCAAATTGCCCAATTCTATGTCGGAAATTTCTAGGCACCATTTTAGGGCCTCATAATACGTTTCAAGGCATAATTTTCACACACTGCCTCGCAATCATGTTGAGTAGAACCGTTTGGATAGTTTTCGAGATCGTAACAGTCATCATGTTCTTGAGCGTCTTCCTATTTGAGAATTGCAGATTACAGCGGTCACGGTGGTCCGGCATGAGCCTCGCCTTTGACACTGGGCAGATGGTGTACAGGCCCAGGAAGTCGACAGGAACAAGGGGTGGGCTAAATGAATGCCAGCTTGATGATTATGGGGGACAACATCCGAGTCAGATGACGGTGACGGGTTGGAGTACCTTTACAGCGCTTTGATATGTGTGATGTTTGACAGGGGTTGGACAAAGTGACGGGAGTCCGAGAAGCCTTAAGTACGTCTGCCGCGGCACTATCTCAGGCTTGGCGAGCGATGTAAGTTGCACCCATATGGAGCGGTGGGGGAAGTTCGAGCTTCCAATATGGTACAATACCGAGCAGCCCCCAGAGAACAACCTCATGATTTGAGCGCTTATTTAAGAGATAAGAATGGCAACGGTTTTGGATGTCCACGTGGTCCACCTGAGAGCAGGACGACTCCCACAGTCCTTACAATCGACAGTAATCTACCTGCACCTTCCTAATGGCGGAAGAGGCGGCAGTGCAGGGCATTATTATAAGCACGACCCCCAGTCGAGCATTTGGAGAACATGAAGAACCCGTACTCGCAGTCGCAGTTTTCCCCGATATGCGACGAATGGTTACAGGCTCGGGAGACAAGACACTTCGTCTTTGGGACCTGAAAGACGGCGTGGTATTGAAGATAATGGAGGGGCATTGCGACTGGGTTGGGGCAGTGGCGATATCACGAGACGGGGGATTAATAGCAAGCGGTGATGAGAAGGGGGAGCTCATTACCTGGGACGGGGACACTGGGGAACCTCTCACCCAATCCTTCCAGGCTCACTCTTGCATTGACTCGTTGGATTTTTCACCAGATGGCGCGGTGTTGGCTACTGGTTCATGGGACAAAACAACGAAGCTGTGGAACACAAAAACGTGGCAGTTGCAAGGAAATCCAATCAACTGTCATGATTATGTCAACTGCGTTCGGTATTCACCATCTGGCGAACATCTTGCTATTGCAACACTTGGGAAGATTCAAATATGGGATACGAGCACTAGGGAATGCATTATAATCTTTGAAGGTCACGCGGCTCATACATCGATCAGTCGAGCAAGCATTAGACCATTCAACAAGTCACTCGCGTGGACGCCTGATGGTAAACGCCTTCTCTCAGCAGGCACAAATGCCGATGCTACGATACGAGAGTGGGACTCAACGAGTTGGGAGCAGGTCAGTGGGAGTCCCTGGAAAGGCCACAAGAAGCAAATCTGCGCCATTACAGTCAATTCTGCTTCTACCCTGGTCGCCTCCGCATCGTATGACAATGATGTCCGCCTTTGGCGGCTCTCAGATAGACGAACTATTGCCATATTCCGACACACTCGCTGGATGCGTTGTGTTACCTTCTCCTTGGATGGTGAATACATCCTTAGTGGAGGAGGGGATAAGAAGATATCAGAGTGGGCAGTACCGGAGGACGTTTTACCTGTTTCCAAGGTAAGTTCCACTCTTGATTCATACAACACACGGTGTTACCTTCATGTAGAATATAAACATGACAGCCCGGAATGCATGCATATCTGGTGATTTGCCTATCGCTGAAGAGCTGCTAACACAAGAGATCAACTCTGATCCCAACAACTACATCTCCTATGCCGACCGCTCATTTGTCATGGCGCGAAAACACGACTGGGACCGTGCGCTTCGTGATGCACTTATGGTGAGATACAACTGATTCATTTCTTAAGAAAGTAACATACTAACTTTCCATGGTGTCAAAGTCTATCAGCATTCAGCCCTCCTTCACAGGCTGCACCTCTAAAGGCATCGCCCTCTGTGGAAAAAAAGCACTTCAAAGATGCAATGAAAGCATTTGACCTCGCGTTCATGTTTACCAGCGGAGATTCGACGGCCATTCATCGTCTTCTCTTGATCAAGGCATGCTAATCAGTTCTCCCATACTCCCTACTTCATTGATTTTCAGGCCATCGCACTGTTCAATGCAGATCAACATGAGGATGCAATTCTACGTGTCCAGGAGCTAGCCGCCTCTTGTCCCCACGCCGATACTCTTGCTTGTAGTGTCGTGGAAGTGAGTGTTGATCCAGCCCACGTTCGTGTGCCGTTGACACAGATTTTTTTGACATCGCATATCAGGCGTATCTACGCGTTCAACTTGGAATCAATGCGTTGGATGGCGCACGTCACAATGAAGCTGCTGACCACTTCGCAGCCGCTGTCAACGGCGGTACTTGCTGGTCTAAATCAGCCCTTCAATCTCAATATACGGACTTTGTGGTGGTACGTCGATGTAATACAACCGAAAATGTGTTTCATGTTGGATTAAACTTTGTGCTTCTGTAGCTCTTCGGATGGGACCTCGAGTCTTTGTGGCAAACGGCAAACAAAAACCTTTGTCACGCACTCCTTCACGCAGGTAAACTTCAAGAAGCCCTTGAATCGTACAAATACATGATGGATATGAGTGATGAAACCACGAAAGCCAGCTGCCTTCGTTGGTCCGCTGGTAAGTCTTCAGTCATGCCACCCGCGCTAAATTTTCACCCGCGTTTCCACTCAGCTTTCAAGCAAAATTGCAGCACACTCTGTGCTGTCCAACGGAGATGTTGCAGCTCGCTGCGAGTGATTATGACGTGGCTATTCGTCTATACTCGGGAGCGATCAAGCTAGATCCCACAAGCGAAATCATATTTGCCAGCTGCAGTAAGGCAAAAATGAAGAAAGCGCTGTGGGAGGAAGCGCTCGTCGATGCGCAAAAGGTTCGATGGCATCAATTCTTTTGTAGACAATACTTATTTTCGATATACATATGTAGGTCATCGAACTCAACCCATCGTCTTATATTGGATATCAGTTGAAGCACGAAGCATTTCATGGCGCACGGCGCTACGACGAATCAATCGAGGCCTTCCAAATCATGCTCTCCAAGTTGGATAATGCTACCGAGACGCAAATACGAAGTAAGCCTCAAATAACACACGCATCAAAGTGCTTGACTCTTTCTCCAGAGCTGCGCCAGCAGTATATCAGCCCATCAGAAGCGGATGGTGCTATCCGAAAGGGCATCCACGTTCAAATGGAAAACGCCCCACTTCGTCTACTTAACACCTCCACTGGGTACTTATGTGATCGAGACGCACAGATTGGTTCCTTCAAAACAAGCACAAGGTACAAGGAACTTTTGTTATTGACGATGAAGCATGAAGACCTCCGCATGGAGCGCATCAAAAAATCGGTTGCGATGTACTTCCGTTGTGCTATGCTATCCCACAGGTGGGGAGAGAAGGAGCCCCTGCTGTACGACATTCAGGAGAAGGTCGTTTATAAATTGAATCCAGTTGGAGGCATCGTGAAGTTGCAGTCATTCTGCAAAGTTGCTCGCAAGGGCGGGTTATCGCTGGGCATGGGTTGACTCATGTTGCATCGACCAAAATAACAACTGTCGAACTCCAAAAATCACTCAATTCCATGTTTACCTGGTATCACCAATCAGCACTCACGATCGGTCTACCTGTCGGATGTTCCGCCTTCATCAAAGTCCGGCGCACTGGCAAAGAGCGCTTGGCACACACGGGGATGGACCGTTCCGGAATTCCTTGCTCCCAAAGCTATTCTTTTTTACCAATCAGATTGGACCATATATCTCGACAACCGCTCTCCCAATCACAAAGAGTCTGTTGCAATCATGCAGGAGTTAGGAGATGCGACAGGCATAGATCCACGGGCCCTTGTCGCCTTCCGCCCGGGGATGAGAGGAGCACGAGAGAAACTCCGATGGGCGTCGACACGTGTCACCACGTTACAGGAAGACATCGCCTACTCGTTATTTGGCATATTCGGTGTCCATTACCTATAATTTACGGCGAGATGAAGGAAAACGCACTTGGGCGACTCTTGCAGGAGATCGTGGGTCGATCGGGCGACATTACCTGCCCTCGACTGGGTTGGATTATCATCCGAGTTCAATAGTTGTCTGCCAGCCGACATTACATCATACGAAGCTCCGCCATGTGTGCTACCATCCCTCTCCGAAGATGACATTCAGACATCAGTCTCCTCTCTACGAGGTGCTGGGGCTGTAGAGTTGGCTTTGAGAATATACACCGCACTCGACAACCTGAGCGCCCCTCGTTTCTCCCACCGCCGGCTGCAACTACCTTGTATCGCATTTCCTATCATAGAAGTCAGACGGAGACATGGCCAAGACCAGGAGACACCGATGTATGAAGTCGAGACGGACGGGCTTGGTGACCTGCTGATCACCACGGAAGACAAGCTGATTCCGTTCTCGCCGGCAAGGCCCTGACCCCTTGGCAGACATTCTTGCTTGTCCGTCCATGGAATCGTAGCCTCCTCGAGCTGCCTAATCCTTCAGATGATATACAGAGCATGGAAAATTCGGCTGCTCCTCGCTCTGCGTTACCCGATCCGCTCGGCCTTTCTCCTGGAGAGAATGAACCAGTTGATACCGATTCTCATTCGCGAGCATTGCGATTGATTGTTCGCCTTGGACAGCCATTTAGCGCATTTTTGTTAGCACGGCAACACAGCGGAGAATACAAGAGAATTGCGTCGAATCGCGATATCGTTGCACAAGTTAAAGACATGACTTCTGTTCGCGACATGATGGACATCAGGACATTAGAGATATCGTAGATGTATGAACACATGCTTTGAGTGATTATCACTCCTACCTTGATAGTACCTGTATACACCGAGGAATCATACCCCCTATATTTGTGTTCATGGTGGCTCGCAACAGGAAATAGTGTAGCCTAAGCGCGGGCTCACGTATAGAGCCTTGCCAAAGGCTTCATTTTGAAGTACCCTCGACCTCTTCGGAGCGACTCGGCATCCATGCTTCCTTGAAACGCTCACATCCCATGACGGAGCACTGGTGACACAGTCCTCATATCTCTACCACAAGTTGTCTTCACCTTGAACTACTCTCAGATTTGATCGCATGGCGCTGTATGTATCAATACATCGATGCCTGGGCACCTTTACAGCTTACCTATAAATTCTGTTCAACAGAAAATGTAATCCATTCGGCACATTTTGAAGATGAATCATGGAACCCAACTATAATGAATTAGCCATAGTTCTAAGGTTTCCAATACGCTTGCGGAAAAGTAGAAAATGGTCTTATCCAGAACACTTGGCAGTCGTCTCCTGAGAGTCGTTGGCTGTGCATCACATCAAACTGAATGATCTCCATCTCCTTGGTGATGTGCAATCACCAGTTTCATGCTGTGGCCCACATTCTGCTCTCCTCGCTCTCCAAAGGGATTGGTGAAGGACTTTGATGGTCGGGGGTTGTTACTAACATGGAAGTGTACTTGCAGGATGATGAGACAGAATACGATCCCCTAAAGAAGAGTCTTATAAACAGTTGTGTTTTAGCCAAGTAAACTCACCACAACAGGAGGGCCAATATCCATCGCGGGGTATTGGCCGTTTGATCCCGTCAAGAATGCTAGAAAGGAGCGCAAGGACACTGGTAGCATATAAAGCGCCGCTTTCGATGACGACAATCAAAACAGGTAACAAATGAGTAGGGTTATCTGACATGCAACGACGGCTGTGGTAGATGCGCCAGGAAATTAAAGCTGTCATATCCTGGTCGTCATGAGCCTGCGGATCGGCTGTGAAATAGACGTACTAGTGCAAATAACAGCTGATAAGCATGGTCAATGCATAGAAAGTTGTGATAAAACCAGGAGCGATGGTGTAAACAGTCGACCCTACGCCGGCTCGAGAAAGGCACCAGACAATATAGTACCCGATCGCTACAAAATGTCACGGGATGAGGAGGTGCTCGAATGATACTTTTCGACGTGATACGCACCCCCATTGGTTAACAGCACGATACAACCAGGAATGCCAACCAAGAGACTTCTATTGTTGAGCACATAGCACCGCCAAACCTACTGCCCTACTCAATGAGAGAACGATATGGCAAGTGAAGAAACTCACAAGGACAGTATCAGCAACAGTGGGCTGCGTGATGTAAAGTGCGGTTTTTGCGAGTTCCAACGGTGAAGCGAGGTTGGAGTAGTAGGCGTCTGCACCGATTGTACGCGCACTGAATACGAACGCTTCTAGCGCTCGAATTAAATCGATGATTAGATGCTAACGAACCTTGTTGAGTTATTCAAGTTGTCCCAAGGGGTGTGATTACACATACGGCAGTTGCAATGCAGAGTAGCAAGGTTGCTACTGGGATAAGGAGGTCCCGTTGAATACCACATTTCTTGAGCAGTATGACCAGCGTCAACCAGTACAAAGTGAAGAACACGCCTACATAAGAAAAGAAAATGAACACTATAGCTTCTTCCAGAAGTCGGTGACGCACCGTAAAACAAAGTCTCTAGGAACAACGCTACAAGCGAAGCTTCGGGCAAAGTTATACCCATAATTATAGTCAACAATGTCCTTCAAGGACAAGCTGAACCAAAGTTATGTGCAGGTCAACTGCAAGTACTAGTCGTCCTTGTAATCAAGATGAAGGAATGTAAGTATCTCGCAATGCGAAAGTCGTGTCGAGTGATTCGTGATGGGTGTCCGTGCTGCAATGCATCCAATAAACTCGACTTATATGCCTAGTACTTAAGTGTAACGCCGTCTGACAGATTACCTCAATGCTGTCCAAGCACCCTTGGCATCGCTTTTAAAAAAGACGTTCACAGCCCGGCTTCTTTGATGCAATAGCTGAGTACTCGCACATACTAGTATTAAAAAACAATGTGTAGACCGTGATAATGATGTCTTGCATCAGGAGCACCGAGAATAAATATCAGAGGGTCCGCAAGAGAATACGAAAAGCATGGAGGCAGGCGAGGTGCCAAGAGGATGGTGAAGAAGTGCACAGGCCCGGGAGGAGGGCAACGAAGGCAGAGTTATATTTTTAGAATGTGGTTCCCTACATGAAGCCTTCGGTCTAGGCTCGGCCCACTTTATTGACACCGAGGAGTACTGTTTCCAACCTGAAACCGTATCAGACGGTTGCGAACGAACTGTCTTTCTACCATTCACAAATGAGATTCTAAAGATGTCAAAGGTTTCATGATCATTCTTAGACTCGATGCTTGAAATTAAAACAAGTTTTAACTCGCAACTTTCGCAAGGCACTGACAAAACGTGAGCTTATTAGCATTGATAGACAATGATAGGAACCAAGTCCATTAGATATGTGACTTCCTCGCAAAATGTGAATTCATTCAGGCAGTATTTTTCATGACCTGGATTCATATGCACTCAGCATCGTAGCACAGCATTCTTAGCTTCGATGGGCTTCTCTCTGACCTATATACGAGATCTTGAGCATAATATTTAATGGATGAAGTCCGAATTTATCGCGACTCAGGCCGCGGCTAGAATTCGGGTTTAGACACAGAACAGTACCACGCACATACAGCTTAGTTCAAGCTAGACATGACATTTTGAATAGTGCTTCCATCGCAACAAAAGTCCCTACAAGTAAACAGTTTCCAGACTCGTGCGACTAACGTACAACAAAGAAGTAAAATCTGGTACACCGGGAAGTTCCAAATAGATGAATCCGGTGGGTACCCTTCTCCACCTATCCTCGAAAGAGCGATACAGTCGTGACACTCCGACCAAGGGGGTTGTCTGTTCCCCCACCACACTTCTTTCCAACAGATAAGCTGCCACTTCTTTAGGAAGACCTGGGTTTTCCGAGTCTTCTGCGGGAATATAGTGGAATATGCCTAGAGCATATTGTCTGTATATTCCACTGAACCCGTAACCTCTGGAGTCGATCCTAACCTCACCAATATCATGGTATTGGCAGTGAAATTTGGGATTTTCGATGGGCCGGCCATCAAATTCGGGTTGAGTCATTTCAAGCGGTAGAATGACCAACGGAATACGCAATCCCCTGCTGGTCAACATCATGTCAAGTCGACCTATTGTGACAATGTCGGGATGTCCCACAAAGCTAGCTGGAGATGCGGGAAGAGCAAATGATGAATGATGTCTGGCCGGCTTTCCTGCCTAGTTGAGCACTGATGAATCCCCGCCAGCTTGCATGATGGCTTCAATAAGCCTCCCGAATGCACGCTCTCCACCTTCTCCGTATGCGATTTGCAGGCTGACGTCAAATAGCCCCATGAGTGAATAAGCAACGTCCTCTGCCCGCGTAGTTTTTCGCTGCGCAGCCCAGGTCATCCGCTTATCAATATACTGAGGAACGGGCTCGAAATCGATGAGTTCTGTTTCGGGAATTCCGGTAACTTCTTGCAAGACTGTCATGAGAGGGGTATCCTCTTCCTTGTCGTCGTCTTGCTCGGTCAACCGCTGCCAATCCTTGTTGAAGAATTTTATTTTCCTGGGCGCCAGAAGTTCTTGTAAAGTCCACCCTCTCATGAACCACTCTTCTAATCTCAGGTCTTCAATAACAGTTATCCCCCCAAGATACGCGATGCAGATGGACGAATTTCGGTACCAGCGGAACATTGACCGGATCGACTCGTCAAGCTCAGCACTGCTATTCTTGTCAATGCAACATGTATCTGACCACAGAAAATGCAAGTCAAGGCGTCTAGCCTCTTCGCAACACTTTTGCAATTTTTTGTAGCCAGGACTCTGCACTTCGTTCTCACTGGGACTGTGCAAGATGTGCAATGCATGACGGCCTTCCTTCAGCCGAGACGTTACGGTGGACAACGAATGTCTGACATTCGAGGGGCCAGACAGCTTCTTCTCCATCATGTCTTGGTATGAAGGTTCTCCTGTATCTAGCCACCGATGGGAGAGAATACCATATTCGACTTTGCCCCGGACAAGAGTCGGGACGACTGTTTCTCTCGTCGACGGCGGCGTGACTCGGGCACGTGCTCGGGTTTCGGCTATCAAATCTTCAGTAATCTCCTTGATGCGATCCTGGAAATGAGTCTTCACGAAGTTCCGTCCGACAAGTTCCATTGTTGGAAGGTAGATCAGACGAATTGGGATATCATTCATGACATAGCGATTGAACTCATCCAGAACATCCTGAGCAGGACTCTGGCCTTGGTTCGTACTTGTATTTTCTGTCTCGTCAGAGCACGGCTCGATTTCAGTAATTCTCTGCTAAATATACAATCTGTCAACGGTGTGTTTGGTCTCAACAGGTAAATATTCACTGGAGAGGACAATGGCTTTCGAGCATTCCAGAAATTGAGGGACTGTCTCCACCACTTTCGGAAATGGCTGTGCTCAGCGGGAGAAGCTACAGGATTTGCATCTTCTTTGGCTGTCCTAGGAGGCTGGAGAAGTTACCGTTAGCGAGCATACAGGGAAAGAAGCCTGATTAAATCTTGCCTCCAGAGGGAGTGGCCCGTGGGATGTGATCACAGCCTGTGACTGTGATACGGTGTGTTGGGGATTGTTACTCTGTACCTCTGGGTACATGAGGTCCATCGGAGACTGATTTGGGAGTGACGAGTCAGGTGCCAACTAGCTAATAGTCTGTATTCAGCAAAATAAATCAAGAGGTAGCCTGCTCACGTCTTGTTGGTTCTGCGGCCCAAGAGTCGGCAATGGCCTTAAGTTGCGTTCATGCTGAGTGATGCTTTCGATGTTCCATAGACACAATTTGTTGTCGCCACAACCACCAGCGATAAAACGCATATCAGTTGAAATAGCTATGCAGAGCACCGGTTCAACATGCTGGAGCACGAGTTTAATCTGATCAAGCGTAATAGCGTTCCAGAGTCGGATAGAGTTATCTCCGCAACGAGCAACAATGAGCTTCCCGTCAGAAGAGACAGCGACATGGTTAGCCATCCAGGCCACATGAAGTGAATGTCCTACTTGGCAACCGGTCTCCGAGATCCAGAGGCGGATTGTTCTATCAAGCGATGTAGTGACCAGACGTTGTCCATTGGGGAACCATGCAACAGACAGCAGTCCACCCGTATGGCCAGCGATAGGGCTGACTGCTGCTGGTTTTCCCGTCTTCACATCCCAAATTCGCAACGTCTGTTCACCTGGAGCTATGTGGGAAACAGCAGCAATTCTGCCACCTTCAGGAGAGAACACAACCTGGCGTTCGCTGTTTGGGGACTCGATGTCCATTATCAGCTTCGCGGTGCCCACATCCCATATCTTGATTGTTGTGCCTGCTACGGACGCAATGCTTGCACTGTCGGGAGAGAAGGAAATAGAGTCGATCTTGTTCCGGTACGCTTGAATGGGCTCTGTTGCCAAATTACGCGTCGTTGCGTTCCATATCAAAATTCTGCCGTCTCCGCCTCCGCTCACAATCATCGTTCCATCGGGCGACACGGCCACCACATTCACTGAAACCTTGTGTCCCCGAAGGGGTTCCCCTGATGCTTGCCCACTTCTTATATCCCAAAGGCGAATCCTACGGTCATAGGAGCCACTAACAATCATTTTGTTATCTGGGAAAAGAGCTACACATGTTAATGCGTCGGTATGCCCCACGAAGTACTTGGACGGGGAGATTTTGAGTTCCCCTGGTAGACATGTCATTTCTGGCCCGAAATCTTGCTCGACGTCTGAGGCAGACATGCCGGTAGTCTCGTTCCCGACGTTCTACGGTTCTAGGGTACGACGCTGTGGCACAAAGAGTCAAAGACGCACTGCACATTTCGGAGTTTAAACGACTGAAAGTTGCTTGATGCGCAAGCGCTCGGCGCGTATACTGTCGTTGCAGCTTGGGCCAGAGTTGCAAAACACCTGGTAGCGCATACATTCTAGACCTCCTATTCTTGGACATAAGACCTTTTATTATTGATCATAGTACCATTTTTACTTTTTTTTTTTTCAAAATATATGGGGTATGCCCCTGGATACCACGTACGGTATAATAAGGCGACCATATGAGACCATACTAGTATGTCGCTTGTAATCGACTAGTAAATAAAGTACATCGACTCATTAAATGTTCTACTGTCGAAGATAATTCACATGTAGTACAGGGTGTGTGAAGTAGGGTGTGAAGTGAATGAACGACAAGTCCGTAAAGAACGTGAAGGTGGACCGAAGGACAATATACCTATACTTAGAAAGTGGCCTGGACAAGTCTACTTTGCAGGGCAAATACGATCCCAGGACCCAGGGTAGGAATCGTTCTAAAAGATCATCGTCGTGACTCGTTACACGCAGACAGCGAGTTCGCTCGGGAGGCTCGAGGAAACTGTGGAAGATGGATCAGTATCTCAAGGCGTCAAATGGCTGTTGACCTCACTGGGGTAGAACCAGAAGGAAACGGCTATGATGAAGTACAAGCCTGCAGAAATATTAAGTACGACAGCCCACGGGCGGTACTGAGCCTCCTCACAGATCAAGATGACACCCTCTAGCCAGTTTGATTTTCCGTCCGCGACCACAAAACTCATGGTTTGCACTGCATGAGAAAATGATCAGAGGGTGTGGCATATTTCGTAGAAAGGTCGAAGTATACCTGAAATGTAGAGAACCTAGAGATCTGCTTAGCTACAGTTAGACTAATGAATTAGAACAGCACTTACCACAGACTCAAACGGGTCGAATAGTAAAGCCAGTGGCCTGCCCATGATCCATCCAAGGGTAACCATGAACCTTGTCTCAGGATTCAGTATCAGCAACATGTCAAATATGACGAGCACTTACGGAATAATTAAGAGAGTGGTTTGCTTGCGCTAACATGAGCATCGTCATACAAGAAATAGTGAAGGAGGCTTACTATCGACGACCCGACAGCGATGCTCACGCTCAGATTCAGCTGGTCCTTCACAGAAGTGTTGACTGCAGTAACGCATTCTGCGTAGCCAATATGTCAAAGTACCCAGAAAATCAGGAACATCCTGTACATACCTGCGATAGAGCTGACTGCAGGAAGCAAGATAAGACCGACCCATTGCTTGCTAATCGTTGTTGAGATTCCGTCCATGGATTCCACAAGATCTTCAGCAGTAATAGTCACTGTCTAGAGGAGTCGTCAATGGATAACTCATTCGAACTGATTCATCACTTACAATAGTGACCAATGTCAATAGCAGAAGGGTGACCATCCAGCTAAGCTGCGGCTCTCTGAAACTATCCGTCGCTGATGGCGACCTATGCAGATTCGCACGTTCAGAGGTAGTCATAGGCTCTGGTGAAGCGCATAGGATAGGACCGGTATCAAGATCTAAGAGGTCAACAGTGTTGCCATCTACACGATCGTGCTCGGGTTGTGTAGTTTGCCGTGACACTCCCTCGGCCAACCGATTAGTAGACTCCTGTGTTACCCCCTGTTTAGTCGTTTCCGGAAGGTGTTCCTTGCTCGCTGTCAGCGTGATCTCGGAGGAAGAACTCAACGGCGAGTTCTTATAGGGAAATTTGGGCAGCGGAGGGAAGTTGGAAGATATCACTGAACCACGTCGAGAACTCGAAGCCGAACTCTGGCCATCATGCGTGCTACCAGGTTTGTCGATCAGGGTCACAGACGCAGAAAGCATCTCGGTCAGATAACGCGAACTGACTGGTATCTTGACCGACAGCTTGCTACTCTTAAGCTTCGTATCTTGATAGAGATGCTTGTGGGACCAGAACTGGAAGAGAAGATAGGCAACATAAACTGTCCACGTGCATCGTAAGCGGTCCTCGATGGACATACAAACACAGGACTCACTCAACATGAGTATGATTGAGACCTACGGGGATTCGATCAGATCGAGTTATGGCAAAGTCAAAACAAATCTTACTCCATAGCTCATATTCAGAATATTATTCTTCTGCTCAAAGGAGCCAGAATCCTTTCCGCCACTGATTGCGAAGTGATACGCAGCAGGGAGGAGCAGAGCCCCAACGCTGATGCTCAAAAGCGATGAATGTATCTGTGTAGCGGCTGAGAGATCTGTTAGCTATCTCGGTACCGTTATCATATATACAACCCCACTCTGGTCGAATCCTTGTTCAGAGAAGCGAAGCCCGCCAGCAAAGAAGCACATCCCAAGGACAAGGACTAAAAATATGAGGATGGTGATTAGATGACGGAGTGACATGCACGACGTACGTAGTTTGCTCAAAATCGAACCGATCACTGCGAGTATCAGATCAAATTCTCAAATATCTTTGTTGAACTTACGCGAAGATTGTACGACCCTTAGTTCACACTTCCTGAGGGCGGTGATCTGAAACAGATCAGCAGATTCTCACGCGTACATGTCCAGCGCTTACCGCAATCACCATCTCGACACTTATGAGATGCGCGTTAAGATTGCTGTCAAAAGCCAGGGAGCCTAAACTCACGTATTGCTCTGCATACACTAGAGGTTGAGGAGTATTCAATCGTTAATGGAATATGACTTACCATACTCGCATTAAGCAAACCAGCCTTTGTGCCTCCGATACGAAGTGCCAGTTCACGAGTTGAAAGATCGTGGAGCTAAGAAAGGAACTCTCAATTCAGTTGACCGATTCGGAAGAGTGAGTGTGTCACACCTTTACAAGAGGGATCATGGACAGGATGCTGACTGTTGAAAGAGTCGTTTCATGTTTCACGAAGAATTTGCAGAAGCTTACAGGTAAATATAAGCTTGTGGTGCTTCTCGAGCACGAAGCTCAGCGTCCACTGGGAATAGTGGCGTGATAATCAGTGAACCCAATGGGATGTGTGAAGGCGATTACTCACAGAAACAGGGATCAGCAACAATAAAAGGTTGAACCCTACGACCGTCAAGTTTAGCATGGTGAGGACAAGTAAATCGTGATGCACTCACATGAGCCAAATACGATGATTCTCCAGCCCTGCCAGATGTGTGCTGTGGGTTTGGATACCAGTTCCTTTCCTCCGCCAGACGGTGGTCCACTCTCCTCAGGTTCCACGGGTAATGGTAAATTCCATCGAAAGGGCGATTCGTTGGTCTCGTTCGGCAAGCTTTTGTCCGCAGGAAACAGAATTGATGCTGAACTGTATGAAATACTTGAAAATCTAGAATTTGGTATCTGAAGAGGTAAGTTAATATCTGGTGGTCTATTGGTGGATGTCGCGTCCGGAGATGAAGGGGACGGAGGATGACCGTAAGCCTGCAGAATGTCTAATGTAGTGGATCCCGGTGAGGGTTCAGAAGACATGGCGAGCAGGGCCAAGGTATAGCTTGAACGCGAGTTTGGCGCGTGAGCGTGAAAGGAAAGGGAGATGCGGCGTCACCAAGTCTGGTCTCTGCAGTACTACTAGTATTTTGTGAGGCGGCATCTTGTCGGTTCATTTTGCATTCTCGGCATGAAACAAATTCTAGCGCATTCGTTCGTAAATACCTGCCTTTTATGGAAAGCACGTACGGAACCGAATTTGATTTTAGAGAAGTCTGACAGTATCAGTTATATTCAGGCCCATCATAGTCAGGCTCAGAGGCGAAGAGCTATCGCAAGTGCTCATTGTACTGGGTAATGTGATTCAGGTGAAGCCACCAGCCGTAGGGGAACTGCAGGGGATCGCTGTGATTGTTAACGCTTAATGTGATCCGGGTTCAGGGCCGCTGGCAGGTCTGATATAGTGATACTTAACCGCCGCTCGGTAAACTGAGAACTCCAAGACATAAAGTTACAACGTTCGCCAGCTGATATCAATAATCAGAAGGAGGAGGATGTCTGAGCAGAATGGCTCGAGTTTTGAGTGCTCTGCCTCAGGAGCAAAGAAAAGTTCAGACTTATGAATTGTCGGAGGTAGACGGGCGCATGTCACGTCGTCACACGTGACAGACACTTTCCAAGTCACGCCCAACCCGCATCTAGGCCTCAACTTCATAGCACATTATGTTCAACGCTGCCCTTCGCGCCGTCCGCCCTGTCGTCTGTGCGCAGCGCGTGCAGGTCGAACCCCTTCCACCGCTTTCCGCGCTCTTTCTACTACCACTCCTCGTTTTTCGGGTCCCGCCCCTCCTTCACTCTTCGGAGAGGGTGCTAAGCCCGGTGAAATTCCTTCCGACGAGCAGCAAGCAACTGGTCTAGAACGTTTCCAGCTTCTTGGGGAGATGCAGGGTGTTGATGCGTTCGACTTGGAGGCTCTTGACTCGAGTCGCGTGGGCACCCTCGCAGACCCGATCAAAGTCTTTTCACTGGTATGCTCTGCATCGTAACAGTGTATCGTGGCGTCTTACAGAATTGAATCATTTTAGGACACATCTCGCATTGTTGGATGCACCGGTTCGCCAGCCGAAAGCCATGAGTTGCATTGGTTCACTGTCAAGAAAGAGAAAAATCGCCGTTGCCCTGAATGCGGCTCTGGTGAGTATTTAGCCATTCATTATCTAATCCATGCTCAAATTTTGCAGTCTATGCACTTGATTTCCAGGGCGTGGAACACCATGATGCTCACCACCATTAGAATGAGCAATTGCTCAATTTAATTTATTGCGGAGAAGCAGTGTCACATGTTCCTGTTTAGATCATTGTCAACATCTTGACGGCTTATTCGTATAATCGTCGCGTGTGTGAACAAGAGATTGTGTGCAGAGTTTTGCTGAACACCTGCATCAAACTTTCGAAAGATAAGAGAAACAAGAAAAGGAATTTGAATACCAAAAAGTCATTAAAGGATAAGACAAAAATTATCTGAAACACGTCTGGACCTTGCACAGCTGAAAAAGATCCCGGTAGCTATGTAATGATACACTGGTTATCATTTGAGGGGCTTCCAATTGGGGGACCAAAAGTGCTCAGCGTCCACTGTCTCATTCTTACACAGCACGGGTCATCTTCAATGTCAAACACCCAACCTACAGCCGCTCGTAACTGAGCGCCTTGCATCAGTGCTGTGTAGTAAAAGTCATTGCTTTTCACAGCCTGTCACAGTGTGAGTAGATGACCATCATCAGGATGGAAGGTGAGTCATACCCCCTGGTATATTCTTCGCAGTCTTGCGCTTTCTTCCTGTGTTTCTAGCCACGATTTGCTCGGAGCAGCAAACCGAGGGTCGTTAATTCCATCGTATCTGAGCCAGGGGGGATAATCCGCAGCGAGTATAGCAGGCAATGTTGAATTCCTCCACCAGTCTAAGATACCAGTGATGTTGCCGGAGGAATCAACCATGAAATTCATGTCTCCCAGTCCGTCGTGTGCCAGTACCATGCGACGAACACACCGTTCATCGAGTTGGGTCAAGTGCCCCCGCAGGTGCGCAATTAATTGTGATATGGATGCTTGCGCTCGGAACCTACTTTCTTCCCCTGTGTCTGAAGTGAATGCTCGTCTTTTCTTCAATGTAGAAAGATATTCGAGGTATTTTTGCAAAGTGGGAAAGACTCCAGGGGCATGGGCGTGATTAGCACTGCAAATCCGCGGTATTACGACGAGCTCATCCGTGGAACTCGTGACAGAGATAGAGCCGATCGTTTGTGGGATATCAATGTCGAACAACTTCAGTGCGAAATCCGCATATGACCGCACCAGTTGCTCCTTTTAAGCATTGTCAGGCAACCGGATAGCACAATTAACCACATTGAGACAAACCTTCGCCCATGAAGGACAGCGTCGGGTATGAGTCTTTGATAGGTCCACCAGTCATGCTCTGTGTGACGAAAGCATTCCCAGGGATTTCGGCGCTACTTGGTAGGACATGCAAAAGATGGGGCGCGGGCACCGCGGAGTGTGAGGAAAGCCAGCGGAGGAGAGCGGTCTCGCTCTCAAAGAGCCGTTGACTGCAAGTCGGGATCAGAAGAGGTGGGTCGCAGCCACATCAAGACGGTTTGACCGCCTGCTAGCGAGATTTCAAAAACCTAAAAAAAAGTGTTGTCAGTGCTGTCGTAAACAGTTATATTATCGACACAATGCGTACCGGATGAGCGCCTAGTCTTCGTTGCCGAAAGGATCTCATGTGAAAGCCCTGCTGTGTCAATTGGGCGAGGAAAGTCTGTTCTATGCTGGATGCAGGCATATTGAGTGGTCGTCCCTGTCGCCAACAAGGTATTTATGAAGTTGGACAGACTCAGGTTATATAGAGTTCAGTAAAGCCCGCATTCTCCGAAATCCCACCAATTCCTTTAAATTCGAAACGGAACTTGAACGAAGGGGGAGAAATACCGCGACGTTAATGTAATCTTCTTCTTGGGTTACATGCTCAATCTGGAGAACTCGGTGATCGGGCACGAGGTATTCATGGTAGTAGACCTCGTTCTAGCCATTGCTGTTCCGACAATTGACTTGCTTATCAGCGAAAATGAGAGTGGAGCTCCATAGTGCACTAGAAGAGCTATGTTACGTTGGAATTTTTAAATTTGGTTCATAGATGGATGTTTGGCTCAGAAGCTGTAGGCAAACAACCGGCGCCGGCCGCGTGCGTACGCCACGCACAAGACCTCATCCGAATTTCATTAATTTCAATCTTGACGCTACTCATTATAATGGACGGAGAGATCAGGAATTTTGCAGACTGTTCAGTCTGTAAGACCATAGTTTCTCTTTCCAATCTCGTATTTGGCATAACAAGTTGTCAAGATCCAGGCGCCGTATCGATGATATCACTACAACTAAATTTACTGCGTTCGTGACGAACTTGTGTTGCCATAGACCTGGAACAGTCGCGCTACCGCCCGGTCAAGATACACACTAAATCCCTCCGCTTAAAGTCCTATCCGGAACTCGATCTGAAGGCTTTCCTACGTGGTTTAGACACTGACAAGCTCCGCAATTCTACTCCGCCTTGTCTTCGTATGTTTCTGATTCAATTTCATACAACCCTCATTTGTTTTAGATTTAGCCTCCGCAGTATCATGATCACGGAGTCTTTTCATGGCCGCCTTCCGCCGGTTCATATCGACCTTCAAGTTTCAAGTCAACCGAGTTGGGCTGTCTTCTAGGCCACGACAAGCTGATGACGGTCGAGCTGTGATATAGTTTAACTTGTGCCGATACCTCCTATAGAACATACGGTTCCGAATATGCACGGAACGGCGCTTGACGACGTACCACCGAAAGCAACGAATATCCTTCTACGTATTTGGTCTGTATGATAGGGGAGAACATGCGCCGATAGACAGACTTGCAGTCCTGAGTCGGCTTCAGCTCCCTCACTGGATTCCAGATGCGGCTTGACATGGGCCGCGTGCCTTGTACCTCGATAAATGCTGTATTCCTGTAGAAAGGCCTCCCCTCGATTGTGGTTCGGCACCGACAGTACGACTCAGCAGAGATATTTTTTTGCCTGAAAGGAGTCTGCAGCTTTGACTGCATCACTGCATCCCGCATCATCGCCATGGCTCGGGACCGTTTTCATATATGGCCACTGTTGCTCTGCTAGGAAGTTGAACACTAAAAGTCAGCCCTCTCTTATGAAGGGGTGGCTGGGCTTGCCGATGACTCGTGAGGTTCCGATTTTTGACGAGTATAAAGCTCCACAGAATTTAGATCATTGCCCTCCATCATCCGATAGATCACCCAGACACCTGATGTCTTCGATACCCTCTACATGTCACAACGTCAAACCTCTGGACATTGAACTTCAAAATAGATCAGGAATTGATAGTACTTCGGGTGACAGATCGCCTCACCAACGCGTCCCTTTTTCTTTGCGCAGGGTTATATTCGCTCTGATCTTGTGCGCTGGATTCGGGGCTGTTGGAACATTCAGTTGCATGATTGTTGGGCACGGTATTCTTCAACCCTACATGAGTGGGTTCTACGTGTCCATACATTCCACCGCCAAAGCCGGTGCAGTGGGAGGTGCCATCGTCAATGGGTTGCTGCTCCCCATCATGATATCATTTGCCGCATCCCAGCCACCGGTGACATCCCGAGTATACTTGGCTCTCCTCACAGTTGGCCTCCCCACAACAATAGCTTCTGGCTGCGTAGGCGTGGTCCTTCTTTGTCATATTTCAGGGGGAACACTGGATGTTTCCCATGCAGTGTGTGCAGCTGCTGTGGGATACACTGTCCTCACTTCCCCGATCACGCTAGTCACCGTTTATTCCGCGATCAAGGGATGCAGGTGATGTACTTCTGCGTGAGTTTGCTATCATCTCCTTTTTTTATGCTGATATTTTAATAGTGGTGTGCATTTATTATCGGCTCTCAATCAACGAGCTCAATTATTAGTCACTCCCCCCTGAGCCTGCAGATGTTCTCACATTTGTTCTCGCACGGAATGACACATGTCATCGTGCCTGCGATTCATGATAGGCCCATCTTCTGCTTCTTTATGGAGTCAGGCGTAGGCGGTACAGATCGATAACTGTCAAGTATGTCCTATGGGAAGGTTGCAGAAAAATTCCGGGCTGTCTTCGGCATCATGTGTACTATTCTACCTATAATACCACGAACACTAGTAGGTCAATTGTTCTTTTGATATCAGGGAGGTTGTGATTCATACGGTTTTGCACTCAAGCTTCGACTAGTTTTACCTCAAGTGTAAAATGTACTTACTCTATATACGCATGTGATCAGAGTCAATCCGCTCTGGCTGACTCCAAGAATGGTATGGGCCTTACAGAGTAAGTCACTAAAAAGAGCTTCGCGGTCTGGAAGGACTTAGGAGTATGCACACCCCGTCGGAGTCGGAGACCGTGGGAACGGTGTTGAATCCAAATGTCCGATGATGAGATTACTGATTGTATCACCGTGACTTAGGAGAAATTGTGCTGTCATCCATAGTCCCTAGCGATTAATCTTCTCAGGCACAGTCTGGCACTGGTGACTGCCACAAACTGTGTTTCTTTGCACATCCAAGAACCGCCTCATACAAAACTTCTCGTTCAATTACATAGTGCCACTCACACAAAGCTCGAGTCAACCTCAGTGGCAAAAGGGTTAACTTCAGCCTAGGTCATGGACACCGACCGGCATGGAAACGTCGAGGCAGCATTCAGTCTCCCGAACGAGTTGATCGCTATAGTTTTCGATGAACTCGATATAGTATCTCTTCTGAGATGCAAGCAAGTATGTACCGTATATGCACACATCGTATACTACTCAAATCTGCTACTCACGCTGAATTACAGGTATGCCAATTGTTTCGTTCAGTCATCATCACCAACGCGCAACTTCTCTACAAAGCCGAGTTGTTCTTTGGACGGTTCGAGAATGGACGCCACTGTAATCTTGATACTGCTGGCCGCCTTCGTGCCTGTCGACAGTACCAACAGGCTTGGAACAACTTATCTTTTCCGGACTCCAAATTCATAGATATGCAGGGTGGTCATGCTTGGGAACTGTCCGGGGGAGTGTTGTGTCAAACTATGCAGTCACGGTCAGGGCTTGCTTGCGTACAACTTCCCTGCAAAATTAAAGACATTCCCGAGCGGGAATGGATTGTCAATGATTTTGGATTTGAGATCCGAGATTTTACCGTCGATACATCTCAGGACTTGATTGTCGCTTTGGAAGTAGTAGGTTCCATGTACGTTCTGATGCATCTATTTTTCAGAAGTATACCTGATACTAAATGGCGCAGCCCGAACCGGATATGCAACGTACACCTGAGAACCTTAATGACCGGCGAGCATCATCCAATGACTGCCGTGCCCTTTGTGACGCACTTGCTATCAGACATGCATGAGGAACTCAGATTCCTCATTCAAGTTTGTGGTCCCCGCATTGCAGTACTGTGTCAAGATCGTGGGGACGATCCCAACTCTCGGTTAGTTGTCTGGGACTGGAAATCGGGTCAGCAGAAGCTCGTACGTCTTCCACGCTTACTGCTACAGGTTGATTATTGAGAACCGTTCAAAGTACATTCGAGACACAGACCTTCGATCTTTTTCTTTCGTCACAGAAGACCTAATTTTGGTCGGCATCGTGGAAAGTGACGAAACGCCCCCCCGTCTGGACATCCTCAGTATCGACAGCTTCGGCAATGAGTCGGAGGAATATAAAGATGTCAGCTACATTTGCGGCCTGGAGTATCCAAAAATGAAGGCCGACGTTCTAGACATGTTGATTCGATCGGAGCCGACTCCAGGATGGTCCCCATCTCAAACCGTTCAAACTCCCTTCTTCTTCGCTCGCAGTGACCGCATCTTCGCCATCACCATGCGGCTCTCCCCCGAAAGCAATTCCACCGAAGAGTGCACTGTGCTAATCGTCCCTTTATCCACCATCGTGGCTCAGGTTGAATTGTCTCACAATACACGAAAACGTATTGTCCCATGGATGCAGTGGGGTCCAAATGGCTCTTATATGCTCCTTCGCAGCCCGTCCGAAGTCTGGGTTTGCTACGTCCACGGCATGAAGTTCATCCAACTTCTGCCATGGAAAAAAGGAAATTCTGCAAGAGTGTATGATTTCAACAAGTACGCCGCGAGGAGGGATGTTCGAAATGAACAAACAACGGAACCGAAACTTCTGTGGAAACGCTTAGGAATGCCACAGTCACTGAATTCGCGGTGTTCTGCCTTTGCTGAAGAAGTCAACACGTATCTTCCTGGCCGTGTTGCGACTGTTGAGGTGATGCCGAGTGATACATCTCACGACTGGGAGGCGGCTATGATCGGTGAAGACAACATCGTCCTGGTTTCCGTGAGTCTTCCGATACGTCCTGTCTGGCTGTCACTTACACGCAAGGTACTGCTTAGCCTCATGCAAGGAAGTATGGCTATATTGCCATGTAAATTGAAAGCTTGTCGTTCTGAAGTGTATGTGGTATCTGTGAATCCATGCCATGAAATTTTCTAACATGCTTGAACTTCAATCTACTTCATTTAGTCACTTGTGCCTTGCAAGATGGATGGCACTCTCCTGCCGTCAGCAGGCAACAAATCACCCAGTTTGGGCCCTATTGTCTCCCAGACGGGCTATAACAAATATCTTTAGTGCGCCAAGGGAATATCATCTTTTTTACAGTTCAGCTGTGCAACGTTTAGCAGCGGCTACAAATCCCCTGATGTCCGTGGACTTAAAACGTTATCTTTCCTAGTGTGTGGCGGCTTCTCTGGTCATTCACGATAAATGCATACTGTTATGAATCTACTACGGCAAGGTCCCCGGTCGTGTGGCGGGTCGATACTAACTGAACCTGACGCCATTGAATCACACGACAATTCTTTCCTTTTGCAGGATTTAACGAGCTTCAGCTGCGGTAATGTATAGATGTGGTTACCTAAGGTCGCCCATCATACGTTATGTGAGGACGAAGCCGCGGGGGCCAATACTGAACTATCACGGATATGTCAACTCTGACATGTCGAACGGATCACGAGCCCCAGTGTAATCGGAACATTTTTATAACTTCGGGCTTGCAACTAACGGATGAAATGTAACGCCGCATCGGTTAATTAACAAGTGTCTGTTACAAGGCGTGCGTGGGGTTCCGCGGAGGCAGACGGGCACGCAGCAGACACGTCGTTGTCAACTCTGACATATGATGAAACGGATCTCAAGCGCTCTCGAGCTTGGGTGCAACTCGGTCTCTATAGCCTCCGAACTGTGTTATCGTGTTATTGAATCCGCTTTTGATCTGCTGTGCAGCATAGGAGTGTTACTTGGGGCCTGAGGCCTGAGCGCTGAGCAACGGGCGACCGTGGGGAGCTGATCACAATGTGCGTCCGTATCCATGATCTTGATCATAAACGCCAGGGATTAAACTCGGCAACTTCAATATGATAACCGCGTACCTGAGTTCTTCGGTGCTGTACAGTGTGTGCACTTGTCAGTCCCTGAACGTTGCTATGGAGTACCATGAATTCTTCTTACGACTTTCCAATTACGTCCCCATACGAGATTCATTTATACCAAACCAATCGTTTGGCTGGTTTGTGGCATGTAGGAGGTAATTTTTAGCAGACTCGGCGCTGACGGTTGCGGGCACGACTAAACAATCTTAGATTATCACCAAGGAGGCTACATAGTAAAACAACGAGGGGGGAGAGACAATAAGGACATTGCGTTGACAAGGCCAGTTGACAACGCATAGCAACTTGAGGTTCAGGTACACAGTAAAAATGACATGATAATTATTGGCAACAATTGGCAGCTGAATTCGGGACCGAAAGGGCAAAAAAAAGTTTATTGTACGAATGAGAGGACGCCAAAACGACGCCAAAATAAAGTGAACGGCACAAAAAATTAGGGTATGTAGGGCCAATGGTATCTATAGTTGAAATGAGAAGAGATATTGAGGATGTCGAATTTGAAGATTGACATGGTGGGGAACAAGGCAGGACAAGATGGAGTGTGTGGCTATCGTTTCCGCATATCCAAGACGCGAATGCGCACAAGGGAGTGTCCAGTTCCGACGTGACGTATACAACGACCGGTGTGTTTGGCAGACCCAAGTGGAGGGGTTGCAGTATAACACCAGGATTAAGGTGAGTCGGAGAAGGGGAGACCCTTGTGACGCTTCCTGCTCCGTTCGTGACGCCTGCAGTCGCTCTGATTGAAGAACGCCTGATTACAGCCCGGAACATTGCAGGCGAAGGGTTTAACACCGGTGTGAGACTGCCTATGACCTATTGAGTTTATCTCAGCGACTACTGTAAAAGGAGGTAGTTTGGCATATAGAACTTACGCTTTAAGCTAAATACAGCTGTAAAGGTTTGCCCACACTCTTCGCACATATGGGTAGCTTCGTGGCGTCGACGTCGTTGATTGGCATCAAGCATCGCTTGACTCGCAACAGGACGAGTCATGCTGGACTCTGAACGCGAGCGAACGTGCCTAGTGCCGGTAGCCGGGGGCATGAAGATAAAATGTAGGATCGCTCGGGGAATGGTGGTGTCGGAGAGAAGCTGAGCTCCCTCGACGCGAAAGGCACAACTGCGGGATCAAAGGAGACATGCTACCCTCGGAAGGAGTAGTATTTTCAGACCATGGAGATGAAGGAGACTCGTGACTGGGGCTGGGGGAGAGTGTGGCGTAGGATGAGGAGGGGGATGGGGTATATACAGGTATAAGGCGCATGTTATCATTTGTAGTCCGTAACATTGTCTGTGGTGGTGGAGAAGGTGGGATCACCTGAAAGGTATCAGGAGACGGTGCAAACGATTCAGGGCCAGTTAGGTATGACTCCGGGTAAAAAAAGTCTTGCGATCGCTGAGTTTCGTTAAAAAGTTGCTCAAGGTACAAATCTTCAGGGCTCAAATCCTCTAATGGCGAGAATTGAGGATTATGAAATTCGGCTGGAAACATGTTCAGTTTGAGCATAGACAAACGACGTGCACCAACTTACATCCTTCGTTAGAGAAGAGGGTAGAAGAAGACATAAATGACAGATCCTGATTGTACATTGCGTATGGAAAGGAGCCAGTGTCAAGTCTATTCGAGCTGGCGTATGAGTCGAGAGTCAATGACAGAAAGTATGGAAACGAACGTACTGTGCGGGAGCGCGCCTCATTTGATCAGACCCAGAAGGCGACTCTATATGAATGTGAGGGACCGATGTCGCCTGCATACGACGAGAGGGATTGTTGTTGGTAGAGGACATTGTAGTGGTGAACGGGTATTACACTACAGAGCAAGATAACTGGCCATTATATAGGGACTCAGCCCCCCCGCAAATGGTCCTTTTCTGGAACAGCGCCCAAAGCAACTATAGGATCTCACCAAACCTCGGCAAAATCTTGAGAGACGCCCAAGACGCCTGCCTTCACAAGGTTCTGGCGAGATGTGTTGAGATCTGACAGATCTGGCCATCCGTCTAGGTACCGAGATATTCAGCGCAGTCGTTGAATTCGGAAAATGCCAAACTTGACTTCTTTTCGTGCCATCGCACTTGTAGCTTGGTTGTAACCCACAAGTTATGCGGGTTCAATCACCATCGCGAGTGGGAGAAATGAACGGCCCAAAGGCGCCTTGTCTGTCTACATGGAATTTCCCTGGATAGCCTCATACTCTCGAACATGTCATGAGCCAGCCAACCAGCCAAACGGCTGTGCTTTCTGAAGAGAAATTCAGAGTAGATGATTGGGAGTTTGAGGGAGGAAAACGGTAACACAGCCACTATACTCATCCACAATTTCACATAGGCCAACCACGAAATCTAGTCTAGGACTCTTCGCCTGCCACATTTCAAGATCATGAAAATCACCTTCAAGCAGCACCAATGCGTAACGACGAACACCTTGTATAAGCACAGTTCATCGGATTATTAACGCTCGTGGTATTACAAGAAGAACACCGCCTTTCTTATTCTGTCAATGCTGCATTGCCGCAGCATGGCCCGTGCCATGCCTTCTCTCCGATGATAGTGGAAAATCGATATTTAAGTATACTGCCATCTCACAGCCCCCGGATTTATTTCCAGTTTAATGTTACGTGGGTGGAAAATCAGACAGTGGCAGGGCACACTTATGATTTGCTTTAGAATAGTTCTTTGTTGAGCGCTCAAATCAGCCGCCGAAGCAACGCCAAACGATACCCAAAGTAGTCGCATATTGCCGCGACTTTGCAACGTGTACGTGGCGCTGCACTCTCACATGTTCCTCACCCCTGCATGCACAGGCATGCATAGCGTCTATTTCTGTTTCACGATTCAAATTCACGCTTGCCAACGAACCCATATAACTACATAATATATGATCACAGGTCGGATGAATTCGGCGGGACAAGGATATCACAGCTTATTTCCCTAAAATCGGGGTACACTTCCATATTGCAATGGCCTTAGAAGGGGAAGTTCTCGTTTTGTAACAAGAACTATTACGTTTGGCTTGACCTGACTACAGCGGTTTTCCCCGCAGCGGAATACTCATAGTTGACCGAGGCTTTCCTCGCGTTCGGGTTCTGCATAATCCCATCACGCAGATCCCCGTTTCACTTGTAGTTAGGCCTATCCTCGCTGAAATAACACGTAGTATCCGTCTCTAAGCTGCTCGAAATGTCGGTTTGGCAGGTCGAGGAATATTGCCGCAATCGGACATCCGTCCACCTGCACCCCTTGCCATCGGTTTGCAAAAGTCGAACGGGACTTAACCCACTCGCCGGCTACTTGATCTTTATGTAAATGAATGATCACGCGAGATCTTCTGGTTTATTGTCTTCGTTCTGGTCACTAGCCCAAGCGATTACCGACGTCCATAAACGCAGATTCGGCCTGATAGCTCGCTTTTGCCCACACTTGGTACGGCCATGAGAAGGGATCTCATTTCCGAAGTTTTCCGATGCACTGGCATAATGTGGAGATTGGTCAAATATAGATTCGGGACTTTATCAAACATGGCCCAAGATGTGGGCTACCATTGGCATTCATGGGCGTAGAGCTTCAGTGATAGACGTAAGGTGGCCAATTGCCATGAGGTTTGGGGATATAATTTGATCCTCGTGGTTTGTGGAGTTTCGAAGTCATCAACCTGGCCAAGGTACCTGACAGCCACACCAGGGGGCGCGAGAAGGGGCAGTCCAAGCCCGGATCTGCTTTGCGAATGACTTCATCTCATGCAGTGATCGGGGACAATGATCGAGTCTATGCACACGGGTTTATATGGGGTTCCACTATATTTGCATAACGTCCAAATAACGTCTTTGCACTTTCTAGTGTGCCGACTAATGGAGCAGAGGAAGGCTCTTATCCCAATGGTAGTTACAAATTACATATTTAGGCAGAGATGGGTAGTCGTCGGAGCGCTCATCACGCTCGAGGGCTATCAGTTAGAAGATCCTGATGCGGTTCTAGCGTGTGGAAATGACTGGATTGAGGACAGTTGGCCAGGTCCGGAAATCAGTCTAGTTACCGATTGGTACAAACGAAAACTGAACAAACTCTCAATCTTCCTCGTCACTCCCGTAGTCCGCCACTCCCAGCCCTGAAATCAATGGTTTCGGAGGTATTGTCTTTGGACTTACGACAGCTAACGAGACGCCGTTCCGCCTCCTTATTTCGGCGAAGTACTTGAGACCTTCCATTGTATCGGCAGACAGCAGACCAAGGGGCTGAGGTGGTGGCTCTGACGTCGCTTCTTGTGGCGGTGGCAGCTCAATCCGCCGCCGTTTTGGCTTTGGGTCGCCAGTCTCGCCAGATTCCTGGTCCTCCACCACTTCTCCTTCGTCGTCCACTATATCCCCATCCTCTAATGCACGGACGGCCCGCATGGCATCAACAATACGAGGGTCCATCCGCGCCTTGATAGCTTCCTGCCCGATCTCCTCCAGCCGCCGCTTTTCCGCCACCTTCTGCACCGGATTGGGATCCTCGGTGGCCCATCGAACGTTCAAGATTTCATCATTGTCAAGGGATTGGCACGCCATGGCCTCTTTTGCAAACTGTGCACCGAACTCCGACACATAAGTCACGAACGCGACGCTACGGTACTGTAGCACGCGGACTGCAGGAGAAGGGGACGCAGTTTAGATACCGTTTCTTGAGAAGCTTCTAATAACGTACTGCGTTCAATTTCGCCCCACTCTTTGAAGTGTCTTGTAACAATATCTTCTGTCTCCGGACCTGGACCGGTCTCCTTGATTCGACCGACGTATAGCGTTCGATTTTGTCGGTTGAAACTACCAACACCACCCATGTCATCTCTGTAGTCCGAGAATTTGTCTCGAGCAAAACAATCTTTACTCGAATCAGGTAATGCGTTATCAGGGTCGGGAAGAGTGTGAAGGTAGTCGCACTCCCATCCATACGGGCAGCACCCACGAGCAAAGAACAGACAACAATAACGAATACCAGTCGTGTTGGCTCGAGTCAGGCCTGAGTCCTTCTTGATGTTGCACCGAGTTTGCGATTTTACTTTGCTATAACAGAGTCAGACATTGAACTGAGAGATAAATATGCATTAAACTCACTTGGAGTAGTTGTCTTCCCGGTCACCTCCAGCCCATTTGTTGTACCAGATATCTGCAATTACGCTCGTAAAGAGTCCTCGGTGATAAACATCATTGACACCTTACTATATTCCTTCCCCGTCTGAGGGGTCTCCTTTCTTTCCTACATCTCCCGCTTTCACTTGCTTCCGCGCAGGCTTGAGCTTTTTTACTGGCTTTGATTTTGCCACTACTATTGTCGTTTCGTCGGTGCTCATGATGAAGAACTTGGCTAACGGAACCTGACTAAGCATCTGATTGGTCGAGAGGCTTCACTCGCTTACTAAGCTTAGACTATCATTGTCAGCAATGCCGCGGACAGTCACAGTCCAACTTGAGTGTCAGTCAGCCTCCAGGAGGGCCGCTGAGCCCTGAGCCTTGGTATATTGTTTGGCCATTCCACATACGCCTCATAGCCATCGCCGCCGTTATCTCACCGACCCTGTTTCCAATGTCGTTTGACTAACGACTCCATATCCATGTGTTCGCGAATCTCCACTAGTATAACTTCTGAACTCTAAGAAGGCGACACCGCGGCGGTATGTACGTGTCAATATTTGCTCGATCCATGGATTCCGGAATCTAATTAATAGTTCTATGTACAGCCCGCAGCATCGCTACAAAGGGAAATTAGCCGACTCTTTGCGTCACTTTTCGGATTGGTAGAACGGTTGAACGTTAAACTCTGTGGGTCCAATATTTCTCCGTAACAGATGTTCTCGAATAATGGAGGCAGTCCAGACGGTATCCTGGCAGCGATGAGATGTGCACCTTCTGAATGCAGTGGCCTTCCATTGCAATATGCGAACATTGCAAATTTGATGTCCTCTAAGCGTTGGCTAAGCGCCTGGTGCGCAGTGTATGAATCATCCGATCTGATGTAGGTCCAGCTGGTCTAACCCCTGGTCGGGTCGCTCAAGCGCATATCACGGTCGGCCGAGGAGCTTCAGTTCTGAGAAGAGGACCGCAGTTCGACCTTCCAGAACTAAAAATTCGTCGTTCAGACCATCCACGGTTTGCTATAGACGGATCGCTCGCGCATCCTAATATTCTGACGTGAACGTCCCGACACCGCAGTCGCCACAACTTCAGCACTGTCACTGGCAGCACCCATCAACAATTGCACGCGAACATGTACGCGGAAACCTACGTGCTAGAGTTCAAGCGGAAGTCCGCGGGATTTGCAAATTATCCGGACTGTCCAGGTCGTAATGTTTCGATGAAACTACATAATTATTGTTCCACAAGTGATCTAGCTAAGCCTGATCGCAGAAGTACGTCCCACCCATCTTGGTCTGTTGGTCGCCTTTGGCAAAAGGATAACTCAAAGGTGCCGGGAGATATGGTTGCTACGTACATGTCGTACATCCATCATGCCACCGGCCGTACAAGCGTATCGGTATCATATCCGTGAAACTTTAGTGCAGTGCAGTACGGGGCCCGGGCCCCTAAATCTCTTCAAACTGGCTATATCTGTTTATCATATCTTCGTAGGACTTATTTCACGCCAACTTAAATCGATGGAGATAATGTGACGTACTACGGACACCCACGTTTTGGAAAATTTAACGACTGGATCAAAGTTTCGGATGCACGATTCAGCCAAAGTCATAACTAGATACTGAGATAAGACGTTGGAGTGGTGTATCCGCGACTGCGTGCCTGCGTGTCACGAGCAAGGCAAACAGTGGCGAAGAGCACTCACTACGCTACGACCGAAAGCCCGAAGAACACTGAGTGGCTGGCGAAACTACGCTGCTACTCCGTCCCTCACCTACGGGTTCCCCACTCCAACGTCCGCAGTTAGGATTGAAGGTCGATCCGTTTAGAATGAGTTCTGTACCGCATCGCGGAGTCAGATCGCCTGAACTCTAACTCTATTCCCCGGGAGCACAGCACAAGGTTAGGAGCACATGGCGTGGGGGGTTAGCGTGAGGCGTAGCGCACTTGGGGTCAGAGCGAGGCAGGCATAGAGATCAGGAGCAGTAGGGACATTGGAGTATCATCCACGCCGCACGCATGACATGTCGTAGACAAGCCACTCATCAACACACAACAACAGGTTCCCTTCAGAGAGCTAGAATTGGCGGTACCGTATATGGTTGTCATGGCTGTTTTTACCATGTAGTATTCGCAGTACCCTAGTAGCAGAACGGGATCAGTAGTCCCTGTTCCATTGCTTACTTGAAGCTCTCTTACATAGGTCGAGCGCGCGCCAGTGGGTAGGATCTAATTGAAGCATTTTGCGAGAATCTCGCAAGGGACCAATTGCATGTCATATCATTGGTTGCCTGTGAATATTCTCATGAGACGTCCGACGGAACTTGAGATAGCGTCAATAAAATGGGGTTTCGATTGAGTACATGATCCGTGTCAGTTGGTTGGACACAACGGTCTGGGCCAAAGGCCCAAAGCACGGTGCACGATGGCTGTGCCGCATCCCCTTTCGGGACAAAGACCGTAGCTTAAGACTTGTCCCATAGCAGAAAATTCTACCACAGAATAGCCCCAACGATAGAACGAAAGAGCAATACACAGCAGAAATGGATACATCATAAATTCACTAGCGTGGTTGGTATCAAGTTCGTGAGTGTGTACGTATACAAACATCAGAAACGGAATATAGAAATGCAACTAGTACGGTACATGAGATGAGCACGGTCAGACATGAGAAAGCACGATGTGAGAAAGTGAGCATGAGAAGACGATAACGAAGAAGGGATAGTAAGACGACAATATGACCAGTGAGAAACCAAAACAGAGCAGTAGATCAAACCGCTTGAGTACAAGAGTACATATGGTCAGCCCCGCAGAAAAGTATTTGTAACACGTCCGAAAATCGTGAAAAGACATACGTGTGCATTGAAACATATGAGGGGAGGCACAAACGGGGCCCTAAGCCCACTGTCCACTCCCCCACCAACGTTTTTCTGAACCGCGCACGGCCCACTCAGCAACACCAGCCGTCGACGCAACATACAGGAAACCTCCTGTCGGGTCGAAGCACGTCCCTGCAATATCCACATCTTCATGCTCTGCCACCGTTCCTGCACGTTCGACTTCTCCTTCCTCCCCATGCGTTCGTCGCGGAGTGCGCCGATAGGGGTGGAATGAAGGTATCATGGGGTGGTACGGAGGGGTTGCAGGGCGATACGGCGGACTTGCGGGACGGTATGTTTGGGAAGAGAGAGGCGATGGGCTGACGGGCCGATACGGGCTTGAGGGGCGGTACGAGTTCATTGGAGGTGGCGAGCCCCACGTGACAAGCAGTCCACCTCGAGCTCATCAAGGTCCATGGTATCGCCCTCATCACTGCCACCTATCCGATCTGACATCCTAGAGGGCGATGCGTTCATCCATGACGTCCGGGGCGGTGCACCGCGCTGAGGTATCACGAACATGCTATCATCGCGGCGTGCGGCACGTGCACTCAGTCGGCCTCCTGAATGTCTAAGTGCGGGAGGGGCGGGTGTATGAGCAGGAGGAGTTTGGCTGCAAGAGATGTTGGGCACTCGGATGATTTTCTTCAGTTTCGAATGTTCGAGCGTCGAGAACGTGCAGGAGGTTAGTGTGCTGTATAAATTATCATGATCACCTTGAGTATAAAACGGCGATACTCCGAACTCATGCACACCTCAGTATACGTCATCACCTCGTGTCCTGTCCGCCCGCCAACTCCGCCGCACCCGAACTTGACGCTTCGCGCGCCCCATCCTGGCGCACGTGAGGTTCTGCGTGTCCAGTCCCACGGGTCATCACTCATCCACTCGCTGTCACCACCGCCCCTCTCACGACTCGTATGCAGCACCTTTAACGGCTTTGTGCTCCGCACGTCCCAGATCGCGATGACTCCTTCTTGACAAGCAACAGCGAACTTAAGGCCGTCGGCGCTCCATGCGGTGCTAAAGGACGCTACGAGAGAGTTAGGATGGATGGAGATGGCGGACGGGATCTCTAATGTTGTGACGCGATTGAAGGTAAGCTGATCGTTGCCTGAAAGGGAGTGAAGGTAGATCCGAGGAGAGTCTCCGACTGAGAGTAAGGTGCGTCCGTCGGGCGAGATAGAGGCTGTACATATCCGCAGGGTTGAGTTAATTCCGAACACGGGAGATGATAACGTACAATGATTCACAGGCTCTTCGAGTGTGAGGGTCCCACAGCACCTAAGGTCCTGTGCCCAACGGACTCGGAGGGGTACGTCGTAGAGGCGAACTGTCCAGTCATTATTACTTACGACGAGCCGTGGTTCGTGAGAACTATTGAATGCGCGTGCAAGGAGGACGGAATTGTTGATGCTTCCATTGAGCCTGCGGGAGAACTGCCAGAGCGCACGGGTACGTGATGGACTGTGAAGCGAGAGGTGGATCTCGGTGTCCTGACCACCTGCTGCGAGAAGTGTGTGCGGGGAATCAGAAAGGTTTAGCGAAGAAAGAGTGTTTGGGATAAATGTGAGATCGGCTAAGGGTTTTGGTGCCTAGGAGCCACGAATGAGAATCGTCCTGCGAACCTTACATCACATAAAGGCAAGGATAAATGAAAACGCACCAGGTCTGGAGCATGAAGGTCATGCTCCATAATGGAGTTCTTATGAACATAATTGACGATGCCAGCCTCGCGTGGACATATGATTAAATCTCGAAGTTGCCTGCAGAGCGGTTTTAGTAGCGAGCAACTACGAAAGGATAAAAGCGTACACATGGCCGATGGTAACGTCTGCTGGTGCGATGACACTTGGAGTCGCCGACACCAGCAACGACGAGGTACGAGCCATAACTAGGAGTGCTAGCCTTTACAATGGCAACTTGAAGATCCTGCGTGTGACGTTGAGAACATCGACTTACTGGTACTCCACAATGCGGCCCGGATCCTCTGAGCTACCACGTGACTCAACTTTCCTCCTCAGACTCGATCACCGTCAAGTGTGGTTGACATGCCATGTACCCCTTCAACGAACGTGGAGCTACCCAAAAGAATATCATACCTCCCTTAATGCGAATAAATACATCACTTTTGTGGACGAGCATTGTTCAGTGAGTCCTCCTCACCAACTGCGTTGACACAGAGATTGGCTTTACGTCGTCTAGGACACGTCGTACTAGTAGCATTGCTGGGGAGGGCTTTGGAATGAGATGAAATACAAGTGTGAAAGAAATTTATTAGCTGCTTCGGAAACGAACAAGTTGTCATGAACGTAATCCCTTTTTCGCTTGAGCACTTCGAACAATAATTAAAATACTCATGGCCTCTTTGCATCGTAACAGGAGACAGTGTGTGGGGGTACCGCAGGTACTCTCACGAAGTTCCAACCATTCAGCTGTCCTGTTCATCTGCCAGGTCCTACAGTTTTTTGATCTGTTGAACTCTTCCGCTATGATTGCATGGTTTCTCAGCACTCCACCACCGCATGCATGAGCGGCTGTTGGTGGAAAGGCGAGAGTATTGTTACTGTTCTCACCGGAAGGCCTATGATACTATCCATCACCGTCTCGCCAGCGCAACAAGCCTCTTCTCAGAACATCCCCATAGCTTCCTCGGATGCAGTAATATCTCGATTTGCGCCATACTGGCTGAAATCCAGGATATTAATTTCCTTCCTAACCACTTCGCTTCTTTGTATATCATGCCATATACTGTGCCTTGCCACGTCCTGTTGGAGTACAAGTCCGCGCATAACAGTATCTGGCAGTCACCTCAGACTGCACTTTGATGCACTAGCTCTTCCAGGCTACTTCAGAATTGTTGACAAAGCGTCCCTTTCATCTTCCACTTGTACTTGCGAGGAGGCAAATTTAAGTGTAAACAGAAATAATATGTCCGTCTGCGTAATGCAGAAAGGTACAGTGTCCGAGTCACCGTGGGGAACACCCCAGTTCAGGTTTGGATCTGTGCGAATAAACAATTCGCTGATCCCATGGAACGACGAAAGAATATGAAGTCCAAGTCCAAGCAAAAAGTCCGTTCCTTGAGCCGCGTATAGTTAAAAGGCTTGAATAGGCTATGCGCGGCCTATGACCTAGACCTGTGCCACTCGCTGTATTGCAACCTTCGTAATCGATTTCTTTTATTTTGTTCTCTTTACTGCTTCTGTTTACTCGTGGAGCTCGACAAACAAAAGGGTTGGCGAGAGTCGGGTGAACTGTTCGGACTCAGTATACAGGAACCACCATTCGACTGGAAAGCACTGACTTCGGCCCCCCTTCCCCAGTCTCAGATCAGGAGATCAAGTCTTCTGGAACTGCTGTCATGAGGGCGCCACGCCGCCACTCGACACGATGTGCAAATATGCGGGTGGATACGGAAACACCTGCCGTCGTCGGCCGATGGATCGTGCACCAGGGTGCTGGTCCAGCTAGCACCGGTTGACCACCAACTACTAGAGGATGGCGGTAGCCAGCGGCGAGGTCAAGCGTAAAACGTGAGTGCTGCTCGAAGACTAAAGAAGTAAACATATTCCGATTGGCAACTGAACAGTGTCGAGGCGATCAAATATAATCAGGATTCAGCACCAACGCTTTGGCAAATGGCACCCCGCTCCATCAGAATATTTGGAAACATCTTTTATCATTCAATTGATGAGTTGCGACTTGTGGAAGGTATACTCACAAATAACTCAGGGAGAGGTGGCTCACGGTGAGGTTGGGGAGGGATACAAAAAAGATCATAGGCAGTGGAGCTAAGGGTTTTCATACAGTGAGACTCGGATATTATACTTGATCGCATGCACGCTGCACAAGGTGACACTTATAACTTGTGCCAGCAGGATTCTAAGCTTCAAGATCATGTTGGAGTCAGTAGCAGGCAAGGGCACCAGGAGCGAGCTCGTTCAACCCTCGTTGACGTCGGCCCAAATACGAGCGCAATGTGTCGCCATCGGCCGAAGCCTCTCGACGGAATGTCAAAACTATATGTTTGTTATTCCTAGTCTACTTGTATGACGAAAGAACGAGTCCTGTCGTTGCAACACCAGACACTGAGATAATATATTCTCTACCTAGCCTCTCAGTCTCATCGCGTGCGCTCGCCTCCAGTTTCCAGTCCTCAGATATCAATGACATAATAAACGAGCTCATAGCTGTATTGATTCTTGAATACGTTCGGTCTCCCTTAGCTGTCACACAGCGACATCCTCGGTCGGATGATGCGATATCCAGGAACTGTTAGGGTGTTGCATTCTTTGGGATCAGTAATCCAGAACCAATTTACGCCTGTATCATTTCGTGAACAACGTGGTACTGCCTAGCTGGGGTGTGTCGCCTAGTCACGGAACGCCACAGACTGCAATCGGAATCTGATAGATCTGATGGACGTCATGCGCAGTAAGTCGCTCGGGATACTTGACAGTTGCAGAGTTGGAGCCGATGATATGGCGTGGGCGCGCAGGATATGTCAAAGGGACAGGCGGGCGGTAATAGATGTACTCATATTTCAAGTGCAGAATTCGCGACAGTAAGAACTAGATCGTGAAGCTTTGAAGAACTGTCAGCCAAGTTGTCGCCGTGGCCGCACATCTCACAACAGTTCGACACTGCCGTCAGCAAGTTGATTTACGAAATGAGGGGTTGTCCGTTTCGCCCAGCTTCGTCTAATGCAAAAACATTGAAGTTAAGGTGCTGGGACCGAGCACGGGCTGTTGACCGACCATGTCATGTATCGGGATATACATAGCTGAACATCGCATTCTGCTGTCGATATCAACCGAAATGCGATGTGAACGTTAAACTGCAAATGATGGGAATGAAGGTGGTTGAATGAGGAGTGAGCGGAATGTACGGTCCGGGTGAAGAGACAAAGCAACCACAAAGACAAAGAATGCCAGCTAGATGCGCGTGGTGCCGGCTCCTTCCGAGCACTCAAAACCGGCGATATCCAGGTGTCGATCATGATACCGTGCTTGACTTTGATTGCGCACAAAGGATCATCATTTCCACGCCTACTCCTTTGTCTACTGATCTCATCACGGAAATCCTGGAGAACATCAAAGGGAAATTGTATTTGGAACGAAAGCTACAACGTTTTGTAAACAAAGGGACGTGGACGTCCGATACTAGTAAGTGCACAAAGCAAAGGGTTGATAAGCACGCTCTGAATCTTCGCCTTTGACACTCACCCACAATATTTAAGATGAATTTTATCCGTGAACTCCTTGGTAGCGGTACGCCCGTCACCTTTCTCCCCTTTTCCGGCAGTCGTTATAGAATCGCACGTTCGACGCTAGAGTTCGTGGTGAATCACAGTATCTGCTCCTCGAGGACTGACTTACTGCTGAATCCCATCACCCTGTCCTCGTCCTCATCCTCTTCTGACTCTCCCTCTTCCCAATTTTCACCGCTCGCGTCAAATGAGGAGGCGGCTGGTGGGCGCGGTTCTGGATTTAACTGAAAAAACCAGTCTCTTCTCCTGGTTAGCTCTTTATCTTCCTATAAATGTTAGTTATTCATTCTGTTCATAGGAGAAATTAACCACCTCTAGCTCGAGGATGCCCGGGCACTTGCTCCTGTGCTTGACCCACAGTCCAGGATAGTACCTGGAGCGTTTGTCAAGGCTGATGGCCTTCTGACATCCGCGACACCTGACGGATGTGGGTTGCACATCCTCGGTGTACTCATCGTTCTCGAGCTCCTGTTTTCTCTGGTCCTCCTTTCTCCGCTTTCTACCGCCCGCGACGACTTCATCATCACGATTGCCGTTGTCGATGCCCAGCTCTCAAATGACCTGCGGAGGGCTTAGCACGTATTGTGCGTCGTGTGTCGGAACGCGGAGGTGAATCGGCGAGTACATAAAGCCCGCCCTTACAGACCAGCGAGTGGTCATTCAGAAGGCGACTGACCGTGGGCCAGTCGGTGTCAACGGCATAAACGAAAACGACTGGACACCTGGACCTGCCGCAGTTTAGCGTGTGGGTTTTGGGCTGTTTTGTTTTGTCGTTGCATTGACTGGCGACGCAGTCATTGCTGATGGTTGCACGGCAGCTAGGGAGTGGCGGTTGATTTTTGCATTTGTCTTGCTGGGGGAGATGTCCTTTCAGATGTAGAGGAATTTGTTGTAGTGGCGCGAAGTTTTTCCTTTCTTTTAAGGCCCTTCTCGGAGTTGTATTGTTCGCCCTCAAATACACGTGGTATTTTTTTTCATTCCGATTTCTGTCCATTGAGGTAACGTACCCTATGTCGGACAGTACTAACTGTCTGCAACACCTGGACTCGCAATACTCCAGCGTGGGGGTATACGCGCAGTCCATTGGGTGACTAATCTCTCCGTGGCGTGAAGTGTAAGTGCGCCAAGTACACATGGTATTCCAAGGCGGACAACACTCTCATGAAAGTCATTCATAGAAGGCTAATGTGGTATCTAATTTCTTGTCACTCCTAGATGAGTTGACGATCCCAAGGCTTCCCAAGTTGCAGGGTACATTTCTCGTCATGAAAGTGAACTCCGCCTGACATGATCGTTCCAGAAAAACCATCAGAAGTCAAGTATATCTACTCTGGCCGCCGCCAGGACAAACTCTGGATTTTCCCACATGTTTGGAACTTCTTTAGGCCTACAATAGGGATGGTGAAGACACTTAGTCATGATGGTGCCTTTCTTGCGGGCGGTCACCGGTCAGTTCTGCTGTCGTCTTCTTGTCCAGTAACTTTACATGCACGATGCCAGATTCCGCACGCATAACCTAGTTCCCCTCAACTGGCGGTTGGGCTCAGATCCAGGCATATAAGATGCAGCAGGTTCGGTGACCATGCTTCCGTTCAAGCGACTTATTGATTCGCACAGTTCAATCTAGAGTCAGCCCTGGTTGCAAAAGGCATCTCGCCCCCACCTTTGCTGAAAT